CAAGGTCGAGCCCATCACGCGCAAGCAGCTCGCCGACTGGGGCGTCGACTACTTCGATCTTTACATCGTGCACTTCCCCGTTGCTGTAAAGTATCTCGATCCATCAGTGCGCTACCCTCCGGGCTGGACCACCGCCGAAGGCAAGATCGAGTTCGCCAACGCACCGATCCACGAAACATGGGGTGCGATGGAGACCCTCGTTGACAAGAAGCTGGTTCGCAGCATCGGTGTTAGCAATTTCAGCGCCCAGCTGCTGATGGATCTGCTTCGCTACGCCCGCATCCGCCCCGCCACCCTCCAGATCGAGCATCACCCCTACCTCACCCAGACCCGTCTCGTCGACTACGCCCAGAAGCAGGGCATCACTGTTACTGCTTACTCTTCTTTCGGACCTCTGAGCTTCCTCGAGCTTGACCTTAAGCATGCTAAGGATACTCCGTTGCTCTTTGACCATGCTACTATCGCCACCATTGCCGAGAAGCACGGCCGTACCCCTTCCCAGGTCCTGTTGCGCTGGTCTACTCAGCGCAACATCGCTGTTATTCCTAAGAGCAATGATCCTACTCGTCTCGCTCAGAACTTGACCGTCACTGATTTCGACCTTGAGACCAGTGAGCTTGAGGCTATCAGTGCTCTGGACAAGGGTCTTCGTTTCAACGACCCTGTTGCTGTAAGTTTGGTACCTGCGGTGTATTGACTGTTAATACTAACTGTTCTTTTCTTTAGTACGGCCTCGAAATCCCCATCTTCTAAGTGTTTGCAGACTCAAAAGCCCGGGAGACGGAAGAATCTCCGCGATATAATGACGATTTTTATGGCTTGGATAAATTAAATAAGAACATATCAATTCCAAAAAATTCTAAATCTTCAGATCTTCCATATTAGCCAGAGTAGCATGCAGTCTGTTGTATTAACATGTACATAGATAGGCAATTCCGCCAAGAAGTGCCGATCTCGATGATCCGCCATCTTTCTCCAACTTCGGATGTCTCAACTTCAACTTCCCAGTAACACAACTCTCACAATGGTGTCCCCTACTCTAGCGCGCATGACCGCACAGGTTCATATAACCGCATTTCCCATGCCAAAGAACCTATCCGAAAGCAAGCTTGTACTGGCCGCGCTCCAGAAATTTGGGGAGGTAATAACATACCGCAACCTCAAGGTACGGCGGCGTCCTCTCCAAATTATCATTTAGACGAGCCCCGATCTAACAATTGCTTTAGTATGACACGACCAACACTTCACCAAACCCTAACCGCCCCATTGTCGCGATCTTCGAGACAGCCGACGCAGCAGACCGCGCGATAGCAGCTTCGCCCATAACCATTCCCCTACCGACATCCACCTCCCCCTCTAAATCTCAATCTTCAACCTCTATTCCATTCACATCAACTACCAAGCCACCTTCAAATACCCGCCGCTCACTCATCTTCGAAATTCAACACTCGCGCCACAACCACGCCTCCGCCCTCAAACGCAGCCCCTTCTACTCCACCTATAACCTCTTCAAAAACAACCCCATCTACGAAGATCTGATCAGCGACGAGACCGGTATCCCGCTCAAAGAACTGGCTGATACACTTTCGAGCAAGAAGTATCCTATCGGCGCTGGCGTCAAGTCTAATATACAGGAGGAAAATCGCCGCATGGGCGCGACGAGTTTAGTCAATATGTGGAAGGAGGGGATGGGGATAGATGTTGAGATTGAGAATGAGGGGCAAGATTTTGGCGAGAATGGTCCTGTGATTGAACATCTCGGCGGTGGCATTAGGGAGCCCGGGGAGGGATTGGAGGACGAGAAGCAAAGCTCGGTAGTCTGAGTTGAGGACTAGTTTTGGCCTTTTCTTGTTGCTTAGATGGTAACTAGAGAGGGAAGAGACTTTCTTTTATTCTGGGCTGATCCGCATCAGCAAGTCCAGCCGAAGACGCGGCGCTCTCATTTTATGAGCAGTTGCATTGACTGTGGGCCGAAGGCGCAGATTGGATTCCCCTCCTGGCAGCTCCACAGCCGCGCTTTGCTTCGAATGACTTGCATTCAGAACCTCTGCTTCTCGAGCTCATTCCTCGAGAAGGAGGAAGGAAGATGAGAAGGTAGGGCATCTTGGGATGTTCCAACATTGCCCCCCAAGCAGACATGATATTTGTCGCGAACCGGATGACCAAGGCACCATTTACTACCTAAATAGGTAGTAGATAGCTTTCTCTCCATTCTTCATCTTCTTCTCTCTCCTTGTCCCTTTTCCTCCCACGGGATTGATTACACTGTTTCTCCAATTGACCTTCACTGTAAATCAATCCCAAGAATATTCTGTATAGTGTAAACTGAGATTACGTGAACTAAATAAAGAACCCAGCCTTGATGTAGTCCACAACCTTGCTGATCTTCTCAATAGGGAAATTTCTCAAGTGGTGCTACTGTGGTAGTACGACGCGGCGGCCGCGATTGAGACCGATTTTCCGGGAAGGAGGTTCTTGAGAAACAAGAAAGGTCAAATAATTGTCACCAGAGTCCTCATCGTCAGAAGGAATCCCCGGGGTATCAGGTGCCTGAATGAGAGAGACATATTAGATATGTATACCAAGCATCGTATCATGTAACATACTCCAGGATACTCCCAGTCAATGTCAACCCCGTCAAGGTAGTTTTCCTTGACGAAATTAGCAGTTTTAGGGGCCATTGTCAGTCGGTTGGCGGCTTTGACTCCCTGACAGGAAATTGTAAGGGCCGGGCATAGTTGAAAAAATTCCAGCCGCTAAAAGATCGATTTTTTGGCCCGGAGACTCGCAAAAAACTCTTGAACTGATATTCGGTCAGAATATCTTGGAATTTGACTTCGTAATCTGCCGTTAGTTTACCAAATGCAAAGTGCAGATATATGTACTCTGACCCGTTAATCTATAAGGTATCCTGGTACAGACAATCACGACTACTTAAGCTATAACCCTCGAAGTAGGTAAGGTTTCGCATAACGTCAGGGGCAGTACCGCAGACAATCTCTATTCTACATTTAGAAATATAACTATTTGTGCCCTTCTCCGCGGATCCTAGAGCTCTAGTACTAGTATTAATACAAAAATCGTCTATTATACCACACTATTTTTTCTAAGACTATTAGGACGATTGTATAATCTATTTCTTAAGAAAAGAACTTACTTGACCCCAAACATTACAGCATGTATTCAGGGGGTAGGGATTAAGATCGGCAATATCCGTTATATCGTCTAGCCTCTTAGTGCCCGGCTTTTGGGGGCCGTATATAGCGTTAGCCATAGGGGCGGGCATAGGCGGATTCCCACTACTCAGGCAAATAATACTATCGACCTAGATATAAACAGCCATTTCAGCCCTATATCTTCTTATTAAAAACTTCCAGATCCTTATTCGTCAGACTATACTCGGCAGCAAGGTCCGCACAATTGTCATCTTGTTGAATAGTGTAGGTAGTACACGATCCGTCCGGGTTAGGCTTTAGGGCAAAATCAGCGGATGAGCAACAGACATGCTGCCCTGGTTTAAGGGTTGAACAGAAGTTAGTTCCGGAGTTGTACTTGGTAAAGTCTGCAGCGGAGATTCCACACTTTGTGGCCAGAGCAGCGCAGCGGAGCCGAGTGAGACAAAGGGACAAGATGCCAAGAGTTAGCGCGGAAACGAGGGCTTGGCTGCGTCTATAATGCAACAGTCCCTGGTAGGAAGGCCACTACCAGTCCATCTATCTCGTAATAGTCCGATTCAGGGGCTTAGACAATAAAACAACTCATTTTCGCCGTTTCCATATTCTGGCCCTCTATCAACTTGTTCCCTCCTTCGTTACTAGCGAAAGTAGTGAGATCCTTATGTACTATAATGTATTTCTTCCGAGTTGCCTTCTTCTAGCCCTATCGCAAATCCTCGCGTGCAGTTGGGCGATTAACACACGAGGGATCATAGAAGTAGATTTGATTCTTCCGCGCAATGACACCTATTCCCCCTCGCCTATACTGCCGATCATATTCGCTATCCAAAATCCGAGCCTCCTCAAAAGCTTTAGTCCGATACTTGAATGGAGTATTGAGCAGGAGAACTTTAGTACTAGCGATAGAAGTCCCGCTAAGAGAATCAATGCCGGCGGTTCTATTCGACTGTGGAACTTCAATGATTCCAGCAGCAACCCCCACTTCCTCTATTAGAGTCACGCGCGGTTCGATGTTGAAGGAACCTTCACATTTTACTTGGGGATCCATATAGATGGATGCTCTCGAGATCCGGAGACAGACGACATGAGCTTGGGAAGATGGTAAACGCCCCCATTTCTACTTCTCCACCAAGTTTGGCACTTCACCGCCGGATTTTGTCGCTGCGACAGACGATGATACCTGCGACCAATCGTTAGCTCAGGCTTTCAATTTCTCCGATCTTTTGGAGCTCCCGCCAACAAACACAGTTCCCTACGGACCCTCCTGTCTAGCCCAACCGCCTAGGCTGCCTAGGGTTACCAATCCTTGCAATGTCAGAATTGACTCACCAGCCGCAGCAAGTATCTCGGCGGCTTTAACCTCTACTGCGTGTGCCGTGGCTCGAACAGGGGTAATCTGCCCAACTCCATCTCCTAAAAATGCAGCCTCTAAGGCACAATTACCGATTGGCGGGGCATGGGCTTTGGTAATGAGTACGATGCTCATTTACGGTCTCGCATGATTCATGTTGACTATTCCCCAAGAGACTTGTTTTTTGTTCTTACAGGGGCAGGTCGCTCAATTGCACGCTAGTTGTTGACACTCTCGGAACCAAGCAGGTCCGTCCGCCACCGCAATGCCTGATATAGTATAGGTCCGAGTCCTTCATATCAGTATGCAGTAGTCAACCAAAAAGTGGGACACCCTAGGACAAAAGAAGTAAAAGTTATCTTATAGCCAGTCTGATCAAACGTTACATCCACAATTAAACAAGCACGTGAAGGCACCGGTATATAAAAGCAGTCCAGGAACGGCATATCTAAGAAGCACCATCAACATCCCAGTCTGGCATTCCTCCTAACTGTGACGGCTTCCATCTCATCGCATCCGGTGACCAATGCGATACGATTGAGGCCAAGTACGGCATCACCGATGCCCAATTTAAGGCCTGGAACCCCAGCATTGATAGCTGTATGCCTACCACTTTTATATCATTTCCTCTTCTGTATATTGTCATCCAATGACGCATTTTTACTAGCATGCGCTAACCTCTGGTTAGACTACTACGTCTGAGTGCACATCCCGGGCGCCACAACAACCACCTCGACTCCCCAACCCACATCCACGGGAACCCAGCCGCAGATGCCTGGCATCGCGAGTAACTGCAAAACCTTTTACAAGGTCAAATCCGATAACTGTTACACGATCAACACGGCTGCGGGCATCACGCTCGCCCAGTTCCGCTCCTGGAATAGCCAGATTGATGCCAGTTGTACTAACTTGTGGGTGGACTACTATGTCTGCATTGGACTGTAGTTCACCAGTCACTTTTGTTCCCTGGGATCCTACTATCCTATGAGATGTTTCCATCATTTAAAAGGCCAAAGGGGGTGGGATATCGTACTCGCAGCGTGCCCAAGCTGCGAAATTAGAGGAATACAAAGAGTGATAAATTAGAACAGCGAAAACACAAAAGCATGGCTAGCTACTGTTCTGGTCAAGAATGTGACTTAAAGTCAGACAGTAGAAGTTCTGGTATAATAGGTTAATCTAGTGGAGTTGTTGCTTGCAAGTTGCACCGGATGCTCACGCCCCTCCTGCCTGAATTTTCAGTACCGCCTTCCTAATTTGGTTGAGCCTCGACACTTGTTTCTGCCTAAAGCTCCCTTACCGCCTCCTAATTTGTATACCCCGCTTTTGTGTTGAACGCGGTACTGGAAATTCAGGCAGGCGAGCAACAATGCCCTAACTATGTTTGTATATATTTAGTCTCTAGTAACCATTCTATTATACGGGCTCAATGTACCTTTGACTAGTAATGAGCGGGTTTACTAGGTCACCAGGTCAAGGTGATGTGATTCCCGCAAAAGGGGAGAGTGGCAGTGCTAGGTCTTGGCACAATGCTTGGCGACACTAAAAATAAGTTTCCACAGTGGCGCCAAGAACCAGTTGGGCGCTCGTGACACTCCGCGCCAGCGGAAACGACTTGGCATATTGCTCCCTATCTGGGAGAACAGAAACTCAGAGAGCCTTTTCAACATCAATATGTCGAGAGACTCTTATGTTCTGTGATTTTAAGTGTGTGTTAGAAGATATTCGAGTGCAGAGTGCTTTCCCTAACCGCCTAGCCCGGGTACACCGGGTAAGGGGGGATCTTGGCATTACTACACTCTCATTTCCCAAAGGAAAACTCGATGCCAAGCGCCTGAAAACTGGGCAGTGCTGAGCAGAGATGCACCCATAACAAAGTCAGGCAGCAGGATTGGTTGTGCCAATGTCTTGGAATTATCACTCTGTACATAATCCCGCTGGTACGGCGCCTCTCTGCCAAGTGACTGGTTTCATCGTGATGGGTTCCATTGTCTTATTGCTTTGTCGTTATAGGGGATGCACACTCATATTTGCCTCCTAAGTCCAATGCACTTAACCTCTGCTCTCCATCTCCTAGTCCCATGCATTTCCTCCGATGTCGATTACCGCTCAGCTCGGGTCAAATGAGGCCTGTGATCCTTTCTAGGTGGTTGACCACCCTTTTGGCCTGCCTTCTCATACAAAATGTCCTCGCAATTGACGTTAACCCTGAGGATGAGAGTGTGTTCATTTTGTACCCTGGCTAGGCATTTCAAATGACTGACATATACCTCTCCTGACAGCTTCCCTCAAAGATGCCGCCAAGACCGTTGCCACCACCATGATGGATTTCTACAATGACCGCGACTCGAAAGATATTCCAGGGAAATTGGACGGTACCTGGTGGGAGGGTGGTTCAATGTTTATGACCCTTATCCAGTACTGGTATCTAACAGGCGATACCCAGTTCAACGACGCCATCCAGGAAGGCATGTATTGGCAAAAGGGCAAAAACGACTTTTTTCCAAGCAACTACTCCCAATATCTGGGTAACGACGATCAAGTGTTCTGGGGATTGGCGGCGATTACCGCCGGGGAATTAAACTTCCCAGAAAGAGACGGTGAAGCCTCCTGGATATCTCTGGCGGAGGGTGTCTTTAATGGACAGATTCCTCGCTGGGATATGACTAGTTGCGGTGGGGGTTTGCGATGGCAGATCTGGCCTTACCAGGATGGGTATAATATGAAAAATGCCATATCTAACGGCGGATTGTTCCAGCTGTCAGCGCGTCTGGCACTATATACCAAGAACTCGACCTATGCCGAATGGGCCGAGAAGATTTGGGACTGGAGCGCGTCTACACCGTTGTTGAGGAAGACCTGGGTTATCGCCGATACCACTACTAACGCCGCGAGTTGCAAGGATCACGGTGATCATCAATGGACTTATAACTACGCTACGTATATCGCCGGTGCGGGCTATATGCACAATTACGCATGTCTATCCCCTGTCCCTGACAAGTCGAGCATCTCAATTAACAGGTTTTATAGACCAATGGCGCCGAAAGCAAATGGCTCGAAGGCGTAACAGGACTGATCAAGACATCTGATCAGTTTTTCCCCGCCTCCGGTGCGAAGCAAATAATATCTGACATCACCTGCGAGCCAATCAATAAGTGTGATCGCAATCAGAAGACCTTCAAGGCCTACTTCACTTCCTGGCTCGGATTCATGTCGTTGATAGTACCATCCAATGTCACGGCGGAGATGATGGGGAAATTCAAAAGCTCTGCTGTTGCTGCCGGTCAACAATGCTCCGGTGGAAGCGATGGGAAGCATTGTGGAGTTCGATGGACGAAGAAGACGGAATGGGATGGAACTTCGGGCTTGGAGCAGCAGATGTCTGTTTTGGGTGTTCTTAATGCTGTCATGGTTCCATTCAAGGCTCAGGGCCCTTACAATGCTGACAATGGTGGGACATCCCAAAGTGACGCACTTGGGGGTACCAACACCGAGGGTAACTTGGAGCCTGAACCTATCACCACAGGTGACAGGGTTGGCGCGGGAATCTTGACTGCGATCTTCGTTATACTTTGGGTCGGGGCTATATCTTGGATGATTTTTGGAGACAAGTAGATACACTCAACTGTGAAGGCGTTCAATACATGTACATATATTGGGATTTTGATACCTTGAGGGATTCAGGCTTTATGATAATTTCTGATTCTAGCAGCACATCCACTACAACAGAAAAACTATTTACCACATTCAGGGGACAGCATCATCTAAAGTCGCGTCGTCTAGAGTTTGTAGAAAGTGAGCTTTCTACAAACTCTCTGAAATCGTACTGCCGACTTAGTTTCTCCTTACAATCATTTTGCGGTTCTACCTAGAGAAAGATTATAAAGAGCGACTTGCTATGGATGGTGAGAGAGCTGAGGGAGATCCTGGATATACAGAAGGGCAAGTATGCCTTGAATGCTTAGACAACCACACCAAGATCTTTCCCCCATCCTGTACTGTGCAGATTTTCTTGTTCTCCTCTTAGGCCTCCTAATCCTCTAGGTTCTCGGGCTTCTTATCACCCTTCTGAGCCTTGTCGTCCTTCTGGGCCGCCTCTCTAGCTCTCACAAGTTTAGCGACATACTCCTTAGTACGTAGCAGGCGCAGTGTAGCTGCATTAGTAGAGATGCCATAGTGTCGGCCAACAGCGCCCATGTCGATCTAGAATATGATATGATATTAGTGCTGAAACATAACTGATGAATGAGAGACGAAGTCACCTTCATTCCTGTCGCTTTGATACATGTAAGTACGAACTCAAGCCTGTCTTCTAGTATCTCACGACTAGTTTCTGAGGCGAGCTTGGCAGGCCTCGAGATAGGCTTAGCAATAGCATTCTTGTTAGCCTTAGCCTTGATAACTCTGTTGGAAGCCATGGTGAAGATGATGCTGATATGAGCTTGTTTGATGTAAATGTAAATGCGAAGGATATTGTCTTAGATTACGGGACCTAGGGAGGGGAGAGAAGAAGGAAGGAAAGCAACGTGAACTAAGATCGTGAATCAAATATATATCCTGACCTAATAGCAAACAACTTTAGCGTCTCCTTCGCATTTCGGACAATATTGTGCGAGACATGACCTCAGCACTCAGTTGATAGCGTAACTACGGCGGAAAGAGATAAAACACAACCAAAAGGAATAACCGATTCATTCATAAAATAGAAGAGAACTTTGTGTATCATGGAGCTCATGTAAGCTTCGCGGATTGATTTCCGTGGGATAATTAGCAGAGCAATGTCCCTGAAGGTTTATATAGCATCCATAGATGGATTGTGTAGGTCAACACAGTGGCATGTCCTTCTAGATACCCTCACTGATGTTCATACTCTACTGCCTTTACATTCTCACGAAGCACTTCGTACTTGGCAGAATCAGAACAGTATCGCCCACATTAAGACTAGGCCTGGCCATACCCATAGGATACATTATTTCCTACTTTTTAGCAACATCAATGCACAACTTTGTTGCTAACTAGCTAGGTAAGTTACGAATGGAAGTCCGGCGATGGCTAGCCTCAGAAGCAGTCATTCCAAAGTTAACTCCATAGGTCCTTACATTCTACGTGCACAAATTAATCAGCTTACGCTTGATTATAGAACAAAAAACGCCAGAGCTATTAGTCAAGTAGACAAGAGTATAAAAAAGACATTAAGGTATTACCCTCATTCCCCTAAACTCGGACAAACGCTATAGGGTGAAGTATCATATTAGCGCTATGTTCAAAATCATGTGTATACTGCAAGAGAGTCGGAGAGGAAACGCTTACTAGCATCAATCTGCTGGATGTTCGGCAACGCCAAGCGCACCTTATTCCGATAAACAGCCGGCCCATTCAATTGCAACGGGTTACCCTCGAAGTAAACAGTTTGCAGCTTCTCCTTATCCTTGAGCTCGCGCTCAACTTCCTGGAAGCTAGCAAGCTGATTATTCGACCCCCACAGCTCCTCGAGGTTCTTTAGTGAAGAAAGATGTTCAAGATGGGAGACCTGGTTGTTGGAAAAGTCGAGCACGCGGAGTGTCTCGTTGGATTCCAGCCCTGAAAGGTCGGTTACTGCATTGTGAGAGAGGTAGAGCTCTTCAAGCTTTGGGAGCGCGGAAAGACCCGTGATTTTGGTGAGGCGGTTCGATTGGATGGAGATGATGCGAAGGTTTGAGAGGCTGTCCAGGTTCTGCGAGGCTGTCAGCTTCATAGTTTGTTAAGGTATGTTAGGTGACAACTACGGACCTTCATTTCGACGATCTTGTTTTTCCCAAGCCAGAGTTCTTCCAACGCCGTCAGTGTTTCCAGGTTTTCGATTTCCTGAAAGGACTCGTGTCAGCATTTACATTGTTCACATCGTACCCAATATCATATAATACGAACCCGAATCTTATTCGCGCCCAATTCCAAGTTCTTGATTTCGGTCAATTCCTCCAAGCCTTCGATACGGGAGATTTTATTCTGCACAAAGAAAATCTCGGTCAACTTCTTCAGATGCGAGACATTCTTGATATGCTTGATCTTGTTGAAGCTCAGATCCAAGCTTGTCAAGTTATGGAACTCCTCCAGGCCGTTGATGTGGGAGATGAGGTTATCGTAGAGGTCAAGTTCGGTCAGACTGGCGGCGACATTTGGAGGAAAGTTGATGCGTGATATTTGATTCTGGCGCATGCATAGTCTCTGTATATCCTAGCGCATTAGCCATCTGGATAAATCAAAGGAATGCCGTGCCGTTGCACTTTTGTCCTTCGAGGAAAAAGTGGTACCATGCCCCTCTCCGCTACCGGGCACATGCGGATTCCAGGGCCGTTGGGAGTATGTACCTGAAGCTTAGGGAAGCGTTCTAATTTAAGAGCAGAGATTGACGATATCCGGCAATGCACGAGGTCGATATCCTGCAGCAGAAGAACGATTAGCAATAATGTCGCGCGCGCGTCGATCAGCAGAGTCCAGGGCTATCAGCCTACCTCTGCATTAACATCTTCCTCTGCCAATAGATCTGAATATCCATTAGTCTATCGACTCGCCAATGACCGCGCCTTGAGCAATCAATCATTCAGCGACCATACCTTCATCAGCCTCAATCTCATCGACCGGGGGTGCATCCGGATCCGAGTAATCTGAGTCCTCCAGCGCGTCCGGGTTTGTAATAACCGCCTTTCGCTCCATTCGCATTTTTCCGTCCCAGCCCTCCTTGTTCTTCATGATTTCAGCCTGCGTGAGAGTTGTGGGATGTTTGGTGGTGGTTGGAATCGCGATTGCGGGGAGCTTTTGGCGTTTTTATCGGGAGACGATCGCCAACGGGGGATTCCGAAACAAGGGAATCCAAGAAGATGTAGTTGAAAGAACAAAGAAGTAATAAAGAGGAAATAGAAGAGGTCGCACTGCGAGTCAGGAACTGAAACCTTGGTTTCGGGAAGGTTGAGCTCAACTGGTGACTACATCATCGTCTTAATGCGGATGCGGAATGGCTCCGAGACACTTCAACCTATCTACTTCCGTGTCTGGGTTCTTAATATCATAGATAACAAGGTAGTAATTAATGGATTAAATTCATCTCTACTCTAATAGAACTTGCTCCATTTTGTTTTCTGGATACGTCGTCTCGGGGGCTATATACAGCATCGAGAGCCGTGATTGATCAAGTACATTGCATGAAAGAATCACTCCAACAACTTTGGCAGAGTAAAGAGAATTATTAGGCACTGCTCACTATGAAGAAAATGCATACCACTGCCAGGCAGAGGTTCCAGCAAAGGGGAGGACACAATGAAATGCACGCTCGTGTATTGGTGAGCTGAGATCAACACAGGTAAGGCCGTGTACCAGGGCAGAAATGGGAAAATAATAGCATATGGGGGATACAGCGGGGACATGATAACCAAGAGACGCCTGCAGAATGCATAAGAAGCGGACTTGTTGGGTGTTGGGATGGGGGAGAATACACAAAAAAAGGAAGATCAGGACATGAGGGGGTGTTGGTAAAGCACAGGGAAGAAAAAGAAACAGAAAAAGAAAAAAGGGGAATGAGCTCCTCGGAGCAAGTGAGATACAAAGTGAAATTGCAATGCAAAAGGTCGAAGATGGTCAGGTTAATGTGCTATCCAAGAACGACAACAAATGCAGGAGACGGGGCCTTGGCCCAGTAGGATACCAGTTCCATCTGGGTCCATGTTCTGTCGTCGAGAAGGGGAATCGGATTTGGAGTAGGAAATAGGGCGACTACCCATCAATGGCAGCAATGCTGGAGGAACGCAAAAGGAAAGGGCTTTTCTCGCGTAGAAAAGAAAGTGGAAAAGAAAACAATTCGCTCAAAATGGATATCTCAGGCGTAAGAAGGATCCCATTGAGGCGACTACAGGGTGCAGTCCAGGACCATGCTGACATCTTGGACCAGGGGCCCTGCGAGATCCTCGAGGACAGGGATGAGATCGAGCAACTCATTGTCATGAGCGTCAGAGAACCAGCTACTGATGGGAATCGCATGCTCGGGGTGGAAGATGTAGGATGTGGGGGAATTATCAATGATGATTGTGTCCTTCAAGTCTCGACCGACTTGTGAAAGATCCTGGATAATGGTTAGGTTTTTCTCAATCACTGAAGAGGACTAAGGAGCTCACCTTGACGTAGTTCCCCTGGTGGTTATAACAACTCTCTCGGAATAAGCGGTGATGAACCACGTTGTGAATATCAAGTTGATCAAGCAAAGGGTCGCCATACTATTACTCGAGTCAGTGTGTGTCACTCGCTGAAAACTATCAACTACCAACTGACCTTTGAAACCGAGGCAGTGAATACCACCACTTCGTAAAGTTCACCAACGCGCTTCATGAATGCGTCCACGCCAGGACGTTTAATCACATAGATGTTGTGATATTGACCTTCGATCTCAACTGGAATGGTGAAGTCGGCACGCTCCAAGACCTGACAAATCAATGATGAGCGAAATGATACAGTAATACGATTATACGCCCTTGGGCGCATATTGAAAGCGGAGACTTACCTTGAAGCTGCTGTGAACCAGTGTTTCATCGAGATCAAGTACCAAGCACTTTCGGCCACTTAAGTGAGGCAAAGGCGCAGGGAGCAAAGGATGTGCTGCGTCCTCATAGTTGCCTCGAGCAGGGGGGCCGGGGGTGCAGGTGGCAGCGGTGGTGGTGGTGGAGGGATCACCACGGGAAGTTTCATTTCTTGATGAGATGTGGCTTCTTCTTGCCCATCAGTGCCAAAATCTTTAGGGATGGTTGACGTTGATGCAGAAGGGAGGTCCTCGGTGGTTGAGGTTGATTGGCCCTCCCCATTGTAAGTGTTTGCATCTGCTTTCACTTCAGGTACAGATTCCATCACGATTTTCGTTTGATCGTGTGGGGTAACATCCTTGGTCTGATCTTTCTGGCCAGAAAATTCTGGCTGCGTGGCATCCACAGAAGGACCATCGCCTTGCACACTAGCCATAGCAGGGTGGACATGGCGGTCTTCTTCGCCAGGTTGATCGGCGCTGACTGTGGAGTTTGCTTTTTCATCTAGATATGGCTCCCTTGATTCTACAGTGCTTGAGTCACCAGTAGGAGGCTCTACCTTGTCTGGAGTAGGCAATCTGTTAGAAGCAGGTGGCCGCATGGTTGTTTTCTTTGCAGGCAAAGCAGTGTCATCTGCATCAACATCCGAAGAGGAGCAACAGCCCAAGAAAGCTAGGAACTTAGATGGACCTTTCTTTTGTTGAGGCTTTGAGGGATTGTGACCGGGCATAGTCGTCGCCTCTTTACTCTCCTCCGCATTCACTCCGTTCTGAGTCTGGCGCGACCGTCGGCTACTTGCCCGGCTGTGATCCCGTTTAGACCGTAGGATGCTCACTTTGGAACTCCTCCGAGAAGGCTCATCTTGCGCTGCTTCCTCGGTCTTTTCCGACTCCTGTTGTTTGTTGGTTCTCGAGGATCGTCGCGATGGGATGGGGATCAACAAATGGCGTTTCTTCGGAGCGTTGACGCCTTCAGCAGCGGTCGGTGTGCTCTCCGATGGTGAAGAGGCTGGGTCGGAAGGTGCGACAGAAGTTGCGTCCTGGGTTGCGGTCGCATCGGTACCTCTACCCTGTTCGGGCTCAGGACCTACGGAAGGAACGACGTTAGCAATTATATCCTCCTTGGGTACAATAGGTAAAAAGGAGCAAGCGCATTCACTTACTGGATGAGTCCGGAAGGCCGGAGGTATTCATAAGTGCTTTGTCTGCGGATTCCAGAGCTGAATCTCGCGCTGTGCCCTCTCCACTCATCGAGGGTGGCTGTGGTGTCAGGTGTCCCGACACGGATAAATATAGAAAAAGAAAGTGAAGCGAAACAGTTCCCAGGTCTGAAAGGCCGAATCAAAGCCAGAACTCTCTAAGGTCGAGAGCGCGGCTAATAGGGGACGTTAACACGCCTCCTAGAAAATAAGCAAGCGCTCTGGGAAGTTCGCACGTACCGCCTTTGGCCCCGGGAGTGATCCAACACCCACTATTGTACTTTCGAAAACAACAAGCTAAACGAACAGAAAAGGGATGTGATATCTCTATCGTTTAAAGGAGGATTTTCGGGGGGAGAGGAGTGAAGAGGAGTCGGGGGATATCACGTGAACGTACGGTGTGGGAAAACGGGGGGCAGAGGAGGAAATGAGATTTATTTCCTTTCTTCCTTTTTTTTACGCTAAAAAGGGCTAACAAGGCTAGCAAGGCACAGGGGCCCTTTTTCACACGCTACTACAAGCCTTCGGCGGCTACGGTAAATACCGACTTGCTATCACAGTGTGCAGAGTCATACCCCGTACCGAGTACTTGGCCGATTCTACTTTCACCATCCATATGGGATTCTTCAAGTTCTTCCTTCACTCTAGACATCATGCAACACAGGACCCGAGTCAAAACAAGCAGAATCCTTTTAAGATGATCCCGGTCAGGGCGCCTGTGGGGGGATCTAATTGTGGATATTAACTGTGATTGTTATGTACGGCCCCTTTTTTATGACCACTCATATGGCCAGTAGGAGGAGCTATGGCCTTCAAAACGTGATTAATTTCATTTGATGTGACCCAAATTAGATCCAGTCCAAACACCAAGTCGTAAACTGCAAACTAGGTTGTACCTAGCTGTTGGTGTTAGTCCGAGTTCTCGAGGTTCACTCTCTAGTTAGGTTAGGATGTTTCATATCGAGGAAGATGAACAAAGCCATGACAAAGGATATCAAAGAAAATCATACGGACTATGCTGTAGAGACAAGAGATGACAAGGGTGGAAATTTCTATTATTATCAAGGTTGGCTTCCCAAATTTCTAGAGTTCATTGGCAGGTCGCTGGATGAAGGCTGGGCTGCAGAAAGAGTACAGTCAGCTTCCCCACGTGAGTTGCTTCTCCGCATATCCGAGGTTCACATGCAATGATGCAACAAAAGCCCCCAGATATCCTCAACTTTACTTTCTTGTCTTCAAATGCATTCTCTATGGTTTGGAATACATTTAAATTAACTTCATGGCCTTCGGTCGAGTCTAGAGACCGCCCCTCAGTTAATCCGTGAGTCGGAGGTCTCAAGCCATTTGGAGATGGCCGTCCAGTCAACCCTTCGGCGTCCGGAGGATCCCCTCCTGACATTATATCGCCATTACTCCGATCTCATACGCTCCAAGTTCTACCGCACATCCAAAACCACCCGCTTGATTGCAACGATAGCCCTTCTTTTCTCCATCATCGGCTCGGGTTATGGAGGCTATACGTGGTTCCGAGCGAGAGCCAAGGAGCGGGCCCAGGGTAGCCGTCTATTACGCCGAAACTCTGGTATCCGGGGCAAAGATGGATCTCGAACTATATACGTGCCATACAAGGACTCCCTGACTTCCAAGGTCTTGATCCATCCCACCAAACCGACTACTTTTGACGCTCATCGACGACTATTCCTCAACCCCCCGGCATCGAGTCGCAGCAAAGATGATGGCTCAGCAAGCCAGATCCCTCCCCCTACAACCAAACCAGGTCTGAATTTGGCATTCTTGCATCAATTCTTGAGTTTGGGTAGTATCATGGTCCCGAGATGGGGGAGCAAAGAGACTGGGTTGCTGATGAGCCACGGCCTTTTTCTCTTGATGAGAACATATCTTTCACTGTTGATTGCACGGCTTGACGGTGAGATTGTAAGAGATTTGGTCGCTGGGAAAGGAAGGGCTTTCCTTTGGGGTATCTTCAAGTGGTGTGGAATTGGAACCCTTGCTTCATATACCAATGCGATGATCAAATTCCTTCAATCCAAGGTGTCCATCGCCTTCCGCACTCGATTGACCCGATATATCCACGACCTATACCTAACTGACAATAACAATTACTATAAATTGATGAACTTGGACGGCGGAATCGGTCAAGGGCCCGATCAATTTATCACGCAGGATCTTACCCTGTTCTGCTCGGCTGCCGCATCACTATACTCCTCAATGGGAAAGCCGTTAGTGGATCTTTTCGTATTCAACTACCAACTTTACCGATCCCTCGGCCCCCTTGCCCTCAGCGGCATTTTGGCTGGGTACTTCAGCACAGCCGTGGTGCTCCGGAAACTGTCACCACCATTTGGAAAGCTTAAGGCAGTGGAGGGCAAGAAAGAGGGGGGATTTCCGTGGCCTGCACTCTCGACTTTTAGCCAATGCCGAAGAGATCTCGTTCTACGGCGGAGCCGATACCGAGCGGGTGTTCCTAGTCCGAAGCTTCAAGGAGCTGCAGCGATGGATGGAGGGCATTTACAGTCTCAAGATCCGCTACAACATGCTCGAGGACATGATCCTGAAGTACTCCTGGTCGGCATTTGGTTATTTGATAACTTCTCTACCCATCTTCCTCCCCGCCTGGGGTGGCTCGGGTGGTGCAATGGAGTTGGCCGATGTACCCGAGGGTATGGGTCGCGAGCGTGGCCGCATGAAGGAATTCATCACTAACAAACGTCTCATGCTTTCGCTCGCCGATGCTGGAGGCCGCATGATGTACAGCATTAAGGACATATCCGAACTCGCTGGCTACACCTCCCGCGTCTACGGCCTCATTGCCACCTTGCACCGTGTCCACGCCGATGCGTATTACACCCCACGGGGCTCGCATCCCGAGCTATATTCTCTTGCGGATGTCCAAGGCACCACCCACAACGGCTTCAACGGGGTCCGTCTAGAGCAGGTCCCGATCGTTGCCCCATCCCTTTACCCAATGGGCGGCGACGAGCTCATCGAGTCGCTCTCATTTATCGTCCATTCGGGCGACCACCTCCTTATTTCAGGTCCAAATGGCGTAGGCAAGTCTGCAATCCCGCGTATTGTGGCAGGGCTCTGGCCCGTATACCGCGGACTGGTTAGTCGCCCTCGGGGCTTCGGCCTCGACGGAATCATGTTCCTCCCCCAGCGGCCATATCTCAGCGTCGGCACTCTGCGCGATCAAGTGATCTACCCGCACACGGAGCTTGATATGCGCGAAGCTGGCGAGACAGACGCAGCTCTACAGAAGATTCTCGACGACGCCCATCTTGGCTATCTGCCACAGCGTGAAGGTGGCTGGGACGCTCGCAAGGAGTGGAAAGATGTTCTAAGTGGTGGTGAAAAGCAGCGCATGGGCATGGCGCGGCTCTTCTACCATGAGCCGCGGTATGCATTCATGGACGAAGGCACTTCGGCTGTTTCCTCGGATGTCGAGGGATTGCTGTACGACAACGCCAAGGAGCGAGGTATCACTCTCATCACCATTTCGACGCGGGCGTCTTTAAAAAAGTACCATACTCATAACCTGACTCTTGGTCTGGGTGCCGAAGGCGAGGCCTGGGAGTTCGAGAGAATCGGTACTGAGAAGGAGAAGCTTGGTGTTGAGAAAGAACTTCAAGAGCTGCGGACGCGTCTGGATAAGGTGGACGAGTGGAAGCAGCGCCGCGAGGAAATTGATCAGGAGCTTCAGAAGGTGTGGGCTAATGGTAGTGAAGTTGCACCGCCGCCTTATCAGGAGGAAGAGCACTCTAGCTCTGAGGCTCTAACTGGGGTAACAGCGAATTAAATGTACACAGTTATTGGCAATCTTGAAGGCCTCCAGGGTTGAAATCCATCTCCTATGCACAGTAGGGATATTTCTCAGTTGAGTGTTATATCGGGCGCTCATGTGGCCTCTGTCATTGATGACGTAGTACTTCAATAACCCGACATATTTACCCTAGTGGCTCAAGATAATATTAGGGACGTTATATGTAAGAACACTTCAGTGTCTTTTTGTACTCCGTATGTTCTTTCTAGATGTATACGGATGATTCGAATTAAAGCGGCAAGAAATATTTACCTCTTAATTCACCGCCTTATTAAAGCGGCAGTATATCTTATCGATAAGCCCATCACAGAGAGAAAACCATAGTTCATCCTCACTTGCTTTCTTGTACAGAGCCTCTGCTCACTGTCAGTGGCCGGATCCTTGAGCTGTATTGCTGTTCTATCTGATTTCTTTCGGTGTTGCTGAGTCCAAGCCCCCTTACAATCCAATCTGCACTCCTTGAGGCAGGGAAGACAACCATGTCTTACAGCAGCGAGGATGAGGACTCCAATGTTAATATTATCCCCATGGAGAATTTTCCCAGCGATGGAGACATGAGTACCTGGCCTTCAAGTCACTACATTGAACGCTCCGACTTGCGCTGGCGGCAGTTACTTGCTGAAAACTGGCTCAAAGATATGGGCACTTATGAAGATGGTGAGTTGATTGCAGATGTTTCAGATTCACGTTTTGTTTGACATACTGGCTTTGTCGCACTGTATTTTTTTCCGCATTGCATTTGTTGGGTGACTGCATCTGTCGTCTCATGCTCATTCGTTCATTCGCTCCTTCGTGCTTTGTGCTGGCCTGTTATGGCCTCTCTTTTCTGTTTGTATACTTTATACCTCTACTCTCAGACTAACAGAGCATATATTAGGTGTCATTCATACCATTGAGAAGTTGCCTGATGGATACTGTCTATTTGAGCGACCTCGTGGGACTAATCCTAGCATGGTGGGCCTTTCTAGTGTTCCCATCTTGATTTGCAGCTAACAATCATATATGAAGTTTGATTCTTTTCTTTTTGGTCATCCAAGCGGTCGGTATTTCCAATCACAGTTATCTTTCTTGCCACATTTCCTCTCTCTGGTCAAGAACGAGCTTGACAAGTGCCAATGCAAGCCCTGTGGTAAAATGAAGATGAGCGAAGGGACTGCAGTGCAAGGGAAGGCGGGACAGAGGACTAGACGCGTTGTACAACCAAGTGAGTACTACCATGCCTCTTACGTTAGATCGTTTATTGACACCTATTGAGTCATTGATGAGCGCCAACCCACCGATGCAGAGGGACCAGATTACTGGCGAATCTTAATTATGAAATTGAAAGATAAAGGGGCCCTCGACGAAGATATTGAGCAGCGGTTCAATTTTGACTGGGTATTGACTCACGAATGGCTTTCTGATTACTTTATGAAACTGGTTCTGGATCCCGCTTACATCCCCCGTCGTGGTGAACTTGTTCTATGGATCTGGCAGGGTCTCGAAGACGGCTGCTTGATGCGCAACCCTGAGACTGGCTTCATTGAGATATTCGGCAACGATAATAAGTGGCATGGTGTGCCCAATTGGCGTGCCGGCGTGGTGACCCAAATCCCAGAGGACGAAGGGCATATGGTGAATATCATTGAAGGCTCCGATAATCCACGCGGGCTGAGCTACTCTGGATTCCGTGTGGAGACTCTGCCGGATCCGTTGGGTAGTGATAAGTCTTACTCGGTGCAATATGCCTATGTTCCATTGCGTAACATCAAGCCTTTTAACACATGGCAACTCTACCTCAATGGCCAAGAGCGAGGGGATATTCACCCATCTATTGAGAATGCCATGACTGTTATGTCTTCCTGGAGCATGGTTCACAAATTCCATGTTATTGGCACATGGCCCAGCGCCAGGATCTACTGCAAGGGAATCTTTGTCGGGGCCGAACTCCTTGCCTTACACGACACCGTCCGTCTGAGGCCACATGGATTCCATCACGACCAGCTCAAATACGGAACAGTCGGCGAAGTGACAGACGTGATGGTTATTGAAAAAATCGCGCTCTATCTTTCAGAGTGCATCGACGACAACGAGGAGCAGCTAGCCAAACACATCACAGCCCTGATATCCGGTAAGGTGTTCACCACTGATCCTAGTCGCGTTACCCAAGAAGGCCCATTCAAAGGCACAAACCCCGTTTCATCCGGCGGATCAGCAACTGGTCCTATCCCACTCACTACGGAAGAAGCAACCGCTACCTTCCGCCAGGTCGGCATGGGCGACTACGGTCCCTGGTACCGTATGGCCGATGGCAGAACCTGCAACGTCTCCCCACACCTTATCGTGGGTCGCTGCTACGAACCGCTCGCGGCAGAGCTTATGTTCGGCACCCATACAATGGGTTACGATCTATCCGGCGTTATGGAAGGTCGTCAGTACTCGTCACAAGTCGATTCGCGTATGCCCAAAGGCAAGACGTGGTTCTGGGGGGATTGCCGGGTGGAGACGCTCGGACTGACAGAAATCAACGGTGTGGAATGCGGGCTTACAGCGGCGCAGCGCGAAAACCCGCGCAAGTGGCAGGCGATCATCAAAATATCACACGGTGAAGTCGGTCACGGTCTCCGGGGCCAGGCCGAGCTTCCTTCTTCTGTCGGCCGACCCTCCAAGTCTTCTTCGTCCGCTCCGAAGGGTACCAGCTCTCGGCCGAGAACTGGTCTTGAGCATATTGCGCAGACGAGTAAACTGGTCAGTTCTGTTATTGGCAGTGTGACCGATATTGAAGATGACTCTTTTGATGATCAAGTGTATGGTGGTATCTCTGAGCTAGGGCTTGGGGATGGTCATTCTTCGGGGGAGGATAGTGATTATTCGAATGAGTAGGTTGATTCGATCCGATGTGCCCGTTGTTTTCCCTCCTTTTAGTGGCATATTCAAGATACCCATGGGCGTTACGGAGGGATGGTTCTATCTTGACCAAATGAAATTATGTGCAGACTGTACAATGTTCAAATAGTAGTGTATCTTATTATCCCCACAGCTATGTAATCCTGCAGAACAAACAGAGTCAACATCTAGAAGAATAAGCGTAAACTACGAAGAATGTTATTGCAACCAATATCTTAGAAGAGAAATAGATTCCATGGCTATTGCTTTCATGTCTATGTCTAAAAACTGACACTCATATTAGACGAAATACGCCTTAAACCTCACTCTGTCCAGCAGAATTCCGTCTAGCGACACGTTTCTTCTCAGACCAGGGGAAGTGAATAACAGGAGGCAGAATGAAGCTGTTACTGTTATCAGCAATACCAGCAAAAGCATTATACCAAGCCAAGAAAGCACCAAGCAGAGCAAAGAGCCCACCCGCCTTTATCAATTTCTCATTTGGCGCTCCATCGACATTGAAAAGGTACCCGAGGGAGAGCAAGAGAAGGGCGATGTCGACGAAGAAAAAGAGGGAGAAGAACGCCACGGTGGATTTGAGAGTGAGCATAGTGATCATTGTTGTGAAGATGAACCAGCCCTATTGAGAGTAAGTTAGTTCCAATCTCCTTCTTCTTGCCCGGAATAACATACGAAGAGATACAATGCAAACGAATTGTAAAACATAGCGGGAGACCCATTATCCGCTTCTTCAAGGGCCCCTATGATATCAAATCCACCGGGAATAAAAGTAATAGCAAGCGACATCCAGAAAGCACCGTAAGATGAGAGCACAGTGGCACCAAAGGTATTGCCAATCGCCATTTCCCTGGTTTCGTTAGCTAAAGCCCTACTCTTTCACGTCCATAACATGTCTAAAACATACCACATGCCAGCCAAAAGCTGCACAAAGCCGCCATAAATCAATGCAGGCCCGACGATGATATTAGGCGCAGTAATGCCCCTGACGTTCATATTGAGACATCCCAGCACAAAGGTGGTGAGTGCGAATGCGCACAGGCCTAGTGGTGCCGGATTGGCGAGCTTGCGGTCTTTAGGGATGCGGTATAGACCTGGCTGGAGATCACCTCCGAAGGCAGGGTAACGGCTCGAGGCTGTGTTGACGTGGGCTAGGGGGCCAAAGTGGCCTGTTTCATAGTCGTCATTGCTGGAGGAATAGTTGTTTGTATCTTTGGCACTGACATCTTCTTCGTGGGACATTATAGGTTGGGGGCGTGAGGTAGACATAGATGTATAGAAGAGGGAAAGGGGGTATATAGTTCGAGAGGAGGGAATATATCCCGGATGGCAATGCAATTATTCTGGACAAGGTTGACAAGTTTGACAAGAACAATTGCGAGTTCGTTCTGCTTTATATATTGCGTAGACAAGTCGTGGACACCATGACACCACCACACCCCCTAAACATATCATGATCAGGAAACAAAATTCCTGGGGAAGATCACCGCCAGTGCGGGGGCGGGGCCAGCCCGAAATTGAGTCTTCGGAAGCGAGAATAGAGGCGACAATAGGGGGTATTGCTGGCATTGCTAGCATTGCTGGCATCTTGGCATAAGAGTACCCCGTAGTGGAGACAATATACAGTTCCATCCGTCCGTAGATGATCACATTGCGAGTACGAGATCGTGATGTATCGAGTAAAGATCAACACGTAAGACTCGTTCTGAGCCTATAAATTATGGGGAAATGCGGAGATCTCCTAGGTGACTGTGTGGGGTTTCGGTTCCACCTGTCGGCATATTTAGCATCTCTAACACTGGATTATAGTGTAAATACTTGGCAGAATGTGGAAATCTCTGTCACTGCCTAGATTCATGTGCCAAGCTGGTCATTGGGTTTGGAAACGCGTCACTCACTTTTCCTAGATCCATCCGGGCTGAATTCGCCCCCAGGAAATCCCCACGCTCTACGGAAAAAAAGGACAAAAAACTCAATGGATGATTTAGATTAACCTCGTTCCAATCAAAGCACAAGCTAGAAACTTAAAATTCTTAAAATACTCAATAATTCTTCTGCACAACACCCCTTGCAAACTCCGCAAAGCTCAATCCAGGCTGAACCTCCTCTGCAAGGTTCGGCTGCGTAAATACAGCAAGAGTATTCCTCGCAATCTTCTGCCCAGGACTAGCCTTAGCCCCTTTAACAAAATGCGGCACGGCCATAAACTTGCCGTGCGTGATTAGCTGCAAGGCCTCACCAGTCTGGAAAGCCAGACAATCCTTCGGAATATTGACTTTAACAATCTCATCAGTGCGGGAACGGATGTACAGTCCGGCCGAAGGGTCGGGGGAATGAGGAAGTTCAGGGAGAGGGGCAGATGCAGACCCTGACGGATCGAGACTTGGAGGCGAAGCGGCTTCATCGAGGAACATGGCCGATGTCAAGCCCGTCAGACAGCCGTGGTCAAGGTGTGTAGCGCACCAGTCGTCATCACTGGTTTCAGCCTCGTCTTCCTGATTAGGGAAATAATGTAACAGCCGTGCCTTGGTTGTCAGGCTGGTTGTCACGACATGGTGCAGATACCCAGGCTTGTAGCCTTCGATATTGGCTTCCGCATACCGGTCACATGCCTTAGCGACGAGTGCCGCGGTATCAATGATCAGCCCACATAGTGACTCCACGCTACCCCTGAATTCGGGTAATTTGGCTGGCGGGGGCCAGATGTTTGGCGCGGTATACTGGGGTAGATCTGGGAAATCATCTGCCGGGGCGCTGTCTAGAGATGCATCCTGATAGAAGGCACAGTTCACGTAATACGAGCCCTTTAATGTATCGAAATGGCCTGATTTCAGCGTTTCTTTACCGCAAGACCAGCCGACCAAGTATTTGGACTCTGGGCTGGTGAGGGTCTCTACATCGAGGTTAGTCTGATTGTGCGGTTGGAGTCGGGTGGAGGGGCATCTTACCTAGTTCGGGGTCAGGGAGAGCCGCCAAATACGAGGCATTGGAGAGGACCTTTGTGCGCAAGTCGCTGAAGGTCGAGGGCAGGTCTTTGACCACGATGATGCCCAAAGAGGACGGCCCAAACGCTTTGGTCAGAGTATCGAAGGAGACAGTTCCTACATAACTTAGCATCTACTCTTCTTCTTCTGTTCTTCTGAACACATAACTTACCATCTACAAGTTCCTGCAGACTGACGGTAACGGCCTCGGCCGTGTTGGTCTCCATGATGTTGTAGAAATTCAAATCAACTTCCCCGCTCTCGTATCTTTCTAATCTCAAAGGGTTCCTCTTCGCCTATCTGCCACTAAATTTGACACGATGTTACTTGATGCAGGGATATAAATAATACATCCAATAGGAGTCGAAAATTCCATATCGTCCCATTCTTGGCATATCGTACAGGCCACTACTATTACAAAAGCCCTCACTCGCTACTCGACTGTCCATGCCGCCTAGTCACAGCCCGTAGATTACCAAATGGCAACACATCGGTAATTCGCTTGGCCCCCGTGAAAAGCATACAGAGACGATCAACCCCACAGCCCCATCCACCGGTAGGAGGCAAACCCCACTCCAAGGCTTCGAGGTAGCTCTCATCTACCTCGCCAGGTTCATCAGCAGCCTTGCTAAATCGTAGCTGGTCCTCGAATTTGCGGCGCTGCTCAAAGGGAGAGTTCTCCTCCTCGTATGTATTCACCACTTCCTTGCCCTCGATAAAGAGTTCACCGCGTGCGGCGACGCGCTGCTTGGTCGTCGGGTGAATGAAGGATTTAGAGAGTGGGGAGAGGCATTCGGGTGGGTTGATGATGAAGGTTGGGTTGATGCACTGTGATTCGACGTAGATGCTGCATAGTTCGTCGAGGAGTCGCGGGAGGGTTGGGTTCGTTGGGAGTGGGAGGGAGAGCTTGGTAAAGATAGCGTAGACTTTGTCTAGGGCGTCGGGGGATTCAAGGTCAGGCAGTTTGTGACCAGTGCCCTCTTCGATGCCTATAAGGAAGTCGATACGGCGGAATGGTGCCGTGAAGTCGGCTGTGGTGGGGTGAAGAGTGCCTGTTGTGTTTAGGGCGCGGATGTGGGCTGCCATTCCGGAGAGGAGGTCTTCGGTCATGGCCATTAGGTTCTCGAGATTGGCGTATGCATGGTAGAATTCACAGGTGGTGAATTCTGCGTTGTGTGTTTTGTCCAATCCTATATCTCATCAGCTTTGTTAGACAGGTATTTGGTATCTGTTTCAACACACCCTCATTGCGGAACGAAGGTCCAATTTCGAAAATCTTGTCAAACCCACCAACCACCAACCGCTTGAGCCACAGCTCCGGCGCGATTCTCAGCGACAGCTGGCGGTCTGGGAACTCGGTGGCAGAGGTATAGAACGGACGAGCAATTGCGCCGCCTGCCACAGACCCGATGATCGGGGTGCTAACCTCCATAAAGGATCGGTCGATAAAGAACTGGCGTAGATACTGTACCAGGGCCGCGCGGGCTCGGATGATATCGGCCGTCGCGGGGTTGGCTAGGAACTGGACATGGCGAGGATAGGGAGAGGTCTCGTGCTCAATGTCGTGAATGGGGACATCATGCAGACACGGTGAGAGCAGCTGCGGCAACTCACTCACATCGATAGTGAGCTCGCCTCGTCCAGTGCGGTGCGGTCTACCGGTTACAGCTAGAATGGCATTTAGCGACACTCGAGTCAGGCCGGACGGAGACGAGACATACAGAAAGCGTCGCCGCGACGCAGAAGACGATAGAACTTCTTGAAGTCCTCGGGAGAGACATTCTCCAGACGACGCTTGTTGCACATGACCTGGATTTTATGGCCGTCCTGCACGATATCGAAGAAGATCAATTTGCTTCCGGCGAGTCTATAGGTACGGATTCTTCCTACTATTCTAAGTACATGGGCATTGTAAAGGCCAGAAAGCAGAACCTACCAGAAACGATGACTGTGTCTTCTACTGAATCATTGTCGGCGAGCTCGGCGTAGCGAGAGCGAAACTCGGCGCAGCTCACTGTGCGTGTGTCCACCGCTAGGCGAGGGTATGGGTCTGCGCAGGCATCTTTGATCTGCTGTACGCGATCCTGTAAAGCCTTCTTTCCCGGTAATGCTGCAGAGCTATTCTTTCGAATCGGCTGTGTGGTTAGTCGTGGTGTAAAGAAAGTCTGAATGCGGGATTGTCTAGCGAGTCGTAGTCCTGCACTGAAGATTCTGGGTTAGCAATATTCGATAAAATTGACATTCTTGATCCAAAATTAAGCATTAAGCTTTTTCAGATAAAATCCAGTACGTTCAGTGTCCAAAAGGACATCACTGTAGCGGTTCTAATGCGGGGATAAATCATCATATAAGGGGCGAGTGGGAACTGAGAGAGTAAAGCGATAGACAGTAAATGCAAATCTTACCTGTTTCGTAGGCCAAAGCCAGATAAAGCCCATCTAGGGCGAATTGAAAGCATAGCAACTGCCAATGGCTCTCACATTGTTAAGAGAAGAGAAGAAGAAGAAGAAACGGCAGAACCGAGTTTTTCCACGCGGGTGGCCCAAGCTTCTCCGACCTCCCGTGCTCCGAATACGTTGGACTTTCTGGTGCTCTACTCCACATATCTAGCATCTTAACCATCTACATTCCAAATCTACTCCAAACACATATACATCATGTCTTTCCTCTTCGGCGGTGCCCCCAAGATGTCCTCGGCAGAGAAGATCGCTGCCGCCGAGACAGAAGTCGAGATGATCTCAGACATGTTCAACCGGTAAGTTGAAGCCCTAGAAAATACCCAAGCGCTATATCTCGATTCAAAAGCCAGAAGACTGCAAGGAATTTCATTCAATCTATCTTCGAACTATATATATGCCTAACCCATTCTGACTTGTTACCGTCGCGATCATAGCTTGACCGAGTCCTGCACCAAGAAGTGCGTCCCCGCCGATTACCGCGAAGGCGACCTCAACAAGGGCGAGTCTGTCTGCCTCGACCGTTGTGTGTCCAAGTTCTTCGATGTCAACATCAAGGTCAGCGAGAAGATGCAGGGCGAGGCCAACGCCAACAAGCAGGGTGGTGGCTTCATGTAAACGTGTTGACAACGAAATTTATTGGGAAGGAGCTCTGGTAGCCTTGAAGCTAGAGAGCTCGGTGGTCTTTGTTTCTGTGTAAGGCTATTTGACTGGTTCGGCCTAGTGAAACTGGGTCTGTTTTGAATGGTGGTTCACGTTTATACCATCACGGATGGAAGGTACGATCGCCGGTCTATCTCTGAATATGTACAATATGGTGGATATGGGAAAAACAGAGAATGAAAAAGGAAAATATCATACAAGTGTCGTCGTTAGGTCAGAAGCCCATGGATCGCGCTATCCATGCGGTCCAGGAAGTGTCGTGCTGTTCCTCGCCTTTGACCAGGGCTTTGATTCTCATCTCGACATTTACAATGTGACGGTCAAAGTCGCTCAGGCCGGCTTCCATGTCCTCGACCTTGGACTCCAGGACGTGTAGTTCGTAGTCCAGTTTGGCACCCAGCAACTCGACGCGTTTCACGCCATCGGCGAGATGGTGGCTTTCATCTATGAGGATGTCACTAGATCGTTCGCGCAATCTCTGGTAGTCGCCAAAGCGTTCCAGGTAGACTGAGTTGAGCTCCTCATGTCGGTCACATAGGAGTTGGTTGAGACCTTCCACGGAATCCACTTGTCGTTCAACCCAAGGCACAGTATGCTGGCTCAACTCTTGAATCCGTGAGCTGAAAATGCGTCCCTCTGAGGCAAGCATGTCTTCTTGAACGATAGCCTCATCCAGGCTATTAGATTCTTTGACCGTTGGTTTCCCACCTAACGGCTCCCATTTGAATACCACTTCTTCAACTATGCTGAACGACAGGTGTCGTGCGCAGAAGTTGTCTCGCCGTTCAAGCTCACTTTCAAGACTTTGGAATTCTTCGCAACTTTGCGGCCGCCGCAGGGCCATGACAGCTATCCCGCTAATCGAGCCGTCACGGTCACGGTCACGATCCGTTGATGCTGCCGTCGACCGAGTCATAACGCGTTCCATATCGGATTCTTCCTCGATGATTGAAGCCTGCTGTACAATGGGCCAGTCTTGAGCTTGTGTTTCTGGCTCATCTTCTGGCACAGGTTCGATATGGATTTCAGGAGCTTTTCTCTCGGACTCGGAAAAAGGGGACAGTTGAGGTTTCTCTTCCTTCTCAATGAGCTTTTCGATATCGTTTGATATCTTTCTTTCTGACCGGAACCCAGAGTCGGTTCGTGTTTTTGTTGACGGTGCCTCGTTATCACTATCGATGGACGGGCGGTATGCGAGATCGTGTGTCACCTCGGAGCTGTCTCGTGAAGAATGATGCTGATGATGATGGCGCTGCCGTCCGACTGCATCTTTGAAACGTCCTAACCCTGCTCGCGCATCTGAAACTCGCCCGCTGACGCCCTTCTTTCGATGATCCTTTTCTTCAACGGGCGGTTCTGGCGTCTTCCAAGAGCGATCTAGCGCGGAGCTCGCTCGCTCGGCATGTAAATCCTCTGTCGAATGCTTTCTGCGACTGGTCCAGACATAACCACCTTGTTCATCGGTAGTAAACATCATATCCGATCCAGTTCCCCGGGTGAACCCGTCTTCGACACCACTCTTGCGCGGTTTACCCAGCCACAGCCACTTGGCTCTCTCGCCATTGCAGCACTGAACAAAAGTGTCAAGATCCAGTGTTTCGATATCGGCAATACCGCCTTTGTCGCGCCCGCGGACCATCCCCATAACCATCTCACCACCTTGTCCACTCAGCTCCGCCATGGTTGACTTCACTGCATCGGTCCAGCCTTCTGCGTTAGCAGCCTTGGCCGTGGCACGGTGTAACCGGTCCAATGTAAGTCGATCTAGTCTTCGCGACCGCTTCATTTTTTGAGACTTTTGGAACCCACCAATTCCTCTTTTCAGACTGTGGAAGTCGAATGCGTCTTTCCCCACTGGGGCGCCATAGGCGTGCAGTCGATTTCGAGCTCCAAGCAACGTGCCCAGCAATGCAGCCACGCTAGTGGGTCCTAGGCTGCTGTCGCTTGGCTCAATGTTGTACAGGTCTGTTCCGATATCTGTCCACCAATCGCTAATAGCTGCCTCAGTCACATCACAAAGTAGCCCGTCCACATATTCCGGGGCTAGCTTGTCAAACACCATCAAGGCAATCTGGCACTGTCTGACCAATTCCATGACCGCATTGTATAAAGGGACCCTCTCGCTCGTTCGGTACAACTGATGAAACTTGGCTTCGGTCGCCGCTGAGGGATGTTGAAGCTTCAAGCCCGCGCGGCCTGCGCACCCAAGTCTTTTTAAGTCTTCATTCACAATGAAATCCTCCCGGTGTTTCTTGATATCGCCATTTGGTATTGGAATAAGACTCAAGGCAGAAGGAAATGAGGCCAAATCGGTAACCATGACCGTCCCTAGTGGTGTTTCCTTCCTTCTGGCGTGGCATTGCTTCATGGCGTCAAAGTACATCCGCAATCGAGGCGACCATGTAGTTTCATTGGTCGGAACACTCAGTACTCCCACAATCACTGTATGCGAAGGGTCACCGGTATAGGTCGAAATGATGAATGTCGGATGCACGCGAGAGCAGGCCCATTGCTCAACAATATAGATTTCATACCCTTGCAGTGTTACACGTCGCTGGAGCACATCGGTCGAGGGGTCTTCTTCTAGGTATCGGAGGGCAACCGCATCAGTGAACACAATTCGCTGGTGGCCTTGCGGTGAGGGACGTTCGGCTCCAGTTGCGTGAGAGGCGGCCTCCGATGGCAGAGAGTCGGTACGATCGACCGGAGGGACATTCGGAGCGTTGGCCTGCATGATGGCTGGTCTCCTGTTGGGCTCATATGCTAAGGGAACAAGATGAAAATAGCGCCGACCATTCAACCCAACCTTAAAGTAGATCACCTCTCCTAAGCTCAAGATGCGAAGGGAGTGCCGGCCTTCCTTCGATCCTCCTGCACTCTTGGTCAGGTCGGAACAGTTGTGACATATCCAGACAACAGGGTTTGAGGCATAGCATGAACCTGAAATAAAAGGAGAAAGGCAAATGTATTACAGGCGAACGCCTTGAGAACCGCATAAACCCCCGAGGTGTGCAGAAGTGGCGACGTCATTTCTGTACCTGATGGCGGACGGATCATGTGACCATGGCTGTCTGGTGTTTTAGCCTCAGGCATCTACGCTTGTACATCTCCCCTCTGCAGGATTTAACAGCTTTGAAGAGACCTCGCGACAATGGTCAGCGCTCACAATATGCAATATATCTCTGCTAAATGCTCAACAAGAGAAAAACTACGAGGCTTATTATTCTCAATGAGATCTCTTCTACAATGAATTCTGTCTCCAATATATGACGTCTGTCGGGAAACTACATGCTAACTCTTATACAGCAAAGCAACTACGGCATCGAGAAGAAAGAGGCAATTCTCGAAAGTCATCACCAGGATGCTCGTCCAGCGAAATGGCAGACGGGTTTACATTTCCGATAGAACTATGCATGTTATGAGCCTATCAATTCAAAGCATGTGCTCCCAAAGCTCTAGGATATCCACCTCCAATCATCTCTGTCCTGCTATTTAGCGTCCACCCGGCTGTATAATAGTCAGCAAAAGACTCATGTGAATGAACGAGCTATACATACTCCTCCCTGGGGACCACCGGGTCCGCCATGTCCACCCTGGTGTTGTCCAGGGCCACCCTGTTGTCCGAAACCTCCCTGACCACCGGGTCCGCCGGGGCCACCCTGGTGCTGGCCACCTTGCTGCTGTCCCTGGAATCCACCCTGGGGTCCTCCAAACCCAGGGCCGCCAGGGCCACCCTGCTGCTGTCCTTGGAATCCACCCTGGGGTCCTCCGCCGGGACCGCCAGGGCCACCATGGGGACCGCCGGGACCTTGCTGGTCGCCGTGATTACCGTGGTTCCCGTGGTTCCCGTGGTTCTCGTGCTCGTCGTGCTTGTCGTGGTGGCTGAAGAGACCCATGGTTGATGATGGTATGATGAAGTGGGGAGGTGGTAGATTGATGAACAGTGAGATCGAGATGTTATTTGAATGTGAGTATAATTCTGGAAGAAAAAGGATGGAGGGGTTACAGCTGCCCTTTATAAAGACTGAGTGGCGTCGCCGATCAGAATAGTGCTAAGACGCTATGAGCTGAGCCTAGTCTTAGACGGGGATGATGGCATCACATCACGTACGACTTGCCGATGTGGAGTATCAGAAGCCTATGATTGGGACGTACTGGGTACTCCCTCCACTTGGTAAGAGTATCGATCGATGAAGACGTAGCCAGACCCTAGATCGATTCGCCGTCCTTATTTAATCTATTGATGACTCCATCAATATATATGTCTAAGCATCGGTAGAGTTCTAGCTTGCAGCTATTCAGTGTCAATTCCAATATGAACAGCCAACTTTGTAACATAATATCAGCATTTGCAGATTATCTTTGGGGGCCTGTCGATTGCTGCTCAGTCTTCCGCTGCTGGGCTTGGCGTTGTCGATGCGTACGTACGCCTCTCCACAGCTCCAGCCCTACTCCGGACTAACCATCTTATTGCCAAAATTCTATCGCCCAAACCCAAGAGCCGTTCTCGGACTTAATTGCCGGTATTTTTTTAGCGTCGGTCGTAGTCATCATAAACAGTAAGTGGGTGTCAACCTCCGGGGCCGTGGACCAACCAGCTTGCCAGATGGGCACAGCCACTGTGGCTTGTTCGTACCGCTACATTATAGGCCCATCAGCTAGCCACCATCGGGTTAACTAGACCATCTTTGCCATCATCGGCGATTAGACAGATAAACTACAATATAGGGTTCTGACAGATTATAATTTCAACTACGGAGTAAGTCCTCGCTAAGTAACCCAACCCCATTCGGGTGTTATAGCTTACCACACCGTGACGGAAATAGTGGCAATTGTACCTTTTGTTAAAGATTTGCATACAAAAGGTACATATGGCTAATCATCAGTTTCTCGACTCTCGAAACAGATAGGAAATTTACAGTCACTATCCGAGGCTTTATATTTTCTACAATGAACGATCCATAAAGAGGTATCGTATAGCTATAGCGCGAACAATTGTTGCAAGTTGTTCGAAAACTTCGCGCTATAGCATATTGGACCCCTACGGAGTAAGTAACTAGTGAAGAGGGATATGCGGATATGCACGATGGGCAGTCTGGCCTAGCAGACAAGACGAGAGCGACATAGCAACACCAACCATCCAGGGAGGTCAGCTAGCAAGCATGGGGATCACACAGACCGTAGTAGACATCCTTATCTCCTAATACAACAACATCCTGTAAACTCCTTTTTCATTCTGTGAGTGGTGACTGGTCTAGCTTCTCTCCTCTAGGATTCTATGTAGTTGACATGGAGGCTATTCTCTCCCCGCCTGAAATATAAGGCCACTACTTGAGGATTCCGCTTTCCCCACTAGTACCGCCTTCCTGATTAGGTGCGACCTTGTATTCTGCCATATAATCTGCCACAAAATAAAAAGACATGCATTTTGATCAGAAAAAAACGTATATTCTACCTGATTCCTATAAATTTAACCCCTTAATAATAAAGAAGTTGATATGACAACAGTTACTTTATTTTGCTACAGGTTTACATACAAATTGCGACTGTCTTGCTACTACATATTTGACGAAAGCGATATATAAAAATAGAAGGCGGTGTGAAGTGCGATAGATAGAAGTGTGGTACCCGAATGGGGATTGGTTGCTTGGCAAGGACCGGGTATCGAGGGAAATACATTAGCGGATGTTGTTATATTGGGAAGTCAAGCAAGTAGACTGTCACGTAGCTATAAAGAAAAAAAGAAATTCTTGGTATTCGTCTCACGAGCACAGAAATATATATGTACATTCTAAAAAGGTCGCGAATCGAATCAACGCTATAAGTTACAGCCAAGCGTCTATACAAAAGGACGTATCCAGCCACGGGCTAAGGCAAGGCCATGCTCATCTCGAGTTGTTGATATCCCTTTGGATTGTGGAGATTCTTGTGAGCGGATGGCATCAGATCGACAATCAAAGAGAGGATATAACCGGTGAAGACAAAGGCGATGACTATGGAGCGGATTAGTATAATATCAGGCAGTGGACAGGCGAAAATCATATGTATACTCACCCCATTCAAGAGTAGCAGCCATGTTATTCTGGTTGTAATGGGTATGCTCCGTGACCCGGAAGACAATAATGAGGGCAAGTTCAACGACAATGAACGAAGATTTGATAAGAAAACTTGTCATGAGCATGGGCTGCCGCAGGGCATGTGCGATGCCCAGATAGATATAATCCAAGCACATCAAGGCCGCGCTGACGAGAAACCCGACACTGGAGCTGTCAGTACATTGTGACCTATAAGTATACCGGATATATCGGGTATAGCGTCTTGGCGAGGGACATACATAAAGATTGTCACGCAGACATCGTGCATGAAATGGTGGGCGATATTGTCGAGGACGGAGAGCATAATCAATCCGATACTCCCGACAACTGTGAAAAGGAATGAACCGTGCGTGCACGCTTTGCTGATGTATGACTTGTTTTGAACATGTTGGTAGAAAGAGAGGTTTAGAAGTAGGACTGTTGTGATCGATCCGATCATGAATAAGGGTTTTAAATCCTGGGCTCCAATATCTGAAATGAATCTGTTCAAAGATGTTGGTTAGATCTTGGCATGATTGAGGATGACCAAAGAAGGCAAGTGCTCACGGTATATTCTGACCAGGCTTCATCAAGCCATATCTCGGTTCACCGATCATAGTCCAGTGGCCTAACATGGTGAGTAGCATTGCTAAATCCAATGTTAGCATATTGCTCAATGCGATCGTGGAAAATACAAGACCTCACCTAGCCAAGTGGACGCGGCTACGGCCGGAAAGACCCAGGAAGGGAGGAACATTATAATGTGTGCGTATAGCTAAAGAGTGTGGTTTGGAGCAGCAGTCATAGTCTTGTTATAACGACAGTATCAAAGAGCACGGGCTGGTGAAGTTGGATACCAGCCACATCTCTTTACTCAAGTAGTTGACAAAGAGAGAAAGTGATCCATCCTTAGGTTGGGAATCAGGCAACAAAATATTGTGCCTGTCGATCCCTGCCCCTATGACGAGGGTCAGTTATGGTATGTGGGTCTATTAAGGAATTGGCAACCCCTTGATCGTTGTTTCGTGTAAGAAGCACATGTTTCGTACATGAAAGGCACAAGCCGGGTTACAGAATTAGCACAAAGATGGTGTATTTATGTCGCTTTCATGAAACTTGGGAGGTAGATAATGAATTTGGCATGCTTCGACTGATATCTATGCGTAGAATGAAAAATCAGATTGCTTGTTGCTCCACTGAGCTCCATAAAAAAAAGGGAATCGAGAACCTGGTTGCATATCCTTTAGTACCATTGGTGGGGCCAGGGCTGGGATATGTTTGTCGACATTGGCAAAGCAAAGCATCATGTACATCGCACCGTTTCGCACGTATTAAATGTGGAGATGGAAGTGATCGCCTCGTGGATGATCAAAGCTTGTATTCTCATTGTACCTGTCGCCTGTAGTGTATCAGAGTTGCATCAAAGGCCAATGTATATCCCTTGGCGAGGATGGAAGGGACTGGGGTCTGAAAGGAAAGTCCTATGAGCATTTCGCGGGTCTCAAATCCCGGTGTAGAAACGAGAGCAGCCGAGAGCAACCGAGAACAACCGCCGCTCTCATGACTACGGCTGTACCTGTAACATGATCTCAGGTACCGATTTGGGAGAGAAACCAATAAGCACGGAGTATCTGTCTTTTGATACTAGACGTGTCAAAGGGGCATATGTGAGGAAGTAGACAGGGTTAAGAGGTGGGACCCAGGATACACCTACATGAGTTCGATGCTCATGATGAGGTATCTGGCTGGCACGCTGTTCCGACGTTTCAACCTGTTTTGACAGCACGGCAACTTCCCGATCGGACAAGGGGCTGGGGTCTGCTTTGTTGGCCGGTAGGGAATGCAGTCAGTAGAGGTACCTAGACTGAAAGGTAGCTGGGAGCTGTTCTAGTGATATGTCAGTGACTGTAATTCCAGGTCCATGGTTTGGCGCCTGTGTTGGAGCTCTATTGAAATGAAACTTATTGATAGCGTGGTGTTCGGTTCAACCAACCGGCTGTCCACTAACAGCTGAGTAGGCACCGGCACCGGCATGGAGTTGCCGAACGTGTACAGGAGTAGTGAGTGGTGGAAGACCGAGGGGTATTACATCAGTGGGGCAGTGTTGACCCTACGGCGAGATTTCAACCAAAAACCGATAAGAAACGCAGATGAAGATAGTTTATCTAGCAGTGCAAGGAGTTTTAAGGAGACAAGTGATGGCAGCAAAAACAACTTCAATAAAGAATGCCTAGGTGGCTGCCATCAGGGGGGAACAGTGGGCCGGCCGGCAAGGGCAAAATGTGATGCGACCTATGGACGCGTCAGTCAAGACGCGACTTGTTTTGAAAAATTTCTTCTGAAGTTTATAGATTGTCTAGCAAGATCATAGAACTATCTAAGCGTCATCTCTTCTCTAATAGCCACCGACATGGGTAACAAGTAGTGAAAAGACTCAAGATACTCGAGGGTGACCGAAGTCTCCCATCGAAGAATCAAATTCAAACTCGAGGACTCAAGAGTCAAGGAGCTGAGGCAGTAATGTTTCAAAAATTCCCAAGCGTGCGGTAAGGCTCGCTTGAAGCAGTCAATTTGGTAGTTTTCAACTAGCAAAAACACGATCTCGGATGTCTCCTCACTGATACGTGTAAAACCCATGCACTAGGATGAAGAAGAAAGAAAAAAGAGGACCAAGTTTGGGGGGGAGACCACCTATTTATATTTTCCTACTGGCTGAAGGCAGCAGCAATGAAAAGGTTGGTGACGAGCTCGGAATAAAGGATATTCCGAAGAAAAATAGCCGTGTGCAGCCGTGGATATCCGGAAATATCGGAGTTAGGCGGAGAAACTATGAAGCCGAAGCTAGATGTGATATATGACAAATACGGAAGGCGGTATGTAGTGCCAAAATAACGCCCAGGTTACAGGGCTACGAAAGTCTACGATGCTGATGTAGGGTCCAGGGAGGTTTACATGGTTACTCACCGGGATTCTTGGCCTGAAGTTCACTAGGCCTGAGGATATACCAAGCTATGGAGTGTAGACTTGAAGAAGGGCAGATTCTTGTGAAATTTGGTGTGAACGCGAGGGGCTGTGTACCGGAAGCTGGAAATGAATAGGATAATTTGTATGCATGTATGTAGTGTATGACTTTTAGCTTCATTGATGGAATATGCGTGCTCATGCTGCTCATCTACTATGTACCAGGCCTGGGCAAGATTCCCTATTGCTCCATAATCACTTGCCATTCACCTTCGGAGGGGTTGAATCACGTGGAAGATCACCGGGAACAGCTTGTCTCTCAGTTTGATTTCGCCCGGTTTTCTCTGACGGTTGTCTCTATTTCGCTGCATCGTTTTGGAACAAAGATTTGTATTGCCTCAAAAATTTTATATATTGCATCCGGCGCCGAGATAAAGAGCTCTTATCTGAAGTTCTCCACATGGCGAGACTCGGTAACCTCTCCAGTCACCTCCGAGCATATCAACCGAAACCCACCTGCGATGGAAGTAGTGCAGAAAGAACACAGCCGACTCCTCAAGAGGACCGAGGGCTCTCAGGGCATCAAGAATGTTCAGTCTGCAATCGATTCACTTCAGTCTGCTCGCGATGCCATAGCTGCTGGTCAGTAGTAAACGTGCCCCGCCGGGTTTCTCAACTGACGACGTCGATTTCTCCCCAAATAGATCCATCCACTGCCTCTGCCACTCTAGCCACCCTTCAGAACTCGGTTAAATCATCCTTTGACTCTATCAATGACAGCTTGAAAGAGACTCACAGTGGTCTCAACAAGTACACCAAATCGCTAGATAAGGTATCCAGAATACTGATCGTCCATGCGTTACTACCAATCTAACATCTGGAACAGCTGTTTAAAGATCGACCACTGCCTAGCACCGACGATGATGACCTCTCTTCACACGAAACCTTGATCAACCGCGCCATCGCCATGCATCTCCTTCGCGAAGGTCAGTTCGGCGTGGCCGCCACCTTCCTCTCCGAGATTGCCGAGGAGAAGAGAATGTATCCAGTCTCTCAGAACGAGCGTGTACCGACCAATACAACTGCGAGCCTGCTCGATATTGACGAAGTTCCTTCGACCGAGATCCGGAAACAATTCGCCTCGATGTACTATATCCTACAACAACTACAAGAGAACAGGAACTTACTGCCTGCGATCGAATGGTCGAGAGAAAACCGCGAGGCGCTGGAAGCCCGAGGCAGCAACCTGGAATTTGAACTCTGTCGACTGCAATTCGTATGGCTGTACCATGGCGGAGCGAACAGCCAGCGAACCGCAAGCGGATGGCTAGCAGCGCTCGAGTATGCACGGCAGGAGTTCCATCTCTTTGTGCCTCGGTATTTGAGAGAAGTTCAGCAGCTAGTGGGCGCAATGGCGTACTCGTCCAACCTCAGCGAGTCGCCATATGCAGCTCTCTTCAACAATACTAGCTCGGCCTGGGATGACGTAGCTCACTTCTTCAATCGCGAGTTCTGTTCTTTGCTGGGTCTTTCGGCAGACTCGCCGCTGTATATTGCTGCTACGGCGGGCGCGATCGCTCTGCCGACGCTATTGAAGCTACAGACGATCATGAAGTCGAAGCGGACGGAGTGGACTTCCGACAACGAGCTTCCGGTAAGGAACCCTCTACTCCTTGTACGAATCAACACTAATATCTGTATTTTTAGGTCGAAATACCTCTCCCTCCCCAATATCTCTTCCATTCTATCTTTGTCTGTCCGGTTTCAAAGGAGCAAGCGACCGATGAGAACCCTCCTATGATGATGCCATGTGGACATGTCATTGCGCAGGAATCGTTGAAACGTCTGGGCAAGGGTAACCGGTTTAAATGCCCGTATTGTCCTAGCGAAAGTCACCCCAAGGATGCCAAGAAAGTATTCCTGTAGTGTAGGTCTTTCCCTTTCTTTCTCTTTCTTTCCCTGTCCTCATATCTCTGGGTATTTTTCTTTCCATGGCAAACAGCGATGAGACACGTCTTCAGGGACGCCGGGTCTTGCCAGGGGCGTTAGCGTCGGCGTTCAGGGGCTTATATGTTGCGGCATTGCAATGCAGGTCCATTCAAAGCTGTACGAAGCACTGCAATCTAATTCAAACCTGACATCGAGCATAAGCAAGTTCAAGGTAAAATAACAATCTCACCATAGCTCTTTCCCAATGGACGTATCAATTACAACAAAGAAAGCATCAGAATCTGCGTCAATAATCCACAATCCACAACTATTTCCCAAATAGGAAATACCAATTTCCTTTGTCTCGATGGCGGCATCTGATTGGCCAAATCTAGGCCCGTGACTACGCGCCGATTTGGCGACTTAAAAAACCCCTTTACGCGGTCGAAACTAGCTGTGACGCGTCTTTTGCCTAGCTCTACCCCTCTACGCTGGCTAATTAGAGCTATTCAGTCGATCATCTGTATGCAACCCGTCCCACGTCCTGTAATATGCACAGAATACAATAATAGATGTACGATGTGACTTGTCTCCGTAACAAACGGGAGCTTGCAGTCCTCTCTGTCTTTTATAAATACTGCCACATCTGCCCCTGAATCCATCCACAGCTGTCTCTATATTCTCCCCAATCCCGTCTCCTATCCAGACCATAATATAATAGCAATGTTGTCCAAGAGAACACCAGAGACTCCAATTCCTGGCCGGTATCGCGCGGCAAAGGCTTCAGCTTTCACGCTCCAGTCGCGCCGGGTTCCTCGCGACAGAACCAAAGATCGAGTGCCTAAAGACAAAGAGCGAGATAACTCTGGCTCTGGATCTGGTTCCGGCTCAATTCGGAGTAAGACTCGACGACTTGAGCAGCGTCGAAGATTTGACAAACCCCCTGACGTAACGTAAGTCCATGCCTATGTATCTCCATCTCCATCTGCATCTGCGTCTATATTCAATCACCTACACCACCAAATATTGATCCAACCGCTAACCCGACCCCCAGAACACCCCCAACAAGTCCAATAGTAATGCTCCGCGTGGGCCCGGAAAACCGCCTCTTCGCTGCCCACGAAGCCATCCTCTGCGCATCGCCCTTCTTCGCCACGCACTGTACAGCCCAGACACCGGACCCGAATGCGCCACGGCCTAGACTCCCCCTCCAACCGGCAAGCAAGCGCATTGACCTCCCAGACGAGCAAGCCGAAGTTTTCTCCTGCGTCCTCGAGTACCTCTACAAGGGCGACTACTACCCGCGGCTGCGACACAACAACCGGACCCAGACATGGGAGCTGGAGGACGCCGATGCGGGCGTTGGCGCAGGCGCCAGTGGAGAATTGGGACAGGCGACGGCGACGGTGTTTCATCATCGAGCGCAGGGGGTAATATTGCGGGATACGGCTATTTAGTAGGTTGATTTCTTTTTCTTTCAATTGTTCTCATTTAGCTATGAATGTGTGTGTACTAACGTATGTTTCGACAGCTGCGCAGCAGAGAAATACAAACTCCCCCGTCTCCAGCGTCTCGCGCTGCGTAAGCAGGGCCTGCACACTGGGATCCAGTGCAGCACGATACTTGCAAGTGCTCGGTTCGTGTATGACAACACGCCGGATACGGAGTCGAAGCTGCGGGCGCATTACCTTGCGCTGATTGTGCGGTCGCGGAGCACTTTTATGCGCAGTGGAACTATGCAGGCGGAGATGGAGCGTGGGGGAAAGTTATTTTTTGATCTTTTTGTTGCTCTGTGTAATCATATGGTGAGTTTACTTTTCTTTGCGCTTGGCGAGGGATAGCTAATTTGGTCTACGATATAGGATGACCCTACTGGTCAGTCGGTTGACAGTTCAGCTGTTACCACTCATTGTTAGAGATGGTCATAGTTCCGGATTAAGGTGGGTTGTTGGCTTTTTGACTAATCGCGCGGTTTTCGTCATTTTATATCGCTGCTGGCAGTGTTTCATACCCGTGTACCACTATGTTTCGATACCTACAGAATGAAGAGCATGAATCAAGGTGTAATTCTCGAAATGATTGATTCGTAAATTCGTAAAGATAGGATCTAATAATAGTCCAGCTAGCCCAATTTTGATATATCTCGTGTACTAGGCCAGCGTGGACTGGGTGACACTAATTAAGCTGGCGCTCCGATCCGACCGATGACCAAGTAGTTGCTATTGTGCAATGTGTATCGCGTCAGGCCAAAATTCTTCGGCAGCAGTGTTAGCTCATGAGCCTGAGTATCCTGGTATGTCGAATAATATAGCTGCATGAATGTAAGTCATAGCCGGATGTGTGTATACCTGACCACTTTGAAGGTCCTGGCGACCAACGAGGGAGTTGTCCATGAGCATTAGACGAAATGAGGTTCAAACACGTTGCAGTGCATTGCCACCCAAAAGCGTAATTAGACACCTGTGCCCGGGAAAGCACCTCCCTTGCTCAAGACGATGATGCCTCGATCACGTGCAATGTATCCTTTCATGAGTCCCTAAGGAGGCGACATGTCAGTAAGCACTTACGGATTGATTATACTCGTCAGCCTACCTTGTAGATGAGATTGGAAAGCAGACACTCCACCTCATCAATATCGATGCGCGACCGACCACTTGTAGAAGTACCCACACGGAGAGCTGCGGCAAATTCATTCACATGCACACGAGTACGCCGAACCGGAGATTGACCCTCCTTGGGTTCGTCGAAACCACCAGCGAGGAAAACTTTTCGGAAAAGGTTGCGCAAGGCAATGTCACGTCCACGTTCTAACGGCAGGTAGATACGTCTCTTGACAAACTCTTCCTCGCCGTCAGACATAGCCTGGTCGAATCCAACCAAGTCGCCTTTTCGGATACAGTTCGACAGAGACCGGAAAAGCTTCTCGAGTCGTGGGAATGGCGCGAGAAGCTCCTTGGTGGGGAGTGTGTGTGTGGTCACCAGGTGACAGGGAATAAGATAGGTAAGAATCAATCTGATAGTGGTTAGTGAAAGCCCATCTATAGCTGGAGGGCTACTGACTCTCGATTCTTGGTTGCGTCTCGATGACACATCTTCCAAGCCCACGTTAGATGTTCTTCAGCCTATAATGCAAATAATCAGTCCTGGTAATGGTCCACGGACACAGCTCTTGCTAATACCTCTGGGTAATTCTCATCCAAGAAGTGGATGACTCCAACGTAATATTCGAAGGTGACAATGTGAGCTTTAGGGAATGCTTCGGGAGAGGGAAGATCAGCCGATGAGGCTTTGATGGCACGGAGCAAGTTTTTGGTAAGACCGACGGAGTTGATCTAAAGGAGAGAGATGAACATTTTCCGAGCAACAGTGAGGTCGACATTTGGTACCTTGAAATACGTCTTGAATAGGAGATTGGTCATGTTGTAGATACCCCACTTACGGGACTCTTCAGGGGGCGCTCTGGGTCTGATCAGCAATGGAACAACTCAAATAATCCAACCATATCCTTACCTATCACTCAGGCACAGAGTGAACATCCGGTTAATGACCCGAGCAGCCTCCTCCAAGTTCGCATTCTTCTCAACATCGGCTACGATGTCATCCTGGAACCCAAATCCAGCGGAGCCTTGGGATGCTGCTTCAAGATCGGCATTGATCGCGAAAGTACGCAAGTACTTCCCGACTGTGTACAAGCATGGCAATGTCCAAGCCGGAATGCCGGCAGAGCCCGAGTATCCTCGGATGAGGGCATTGGCGACCTTTTTCCAGGCATTGAAGACTGTAACAACACTAGCACCCGGAAGGTGATCTTCACACCGAAGTATTTCGCCTATAGCTTCCCAGTAAACAGCAAAGATGTCAACCCAGGCATTTTGTTCGGCCTTCGGCAATTTCAGACTTTTCCCATGGAAGAGAGCGTAGCTGAGATCCTTGGATATGTATTCGGCGTTGGAGAACTGGTAAAAGGAGCGCAGCCGATCGCGATCTTCAGACGGCGCGATCGGGGTGAGCACAGCAGCTAATTCCGGGCCGGACCCGTTGAGGTATGCGTTCTTGAATGCGGTCGGGAGAGAAGTCATGGTGAACTACCCTCTGGCGAAAGAGCGCGTTGATTAAATTGATTGTCAATTTATGAGTTGAAAAGAAGCATTCGAGGTGGGGAAAGGTTGAGATCCGAACTGACCAAGACAAGCAAGAGTCCATACTTTTGGAGAAGGCATGTGGGGAAGGAGAGGCAATGTGGCTGGTGCAATGTGGCGGAAGGGGAGTGGCGCAGTCAGATGGCTAAATGGGACTAGCGCAGAACGGAATGCCTCCACTCGCTTAGGGCAAGGGCGGCAACCCTAAGCACAATTGGAACCTCACAATTCTCATTTTCCATCGACGGCACACTAACGACTCATCCACCACAGCGACAATCACAGTGAGTACCTACCGCTTGATTTTATCGGAGATTTATACTAACATTGAACTCTTCCAGATGGGTGAGTGATTTCTATTCCCTTCCCGATACCCCAGGACTTTTTTTTTTCGAGACAACGGTGTGCGCATATTGGTTGGACGAACTTGAAGACGAAAAGAACCCCACGATATCGCATGATGCAATCACAGAAGAGGAGGACGGAATGGCGAATCGATGTCGCTTGGAAATGTTTATGAAGGAACGCACAACGCTGTCGATCAGGGCTACGCATGGTTGAATCTCGAAGTTTTCAATATCCACATATCACCCTTGCTCTTCTCGAATTCTCGCCAACCTGCATCGCGCACCGTTTCATCTCTCGAACTGAACATCTGGGCAATTGGAATATCCACTAGGAACTATGGCTGACGGATTCCCAGGGCGTCTTACTGAGTACCAGGTCATCGGGCGTCACCTGCCCAACGAGGCGAACCCCACGCCCAAGCTGTACCGCATGCGCATCTTTGCGCCCAACACCGTTGTGGCCAAGTCGCGTTTCTGGTACTTCATGTCCCAGCTCCGTAAGCTCAAGAAGGCCAACGGCGAGATCGTTTCCCTGAACGTGGTATGTTGGGATTGAATATTCGAGGATATGGAATGGTACTCATCGTCTCGTGTCTAGATCGACGAGAAGCGTCCCCTCAAGGTCAAGAACTTCGGTATCTGGATCCGCTACGACTCGCGCTCCGGTACCCACAACATGTACAAGGAGTTCCGTGAGATGAGCCGCACCGACGCTGTTGAGGCCCTTTACCAGGACATGGCTGCCCGTCACCGCTCCCGTTTTGGTTCCATCCACGTATGTTGCGCTACCCGAGCCTTCCGACAATGACCACATTCTAATGATTATTTCCCTGCAGATCCTCAAGGTTGTTGAGATCGAGAACAATGACAGCATCCGCCGCCCCTACATCAAGCAGCTCCTCCAGAAGGACCTCAAGTTCCCTCTGCCCCACCGCGCCGGTGGCAAGGTCGGCAAGAAGGTCTTCGCCTACTCTCGCCCCTCTACCTTTGCTTAAATGTGATGTTTCGGGTGTTGGGTTTGGAGTGTGTGGATGGATGACTGTTTATGGCCATAGCATGCATGAAAGATGGTCGTGTGGAAACCACCGCCCCGCTCACGGGCGAGATGGTTGGATGTCTCTAGTCCCCCGTATGGTGGCATCTTTAGGTTATTTTGAAAAAATCATCGGGTTTCTTGAATTATTCGAGTTTCAGTAGCACAATGGGCATACATGGAGAGTGCTTATTTGATAGATGCCAACACATCATTTCGGATGTATCAACCTACAATGAAGGCCTTCTGATTCCTTTCAAATTCTGCCCATTCACAAAGTGGCCGTATGGTTGTATACAAGGTAGTTGCAAATCGCTTACTACTGGCCATATATTTCATTACAAACTAGATCCATATAACTAGATCCATGAGGATCAATGATACATATCAAATATTGGTCGATCTCATCCCCCTCTTTCCATTGCAGTTTCAGTCTTGAAGTAAGGGTTTCTTTAGCCGCGCCTGGGACCGGCCCTGGATGCCTTGTATATGAGGCATCTACAGGCTATCTTCAACTGCCATTTTAGTTGCAAGTCTTTGATTGGACTGGCAATAAAGACTAGTTATTTGAAGTATCTTATGACTATCTTCAAGATTACTTAAACGGTCTTTACAGAACCTTGGAAAACATTGGTATGTACAGGTGTCCAGGAACTATTGTCATTCGAAATCAGGTCGGGAGGGAGCTGTCCGCTTTCGCATATGTAATCCAATTTCTTCGGGGCCTTCCCAAGTTCCTCGTTTCCCTCTTACCCCATTCCCCAATTCATTGCAATCATGTTTGCTCGTCAATCTTTCCGTTGTGTGCAGCCCTTGAAGCACGTAAGTTGAAATAGGTTCTCGATTGAATCCTCATACTAAAACCATTCAATCAGGGTTTCCGCAAATACTCTGCGGAGGCCGCTCCCAAGAAGTCCAACTTGGCCCCCATCTACGTTGGTGTGGGCCTCGCCGGTCTCGGTGCTGGTTTGTACCGCTACAGCACCGGCGCGGTCGCTGAGCCCAAGGACCGCCCTAAGGTCTTCAACGGCGAGGACTGGGTTGATCTCAAGTTGGCTAATATTGAAATCCTGAGCCCCAACACTAAGCGTCTTCGCTTCGAGTATGATGATAAGGAAGCTGTCTCTGGCCTTCCTGTTGCTTGTGAGTAGTCTGACTCCGAGTATGGTTACCAATCAATCACTAACAGAAATTTAGCTGCTCTGTTGACTCGTTTCAAGCCCGAGGGTGCCGAGAAGAACGTTCTCCGTCCTTATACCCCCACTAGTGATGAGGGTAGGAAATCATAAAATGCGACTTATTTTTCAATTGCTAACACATAGCAGATATTCCCGGTTACCTTGAACTTGTTGTCAAGTCCTACCCCGGCGGCCCTATGTCTGAGCACATCCACTCTATGAACGTCGACCAGCGCCTGTCGTTCAAGGGTCCTCTTATCAAGTATCCCTGGGAGGCCAACAAGCACGACCACATTTGCCTGATCGCCGGTGGTACTGGTATCACCCCGATGTACCAGCTCGCTCGTGAGATCTTCAAGAACCCCGAGGACAAGACCAAGGTCACTCTGGTCTTTGGCAACGTCACCGAGGAGGATATCCTCCTGAAGAAGGAGCTGCATGATTTGGAGAACACCTACCCCCAGCGCTTCCGTGCCTTCTACGTCCTGGACAAGCCCCCTGCGGGGTGGACCGGTGGCAAGGGTTTCATCACCAAGGAGCTGCTGAAGACCGTCCTGCCGGAGCCCAAGGAGGAGAACATCAAGATCTTCATCTGTGGCCCTCCCCCCATGTACAAGGCTATCTCCGGTGCTAAGGTCAGCCCCAAGGACCAGGGTGAGCTCACTGGTATCTTGAAGGATCTGGGTTACAGCAAGGAGCAGGTCTTCAAGTTCTAGATTATTGTAGAATATTTAGCTAGAATATGTCGCTAGTTGGCTATGCGACAGGATAGCCATGTATATTGGTGCATCTGGTTTTCAGCGTGTTGCCATGTCTCTGGCTGGCTTCGGACGTCATATTATAGAAGAAATACATTTTGCTTCCAAATAGATAATCATGTTTATCTGGCATTTGTATTTATCTCTGTAGCATGGACAATGATAAGAACTACATAAGTAAATATTAAGAGAGAGAACAAAACGCATGTGGACCATAATGAAGATGAAGATGGGAAGGGTGATGGATATATATGTGTACATCAACTGGGAATCCTTTTGCAGAATACGATATCAATAGAAGATGGCGCCGAAGTAGTGTTAATATAGGAATACAGTAAAACAAAGGAATCTGTAGCTATAATTTATTGAATAACTGCCTACTTACATATACATGTACACAAAGTACCTATTGGTAGCTAAGTAACATACATGACCAGGCACCGGATTATAGAGTATACTGAAATAATTGCGGCGGCGAGAACAGAATTAAAAATTCAGTTAATGCAGTTTTAATGAATTGAATCAAGAAGTCAGAATAGGCGTTCGTACTACAAGTTTGACACCTTGTGTTCAGTTGGGTGTTCAGCCGAGCCCGGGCGACCTGAAGTTGACATAGCGGGGGGGAGTAGAACATAGCCCACACTTGAATATGTCCAGCCCCTCAAAAAAGGGAAAAGAGCAGGAATAGTACTAGTTAAGGAATATATCTGTGACATAACAAAAAGATCTGGAGAAATCTATAACTATAGATGAATACAGTTAAATTCCTTAGCAAGTATACAAGTAAACATGGCCCCATAAGAGCCCGTCATCTGGGATAGGTAGTTACGTATTTATTATGAATTTAGCAATCCCTACAATATGATAGACTATTATAAAAGGACCTCTATGAATGACATAGTTTAAGAAATGAAAGGCAATACTTCATTATAGCCAAGTGAATAGAATAACATATGGAAAGGACTCCGGAGGTGCACTGTGTTGCCTAGGGTTCCCGGGGGTGTGTCGCATGACAAGGCCCAGAGCCTAAGCCTAAAGCAGAGCGAAAATGCCCGGGGCACTTCGGGGGTGCCTTTTGCTATTTAGTGGGTACCCCCCCTCGGCCCTTCCACCCCCCGGTCCTCTTCCCCCCTTCCCCCCCGAAAAACAGGAAAATTCTCTTTCCTTCACCCCAACCCATTCTCTCGGCTTCAAAACAATGGCTTCCAACCAAGATGACACGACCGTTCAGGTCAACAAAGAAGAGCTCAGACGGGCCAGCGACTTGGTAATTTTTTCCTCTCTTTTTTTGCTCTCTGACTTTTGTATTTTCTGCATTTCGGTTCTTTTCTTCTGTTCTTCTGTTTTCTTGTGCGCATTCCCAACTGCGCGCCTGCTACGCGTCGCGTTTTAGGATCTATAAAGCTACCCATGAAGCTGTTGAAGCTTAAACTATATCATCTCATACTTTAGCATCATGTTGGCAAGCTTCATGTGCAAAAGAAAAGAACATCCCCTGCCCCTTCTCCTCTATTCAGACTCAAAGACCCATCTTGACATCGCGAATTTCTTACCAACTTACGCGCTTCCTGACTACCCCTCTTGCTTCCCTAACCATATACCCATACATATACACAATGAATAAGCGTAATTACCCTTGAAATAACACCGCTAACAATGCCTCATAGATTGTCATGCGCCTCATGGAGGTGCAGTCTTACATTGCTGACCTAGGCAAGGCCTACGTCCAGCATGTAAACAACATCACTGAAGGACGCGATGCCAACATTGAGCTCCCCCTCGGTCCTTCTGGATTCATGGGCCCGGATTTTCTTTTCCGTGCCGGCAGCCCCGGCGCCAAGTCTGAGGCTGGTGGCCCCAAGAAGCGCAAGCGCGCGCCCGTCGACCCCAACGCGCCCAAGCGTGCCTTGACACCCTACTTCTTGTATATGCAGCACAACCGCAGCAAGATCGCCGCCGACCTGGGCAATGATGCGCGCCCCAAGGATGTCGCCGACGAGGGCACCCGGCGCTGGCAGAGCATGGAAGATACCCAGAAGGAGGTATGTATTGGCATCAAAGCAGTCCCAGCTTAGTATTGTTTGCAAGAATACAGAGTTAACACATCCGCATAGGTCTGGAAGAAGATGTATGCCGCCAACTACGACCAGTACAAGCGCGATATGGCAGCCTACAAGGCCAGCAACAAGGTTGAGGAGGACCACGATCCCGCAGCCAACCAACTGCAACAGGACTTTGCCGGTGCCGAGCCCGAGGCTGAGGCTGAGGCTGGGGTCGAGGGTGAGGCTGAGCCCGAGGAGTCTGCCGAAGAGTCAACCGAATCATCCGACGAGTCGCAGTCCCCGTCTCCTGTGAAGGAAAAGACCCCGCCGCGCAGCACCACCAAGCGCCGCCGCAGTGATACCAAGGCCAAGGAAGCCGAGACTCCTGCCAAGTCGCCTGTCAAGCGGGGTCGCAAGGCTGCGGAGCCGGTGTCAACACCGGCTGTCAAGACACCGGCTGAAAACAAGCGTAGGAGCAAGAAGCGCAAGAGCGAGGTCTAAATGAGTTTGTGGTGCTTTCTGCTTTCTGATTTGCTTGACTCCGGGGTCAGATGAGATGGGTATCGGTCTGTTGGATTGGATGTGTAACCCCTCGGTTTGCCTTTTTCAGCGGCGTTTGGAGAAAAACTGTACCTATTTAGCCTGAACGAGTGAAATGGACTGATCATAGGACGTGGTTTCTAGACATCCCCATGAGTTCTAGTATCTATGGTAGGTCAGGGCTAAATAGTAACCCGTGGACCTACAAAGCTAGATAAAAGAAGAACAGACTAAATCTCACTGACTCCAACTAAGTCTCAGTGCATTAGTTACATATATGTAGTTAACTATCAATTTAGCAAAGCCTTGACTAATGTCGCCAACCTCCGTTCCCCGGCCCAATCGGCCTCCACGGTCACTTATCATGGGCGATGGCCTTATCAGAGGAGAAAGCCCTGGAGGCCATTTGAAATGTACCGCATCCCCACATTCCTCGCTTTTTTGCCTTTCTTACTTAGATCTCCTTGAACTGCATCTTCTACACTCTCACTAACTCTTGAGGTTTCAAACTTGCTCAAACCAGCCTGAAAATTCAGTTATCCTGCACGCCAAGAACTGCCAGGTTCAGGTTCCACATGCACTATGCAGCTTATTCCGAAGGAGGCAAGTCGCACATACATTCCCCCGAGAGACAAACAACTAACACCCCTGTAGCTTGACAAGCTTACCATCGCCCACCTAGGCTTCTTGGCACAGCGTCGTTTAGCACGTGGAGTGCGGCTCAACCATGCAGAAGCTGTGGTATGTACATCTTCAAGAGGTGTAGGACACGACCACTAATATCCCCCAACAGGCCCTGATAGCCTCAGTGCTACACGAGGTACGACAAACGCATCCAATCCCCTACAATAATACCAGGACATACTATATCTCCAATTGATTCAATGCGCAAACTGACACCCAAACCCCCGCAGTTAATCCGCGATGGCCAGTACTCCGTCGCCGATCTGATGTCCATCGGCAAAACAATGCTCGGCCGCCGCCACGTCCTCCCCTCCGTACTGGCAACCCTCGTCGAGCTACAAGTCGAGGGAACTTTCACCTCTGGTACCTACCTGGTAACCGTGCACCACCCGATCAGTAGCGACGAGGGCGATCTCGAGCGTGCCCTGTATGGCAGTTTCTTGCCCGTCCCCGCGCCCGAGGCATTCCCCGACCCGGACCCGGAGGATTTTGTGCCTGAGAAGATGCCCGGCGCGGTTATCCCTGTTAAGCATGCGCGCGTGCAGTTGAGTGCTGGGAAGAGGCGTATTAGGCTTAAGGTTATGAGCAAAGGGGATCGACCGATTCAGGTGTGTACATTGTATTCAATTTACACAGCGCAAAGGAAAAAAAAGCGGAGAAGAGAAGCAAGCGATGCTAATTACAGTGTTGATTGCCAGGTCGGATCCCATTACCATTTCATCGAGACGAACCCGCAGCTGCACTTCGACCGCTTGCAGTCGTACGGCTTCCGACTGGACATCCCTGCGGGCACATCGATCAGATTCGAGCCCGGTGATACGAAGACGGTTACGCTCGTCGAGATCGGTGGGAATCGCGTCATCCGCGGTGGAAATTGGCTGGCGAATGGGCCGGTGGATATGAGTCGTGCCGACGAGATTATAACCAAGCTGCAGATAGCTGGATTTGCGCATGTGCCAGAGCCGCAGGCGGACAGCGCACTTGTTGCTGGATTCTCGATGGAGCGCGAGGCGTACTCGCGCATGTTTGGTCCTACGACGGGGGATCTGGTGCGGCTTGGGTTGACGGATTTGTGGATTAAGGTTGAGAAGGATATGACGACTTATGGGGATGAGTGTTCTTTTGGTGGGGGCAAGACGCTGCGAGAGGGGATGGGCCAGGCGTCTGGTCGGTCTCATACCGAGTGTGTTGATACCGTTATTACGAATGCGTTGATTATCGATTGGACTGGTATCTACAAGGCTGATATCGGTATCAAGGATGGGCTTATTGCTGGTATTGGTAAGGCTGGGAATCCGGATGTCATGGACGGCGTGCATCCTGATCTGGTGGTGGGTTCATCTACGGATGTCATTGCTGGAGAGAACAAGATTGTTACCGCTGGTGGTATCGACACGCACATCCACTTGATCTGCCCGCAGCAGGTGGATGAAGCCTTAGCATCGGGAATCACCACTTTCCTCGGCGGTGGCACCGGTCCTAGCACTGGATCAAACGCGACGACATGTACACCGGGACCGAATCACCTGCGCCAGATGATGCAAGCATGTGATAGCCTGCCGATCAATATCGGCATCACCGGAAAGGGCAACGACTGTGGAAAGAAGAGCATCGAAGAGCAGATCCTAGCAGGCGCAGCAGGCCTCAAGCTTCACGAAGATTGGGGCTCCACCCCAGCAGCAATCGACAACTGCCTCGAAGTCTGCGACAAGTACGATGTGCAGTGCATGATCCACACGGACACACTGAACGAATCCGGCTTCGTCGAGCAGACCATCGAAGCCTTCAAAGGCCGCACAATCCATACCTACCACACCGAAGGCGCAGGCGGCGGCCACGCCCCAGACATCATCTCTGTCGTCGAACACCCTAACGTCCTCCCCAGCAGCACAAATCCCACCCGTCCCTTCACCCTCAACACCCTCGACGAACATCTCGACATGTTAATGGTCTGCCACCACTTATCGAAGAACATCCCCGAGGACGTGGCTTTCGCCGAAAGCCGCATCCGCGCAGAGACCATCGCCGCCGAAGACGTCCTCCAAGACCTCGGCGCGATCAGTATGATGTCCTCCGACTCCCAAGCAATGGGCCGCTGCGGCGAAGTAATCCTCCGCACCTGGCACACAGCGCACAAGAACAAGACACAGCGCGGCCCGCTCGGAAGCGACGCCGACAGCGGCGCGGACAATTTCCGCGTGAAGCGGTACATCAGCAAGTACACGATCAACCCTGCTCTCGCGCAGGGGATGGCGCATCTAGTCGGGTCCGTGGAGGTCGGCAAGGTAGCCGATCTGGTAATGTGGAAGTCGGCGACGTTCGGCACGAAGCCTGTATCTGTTCTGAAGAGCGGGATGATTGTTACTGCCGAGATGGGAGATCCGAATGCGTCGATCCCAACTGTCGAGCCGATGATTATACGGCCGATGTTTGGTGCGCGCGTCCCGGCTACGTCTATTATGTTTGTTTCGCAGGCTTCTATCGATGCGGGGATCGTGCAGACGTACGGATTGAAGAAGCGCATTGAGGCTGTGAGGAATTGTCGCTCGGTTGGGAAGAAGGATATGAAGTTTAATGATGCTATGCCGAAGATGAAGGTTGATCCGGAGAGTTATACTGTTGAGGCAGATGGGGTGCTTTGCGATGCAGAGCCGGCTTCGGAGTTGCCCTTGACACAGGCGTATTATATCTTCTGAGGTTTTTGGTGGCTTCTTTCTGTGTTTTGTATGCTTTTAGCTTTTCCCTTTGGTCTTTACAGCTTCTTTATACCTCGTTACTCTTCCGAGTTGGACATTTTGCTATATTTTAACGAAACGATTTTCTTTACTTTTACTTTTCTCAAACGGCACATAAGTCAATAAGGAAACAATCATGGATTAAGCGAGCTATCTTTTTCTTCTTTTCTCTCCTCAAAAACCCAAAGAAGCCAAAATCCCCTCAATAGAATCAACAACAATCCCATCCGTCCTGCGCCCATCAGTATTAACAAGAATATCCGCCCAGTGCAACAAACTAGCAATAAGATCATTGCACATGAGCGGCACATTATGGCTATAGAACCCGTACGGTTTCGCCAGGACATAAGCGTGGTAACAAGCATCAACAGCCATAGCCATAGAGGTATCCTTGATCCGATGAACACTAGGAACAAGCTCACGTAGACTCTCAGAAACATCCTCACCAGCCTGGGGGTCCGCCCTCAGCACTCTCGCCTGCATTCCTAAACCGAAGACAAACGCCGCGCGCTCACGTTTAAAAGCCGACACAGGGCCAGGTCGGGGAAGCATAATAGCCATAGCGTCGAGGAAGAAACGGTACGTCGAAAACACGGTAAACAAATCAGGAACAAACCAGTATTAAGTGATAATCCAATTCCAGAACCTATCTAAAAGCACAAGTTAGCCACAATCTGATCAATCAGTCTCGCCACAGCAATAGGAACGTCAGTGCAAAGGTTATCGCGCAGCCGATCCGCAAGATAGGCACACTGGCCCTTCATCGCGGCGCAGTGCATAGGAACGACCGTCTCGTAAAACCCGCTCTGTTGGACTAGGACGTAGGGGTGGTGGCGGCTGTCGACGGCCATCTTCCGAGAGAGAGAGGCGACGATGTTGATATGCTGGATGAGCTGGAGGCGGAGGTTGGGGATCACATACGCGCGGCTGTCGATATCGTGGCGTAGGAAGGTCGATTGCTGCTCTAAGAGGGTTACGAGGTTGTCGCGCGCCTTGCGGAAGGCGGAGACGCGGGCTTGGTTTATATGCGCCATGGTGATGTGAATGAGGGGATTGTGGGGGCTATATAGATCTAGATGGAAATGGAGATGTTAATGTGAATGAATGTATTGGAACGTACCTGGGTCTGAAGCTGAGATACAGCTATAGCTATAGCTACGCCGATGCTGATACTAATGCTGATACTGGTGTGAGTCCGCAACTCGACGGGGTGGAAATGAGGATCTAGATGTAGCCCAGGTTAGCCAGTGCATGCTCCAGATGGAGTGCGATCTCGTGCTCGGTGTTGATAACGGGGCGGTGGATGTGGTCATGGAGGATCTTCGCCATCTGGAGGGTATCACGGCCGACCATGTCACAGATCTGGGGAATGGTGCAGGTGAAGTGGGCGATTCCCTGGGAGGTGACATATTTCATGTCCGCGGCATCAACAGCGAGGGCTTGGGAAGCCCACTTCACCTTGTCAGCCTGAACCTTCAGGGACTGGATGTTGAGGGCGACCTCAATGAGGTAGTTGCCCTCGGGCATCTGGCGCAAAGTGGCGATATAGGAGCGGATGTTGTTTACTAGAATACCACGCTCCTTCCGATATTTGAAAATAGCCCGAGTACCACGGAAAAGTCTAGTACCGATAGACTCAGGCATTGTGGATGAACGGGGAGGGGCTGATGTCCTCTGGTGATATAAAAAGGGAGAGATGAATAGATTAATGGGATGTATCACTTACCTGCTTAGGGCTAGAGAATTAACTGTAAATCTGAGATAGAGTAGACTGAACTGGTTGTACTGATGGAGAAAGAACTGTGAGGCGGATGATTCCTCGAAATGTCAAGGAATAAGGGCCTATTTATGCATTTGCATCTCACTGGCTTGACTAGACTGTAGACAAGGCCTTCATCAAGAAGAAAGGAATGAAAGGCATATGACTTGTTGTTGAGGAACTTTGTTCTCTTTGTCCTGAGATATGTAAGTAGTCATGATGTTGAAAGAAATTAGTATACAAGGGAAGGGTAAGGTAGTTGCAGGGTAGACTCACCAAGGCTTTGTTATAATTTTAGCTTCGTATGGCCATTGTTCAGTTCTTTGTTCTCTATAGTGTAAATCATCAAAAAAATTATGATATTGATGCTTTACTCGCGCCAGGTTTTTAGGGTTTGTCTCGACAATGTAAGGTCTTTTATTGGTGGACCAACCTTGCTGTTTATATGCCCACAAAGCTGATGTTTAAGGGTAACAGTGCAGAGTAAAGTGATGTACTAATTTGGAGCACGAAAATACTTTTGCAAGTCAGTGATCCATCTAGGCAATTCTATGAAAGGAACAGAAACCCACGATGGCATAGTTCCTGCCATTGGCGAAATACCAGATGGCAAGATCGAGAAAAAAAAATACTCAGAGGGGTATCATATACAGTAAATTGAAGAAGATAGAAAAAAGAAAAAGACACAGATCCATCCGCCTACCAATATGAATAAATTATCAAGCCTATAGCTCAATCTCCTCCTCACCATGATGATCACCCGCCGAAAGAAGTGATATATTCGTCCAAGCTGAGAAAGTACCTTCGCGCGCAGCTAGATAAGCAGCAACACGCGCATGGCGTGATCGATTCAGATTTTCTTCTCCTCGCGCTGGGTCCCGTAGCCTATTTTCAACGGAACTTTGGTCCGGAGAGTCAAACGCTGACTCGGAAATGGAGAGGGCAAGTATGTCTGTGTGTTGACTGTCTGTTTGTTGGTTGATTGGACGAGGAGATGTAGTACCGTCGCCAGTTAGGTCAATGATCCTTGTAGATGTGCTTGGTTCGGACCTGTGTCGGAGCCCTGTAGCCGAAGGTTCTAAATATGGCTGGTCAGGTACGAGCGTATCCTCTTCTTCATTTCCCTCATCACTGGCCGGATCAAATCTGTCTTCCTTTTCTGTCGGCCATGTAGACGGGAGAGGATTGACTTGAAAGAGTCTAGGCTCTGCATGCTCTTGGAGATAGCGGTGTGCTTGACGGATTTCGTTGCGTTTAACTCTGGCCGCCTCTTCGAATTGACTCAAACGAGGTAGAGAGTTCTGCTTCTGATCAGGATGATGGCTTGCATCGGCGATACCAAGACTCAAATCTTCAATTCCACTACTGGATTCTTGTGTGGACTGTGTGGAGAGGTCCATGTCGTACCGGGCCCTTTTTCTTGCGCGCAAATCTCCCTCGCCATCAACATGATTAGCTACAATTTGCTGCATGTAATTGTCGTGCGAAAAATCGGTTCCTGAGCAGAGGTGGCCAAACAGACGTCTGATAGAGATATCTTCGTTCCAGGTCGTTGGATCCACGGTGCACGGATGAATGTCCTTGGGCCGGAAGGCAGCTACGAGCTCACACAGTTCGGAGTAGGAAGAGTGTCGTGAATATGGGAACCGCTATAATGGCATTAGAGGATCATCGAAAGAAAACAGTAATGCCACTTACTATCGTGTTAGGCAGGTCTGTCTGAGACGACCGGCTAGATGTATCAGATGGACCATGGCTTAGAGCGGTCACCAGATTCTTCAATGAGATTTCACCTTCCTCCTTCACGCCATATGTATCAAGCGAGAGTGTTTTCTTTCTCGACTGGAAAGCATCAATAAGGGCACTTCGGATCTGAGAAAGGGTTTTTTTGTCCTGGACGTGTTTGAGACACAGCTTCTCTAACTCGGCCAATGTAGATTCATCTGGCAGCTCAAGTTCATGAGTTTGGTACAGATCCCCAATACCACCGCCCGCACCGACCTCAGGGATTTCCGCACCGCCGGTTGTGCGATTCACAATGGGCACAATGTAGACCGTGTTAGTGTCGCGAGCTGCCGGACATGAGACGCCAGGCTCGCAACTGTGGATTCGACTTGATTCGTCGTTGCTTAGGCAGCCTGTTACAGCTCTGTTTCCCAGCTCGAAGCCACAGAGAGCAGGGGCTTCACCAACCCCCCTATTGCCTGGAGTCTGGACTAGAGACCGATAAAGTCCCATCTGGTAACGATCCACATGAATCTACGCTAATTAGCGAATGCTATATTTGAGCAGCGTGATACTGGTCACCTTCGTGTTCAGTGCAGCTGAGAGCGCCATCCAGACATCCTCGTAGCCGAATGTCCATGCACGGAAGTAGAAGACTGTATCATCAGGATAAGCCTGGACTTTCTGCAGCAGCTCAGACAGTCCCTCGGCCTTGGAAGGGAACTCCAGGAATGGGTTTGTCTTGCTTGCAAATGTAGAGTCCAGATACAGGTTATCCAGTCGTTTCTGGCCTAGAGTATACGGTATCAAGACCGGGTGGCGGACTAGGCTGCTCACCCACCATGTCTCGGCTGAGTATACTCAGCTAATAGTTCAACCAAGATGAGACATCATCGACTCACCTCGGATGTCACCTGTGTAAACGATTGCCTTCTCGTCCCCTTGAATTAGAAACATCACAGCCCCAGTGCAATGGTTGGCATCAAACAATGTCACTTTGATACGACGTCGAGGAGTGAGTTCAATTTCCGTTGGGGTATTCAGTGGGATTGGGCGCTGTGCAGAATGAGCACCTGGTCAACTCTAGTCAAAGTGTAGAACGATACTAACCAGAAGCTTTGCGAGATGCTTATAGTGCAGTCGGCGTGACTCCAAGATGCCTTTGTTAAAGTTCATCCGATGGGGATACTTTTCAATTCGGAGGAGTAGCTGCGCATGGTCAGTTTAATGAATTCAATAGGATACACATGAGCGTGCCTCTCGCGTGGCTGGCGAGCAGTAGATAAATGGTGCCCGAAAGGACTCGAGGCCCTGTAAATGATCGCTATGCACATGGCTGAGGAAGCAAGCTAGTGGTGCCGGCCGCTCTGGGCATTTCCGAAAGTAGTCAACTGCTTTTCTTAGCCGTAAGTTTGGCTGATTTCATAGGTGAAGCTCACTGCGAATATCCGGAAACTCTGTCGGATGATTAGCGTGGGCAGTGACGTGGAAGTGCCGGTCTTACCTTCTACGATGCCATTGAAGGTCGACATGGCAACACATTTAGAAGCTGAGGTCAGATTTGCATGTTCAAGGTTGCCCAGGTGAAGATGTGCTAGACAGCTAGACTGCTAAACCTGTTACTTGCACGTGATGTGAACATAAAACCGAAAGGGTCATAAAACAAATCCAAATATGTCCAATCTTTGTATAATAAAAATAATTCAGAGCATTCTGATTCGATGGAATATATTGCATAGTTAAATATGCGAAGTTCAAGTCCAAGTCCAAAAGGAATGTGTTCTACGCCTTAACAGCTGGCCGTGCATCGTGGCCATGCCATGCCAGCGCACACTTGGGAATCTTAGTTATAAAGCCTAAGACCTGTTGTCTCTTCCCAAACTATTCTATTTTCTTTCTGTTTCTTTCCAGTTTCTATTTTCCACCTTCTTCTGCAATTGACTATCAATGGTACGCCTGTGAGACCTTCAATTCCCCCAAGGGTCAAAGAGCCGAAACGTCAGCTGGGGCACCTGATCGAGATTTCTTTTCTCTTCTTAATTATTATATCCAGTGACTTGCATTACGGGAAATCCAGGTTGAAGAAGCATTTCTGTTGTATTCTCGAGAATTTACTATCCGCGCCGTCTCTAGCGTTGTTACCCCCACTGCCAACTGAAGCTCTCCTCACCCCCAAAACATCCACGTCCAAACGTCCGGGAATTTGACAAAGGGCAAGGGGGGACCCTTCAGGGCTGGATATCCCGAATCATCACATTCCAGGGGACGACCTCGCCTCTTTTAATCTGCTCCTTTACCTCTAACTCCCTCCACATCCGACCTTCACCATGCGTAAACCGTCCGTGGGTCAAATCGTGTATAACGCCACGTTTCCACGACCTCGTCCAAACGACCCTGGGTCGTTTGGTGCTCACATTACCCGAAACCTCGTCCCAGAAGTACGTGTCGAAACATCCCTCTTCTACGGCTCGCTAGACTGCATCGAAGCACAATACCCGGGGCTGGACTACTCGTATGGACCGCATCGCATGCGACTGGGTCGTTTCCCTTGGCACCGAAAGCTATTTCAAACTTTTGACCAACTTGGTCTGACAGAGGAGGAGATCTCCAATCTGTGTCGATGGGAAGGGACCAAGTCCGCGCGTCAGCGGTACGAGGCAGAAGAAGGCATCACTGTACAGGACACCACAGCCCACTCGGTCCGACCGGCATCTCCTCAACCTGCCCCGTCAATCGAGATCCACTTCAATGACTGCGACTTCTGCGGGACAGAAGAGGAAGATGACCAGATCATCGAGACTCAAAGCAATGACACGGTCCGTGCGATCGATTCCCGAGCCTCCAGTTACCGGTCCGCCGAGGAGGAGCACGAAATCGAAGAGGAACTTAGCGACGAGGAAATGGAAAGTTGTGGCGTAGCCCTCAACAACCGAATCCTTGCTGCGATGGCCGCTCGCGACCAAGGCACTGATGTGCCGCTGGATGAAGACTGGGAACAATGGCTGAAGGAGGCTGGAGAACGTGGCAGTTTCGGTGAGATGGTGCATGCTATTCGCGCGAACCAGCCCTTGACTCTTGTCGCCGACAATGTCCGAATCCCACGCGGTCGCGGTGCGGCTCGTGTGGTGACAAGGGCGGCCTTGTTCACAGTGCCAGACAGCATTATCGCAACAAACACTGCACTTCCATCTACATCCAACCATGCCTCCGGCACGGCTCAATGACTGCATAATATTTACTCGACCATCAGACCCTTTGAATAGGGCCCTGCTCTGATTCGTGTTTTGCATTTTTACGGCGCATCTTACCTCTCTCGCATTGTCTGAAGTGGACTGGCTCCTTCTTCTCGGGGTTCCCTTTGCTTTTCTTTATCTATATCCTTACGACACACCCAGAAGAGTCTTTTGCATACGCATACGCATAGATTTCATTGTCTCCTGTCTCATTTTCATTAATACCCTCATGTTCCTACTCCTCATCATGCTTTGTTGTTTGACTCGTTAACTTTTTCATTATTTGCTTCGCCGGGGATATTCATATTCAACGTGGTAATCGGGGGATTTTCAGCAAACAGCAAAAGTTATTCTAACTTACTCAGAAATATATTTACGAATATCATTCCCATGGTTGTCCAATATATGAGTAGCGTACAGCTCGATATGCAGACTGAATCTGCCTTGGTATTAAACATTATTTAAAAAAGCTAGTGTTTGGGGATAAAAAGAGTGGAATCAAATATCATGGTCCTGTCCGACACGAGAAAAATCCCATGCTATGCCCTCATCTTTGTTAGTGCCGACCACGAGCTGTGTGCCGTTTCTCCGCATCGGCAAGAATCCACTGCCCCGATTTACGAGGAGGACATAGCCGCCATTCGGATGTTGTCGCACACAAAACGATTCGTAGTCCCGGTGCAACTTAGCCTCCGCGATAAATTCACCCTTGTTATTACGCCCGAGAAAGGTGCCGGAAACCACGTTTTGAAACCCCAACAATCTCTCGTCGGATTCGACGCATGACCAGTGGATACCACCCAAGTACTCACTGTCTTCAGGCACAAGGCGTAAAATGCCTCTCCGAAGCCCAATAACAAGGCCTGTCAAAGGGCAGCGGATGATGAATGATCTGCCTTTCCAAGGACAATGCCTAGAGCGGGCTTCGATAATATACCCCATAAGGGAGCCCATTGATTCATCGTCAAGACCACCAGATGTGGGTGTATCGCATTTCGGTCTTCTGTGGTAGTGGAAGACATCGTCTCTTCGATCTAGAGCTAGAAGGGAAGGATGTTAATTTCCTTTCTTGTTGGCTTTGATCTCGGGCACACTTCCAGTATGTCCTTGCGGCCAAGTTAGTCAATCTTATCTTGTAGCCATTGTTTGAGGGAAGACTAGGGATGGTTACAGATTAGGAGCCCCTGTGAGATGTGTGCAGAATAGAATACCTTTGAATAGGGAAAAGCAAGACGTACAACATGGAGTGAGTTAGTGGACAAGTGCGGGGACAGCTAGAAACTATGTATGTATCACATGATCTGAGCTTTAACCGTACACAGTCTAGCCTAATTTGGAATAGTCCGAGAAACATTGATTTCGATAAGCTCTCCGCTCCGAGGTCCGCTCCGCAACTGATCTCCATGCCATGAACATGAACATGAATTTCATTTCAGCTTTGTGTTTGATTGAATTTGGCCAATAGCCTGCGCTTATTCACACCCTGCTTAGCTTTACACATTCATCTCAACCCTACAACATAGCCACGATGATCAAGGCAATCTTCTACAGTAAATTTGACACGATAGAGGGTAAGGACCTTCAATACCATGATAAACCTTGAATTCGTTACATACTGACTGATGTTATGCAGGGCCCAAAGTCGTCCATCAAGTCCCCGACGGAGCTATCGTCCCCTCTCCAACCGCGCCCTCACAACCACCCTTCCTCACTTTCTCCGATGTCTCCTTCTTCGTGATCCCCCGCCAGGAGCTCTGTGGGAACCTTTTGCAAGTCTGCACAAACGGATATCGTATCCTGGGATACCCAATATGCATGAAGTCGGTGCGGTATGACCGGAATGAATTCATCTTCAACTTCTGCATAGTCCTCGCAGAGGAGGACGACTTTAGCACGTATAAGAGCGTGGTGCAGAAACTAGCAGATCTAATGCATGGCCTAGAAGAGCAGAATGGTTTCTTGTCCCGCGATTTCTCGAAGAGTGGTGAAGGAAAGGTGTATAGTCTCTGTGAGATGTTGATGGAGGACTTGAATAATTATTGCGAGTGCATGATTCCCATTGGTATGTCCATGAACCTGTTTAGCGTGATTCCGCTGCTAATTATTCTACCCAGATGAATTAAACACTCTGAACATCAAGCTTTTCCCGATATACCCTTCTCCCCCAGCCGTCAAGGCCTGGCAAGTGCCGCTCTTCACGTTGCGATACCAGGCTTTCATGGATGAAAACTGGGACTTGACCATGCAAAGGGTATGTGAAAGATGACACTGTCTTCCCTCCCCCTCCACCCCCATATAGCTAGGAGGGCAGCAGCTGAACCCCGGCAGATTGTACCACATATCAACGGCGTCAACAGCGTTCGCATCATCTCCGTACTAGCAGACACAGACTTCTCCCTCACCTGCCGCGCCCTCCGACATCTCCTCTACTATGGCTGTCTATTCATCCTCGACATCTTCTCCTTCTCCGCCATCTACGCCCCAACCGCCCAGTTCACCGCAACAATAGGCTCCGACGAAGCAATGCAACTAGAATGTGCCCGCTACGTAAACCTCCGCTTCGCACCACACCCAGCAACCGGACCCTCCTCCCCTCTCCCCCCAAGCCTTATCCCAAGCCCAAGCGCCAACGGCAGCACAAACGGCAGCTTAAACGACAGCACCGGAACAGCTCAGCTCTCCAGCTCCCTCACCGACCCAACACCAAGCCTCACACGGGAAGAATCCCGCTTCGACGCCGAAGAAATCTGGCCCCTCCTAGGCGCCGAAGAAAACTCCTCCACCTCCACCTCCACCTCCCCAAAAACACCCCCAAACACGCTCCACAAACCAGCGATCGTTGACGGCGCCGCGCTGGTCGAGCTTTACGCAAGCCTAAAACAAGGCCAGAGCGTCAAGCAATGGTATGCAACGCACAGTCGCTCGCTAGCCAACATTGACATCCGTCGCTTTATCACTTTCGGCGTGATAAAGGGCTTCCTGTACCGCGTACACAAATATGCCTGTGCAACGAGCCAGCCTGCCCCCCGCCGCGCGCGTCCTCGTTCACGCCGACGGCGCTGTCGTCGCGCGTCACTACCGGCACCAATACACCCTATGCGATCTCTAGTGTGTCGGAGGACGCGTCTATCTCGACGGTTGCGAGGAGGGAGTCTAGTCGTGAGCGGGCTGGGTCGGTGCTGAGTGGGGGTCGGAATGCGAATGGGAGTGCGGGGGCGCCGTCGGCGTTTTGGGACGAGGAGGATGAGGTTGTCGGGGATGAGGTTCTTGGGAAGTATCTTGATGGTACGCATTGCTTTGATCAGATTTGTACGGAGTTGGAGATGAGTGAGAGGGAGCTGACGGCTAGATTGAAGAGGTATCCCTGGGAGGTATTGATTCTTCATAGATGAGTTGGGAGAGTTTCTTTTTTGGGAGGTTTTTTTTATTGTCGGAATTGATTGATACCCTACTTTTGCGTTTATATGGTTCCCAAGGTACCGCTGGAGATTTGAAGATTGGGAACCTTTGTCTCATTGAAATCTTACAGCTTGGGACTTAAGGATAAGAATATATGGACATAATCACATCTAACTAGGTAGTTAGATATAGTATGTTGTGGAAAAGACCCAGTGTATTTTCAGGCGGACTACAAAATAGCCAGCGGTTCAACATTTGATGTTGTGGAACAGAAAAAAAAAGAGGTATCCGCTAACGCCACGCTAGTCCATCATGCATTTGTATCGTATCGTGCAGGAAATAAGTCAAAGTTGAGGTGGCTAAGAGGCAGCCAAATGATAGAAGACGGGTTATCTTCGAGTGATAAAGACCCGGCAGAGAACGGAGAGGGAGGAATCATTCCTCGTCCCAGTTCTCAAGCTCGGCTTTCTCGTATTCAGCCATGACTTCTGGGTCGAAGATCGACTCTCCCTCAGAGGGAATGGTAGTCTTGATGTCGTCAAAGATAGGCAGGAATGCCTCGTTCCAGCGACGACGACGGTCCATAACAATCTTTGCAGCGTCTCCGACAGCAGGACGGGATACTCCCGCAGAACCAGCGACGTGGCTGCCGCCGCCTGCGCCGCCTGGCCGATGCTTGGGCTGGGCACCCTTCTTGCTTTTGCCCATAGTGCGGGTGCGTTTGAGATAGGCCTGTTGGACCTGAGAGTCGAGGTCGTCTTGGATGGTAGTAAACTCAAGCATGGCCATGTGCTCCTGGGCAATCTTTAGAATGCGAGCTTTGCGAGCATTGTTGGTGACGATTTGCCTCTTGAGCTCGTTTTGGAGTAGGCGGAGTCGCTCAGCAACTTCATCATCGTAGTGAGCGTCGTAGTCTGGATTATCATCTGCACCGAGGAAACCAATGAATCGCAATTCGGCTTTGGCGCGTTCGTCCAATTGGGCATGATCCAGCTTTGCGACCGAGGTTTTGAAGTCGTTTGGATCTGCGTCGCGGAAGGTGGTTGCAGCAGGGAGAGGCTTGACTTCGCCCTTGTTCTCCTTCTCAACGGTGGGTTGATCAATGTCCATTGCGTCCTTATCCAGTCCACTTACACTCGCGGTATCCCCATTTGCGGTTGGATTGGAATCTTCGGGAAAGGTACGGTGCTCGTAACGGAGGAGAGAGCAGAGGCGGCTGAGGAGAGGTCCAACCGAGACTTCGTTGGTTTCGGCTTTATCGTCAGTCAGCTGTTCAATGCTGCCACGGCCTTGATTCAAAGGCAGCTGGTCCTTGTCATCTTGACTCGAGTCGTATGACACTCCATCCTCCTCCGCCCAAATTTGACGGTAGTTTTTCTTTGCGCGGCGGGGCATGATGAACGGGGTAGTGCGATCACCCTGTGACAGGTCAGCTTGTGCTGACTGAAAGTAGCTACAATTGACTTACCCTTTCTTTTAACCAGGCAATGTCCTCCTCGGTAAGAGGCCGGACGTAAGGTTCAATGTAAGTCTGGAAAGTATTCGCGCTGACTTGGTTGGAAGGTTTGGCATTGCTGAAGTCCTTGTCAGGAGCCACACCCGCTGCCATATGAGCAAGATCGGTCTTAGGGAAGTGAGCAACGCTGTAAATCTCTTTCTTATCATCGTCCGTCATGCCTGGGAGAACATCTCGAATGTTGTAGATGGTGGGGTCGTCAAACTTCAGCGGGTTATCGCCAAAGACTTGCACCTGAGGAATCGCAGGTTGGGGTTCAGGTTGGTGGGAATCGGCACTGGTTTCAGACCCGGGGGTCCCGGGGGGAGGGCCGTCAACAGCAGTGGTTGTGCCATTGGGGGACATCATCGATGGAGGTGAAAGCGAGGAGCTTTCATCAGATATCGCATTCTTGGAGTTTTTCGATGCTGGAGAAGCCGCTGTTGGTAGTTAGCGAAGGCTGAACGGTGGGGAAAGTGAAAGAAGATCAAGTTGTGGAGATGGGTCGGTAAAAACAAAGAGTTGGAAGAAAGCGCCGAGTTGGATCTCTTCTTACCTCCCTCAACCTTAGTCTCAGCTCCATCCTGGCGTGCTACCTCATGTGCGCCATGATTTAACGGCCGCTCCTCTTTTCCACTTGGGCGCTCTTTCCGCTTCTTCAGCTTCCCGCCCTTATGAATATCGTCGTCCTCTTCGGTTTCACGTTTCAACTTGGAGCGATCTCGAACTTCACGATCAAGCTCCTGATCGTCCACTTCCTTGCGCTTTTGAGACATCTCGCGCATTCCGGCATTGCAAACCTCGCCTCGAAGATCGGCCATGTCACTAAGACCCTTCAGGTGCTCCACCAATGCCTCCAGTGTTTTTGAATCTGGAATGTTCTGCGCGGAGACCAGGTCCAACACATCGGAGTACTGCACGCTAGCCAAGTCAATGTGCTTGGTGACATCGTTCTCTAAGTAGCTTTGGATGGGTAGTGATGGGATAGCGGGAGCACTAGCGCTGGACGGGGTGGTATTGCGGCTACGCGACTGGCGCGCATCGCGGCCTTTGCCTTTGCCTTTGTATGCGGATGGCATGGTATTTCTTCAGACCGATGATTGGACGAAGCGAAAAGAAGAGATGAATTGATTAAGATACCAAAGACAGCAGTATCAACGAAGAGAGAGATTGGTTGACAGAAAGGATCCTAGGAGGTGTGGATGGGACTAGACAGACACATGCTGTCGTCGGTCACTGTGAGCGAATAATAATGAAAGGAGATTGAATGTCCCCTAAAGTTGCCTGACCATAAGCTAAAGCAGACACAATCCCTCGATCATAAATGAATTAAACTTTCTAGAGGTGATGATGGTTGGCGGTCGCTGGCGGTCGGCTAGAATATTCACGTGATGGCGATCCGACATGCATCATCACGTGCTCCATCTTCAATTCATTGGTTCCTGAGCACTTGGCTATGGAACATTGCCTTTGAGCTTATTCAATTTTTTTGCACTGTATATACAGCTTGCACCTCACCACTTGATGGCTCACACATGGTCTAGCCGCCCAAGAATGTGGTCGAGGTTGAAACCTGATACACATTCCTACAGTTCTGCGGAGGGAGCCCCGATGTCGGCTACTCCGACATTCTGAGGGATGAGGCAGAGCAAATCATGTGTTTTTGTGAATTGTTGCAAGCGTTGAATAATTACTATTTATAACACAGTCTCGCTAGTTAAGTCCCAATGTCAAGTGTAAAAGGTTGGAAAGTTGCCTGTTGATGATCATCTCCTCAAACGGTCTACCGTGAACGGCCATGTTTAGCGAAGTACACGATGTAGACCACGCGCTCGGCCATTTCCATTTGTTGACTCGTTCCCGGAGATATCTTCGAAATGTGAAACTCAGTGTATCTTAGCCAAGCCGTTTTGCCTCTTGCCTCGTGGTTGGAACCAGTATTGTTCTACATTCTTGTGACGGTCCCGATTGACTCTCGCATTCTTCCGCTGTAGAGCTCTAAACAGCAATGGGGATGTATGGGATGCTTCAGGGTTCAGCATCGTCTTAAATGACTTTGCATAGAACCATAGTGGTTGCCATTTTCAAACTCTTTCATATTCAACTTGTTTCCCCTACGCCTTCCCCGCGGGTCTGAAGCATTTAGACTCATAGTATATACTTTACTTGACAGTCACCTTCATTATTCACTTGACCCAAGATCAGATATCATGTCAGCTGCTACCATGTCAACGCGAAATGACTCGGTGGGTAAAGTGGCTACACTTTGGGCAGGTTCAGGGCAAGCTTCGAATTCCACCTCGTCAGTCGAAGTAAGTATGCCTTCTTCATTAAAAGCCGACAACAGCATTTGGGGCTGATTCTAACTCACATAATTACATAGGAGAATGTCGCCTATCGGTTTGTTCTCGACCGTAAGGTTCAAACAATATCGAGCAATGGCATCCCCGAGGATGGATTGGTATCAGGCCTCTTGTTTGTACCCAGTCTAGAGCCGCATGATCCGTGTTATGACATTACTGCTTCGTCCGTGCCGTCAAATGTGACCCGATACGAAGATGTGTCTGACTTCGGATACTCCCTCGTTGGCCTTGCTCCATGGGTAACTGCCGAATGTTCGCTATCGTTCCTCTCAGCCGCCCAAAAGGTTGGCACGCACGCTATGATCTTTTTCCAGCCGTCAGACAACGAGACCGGCATACCACCGGACTCGAACGACTCTCGCTGGGCAACCAATGACGGAGAGAAATGGAGAATGGACAACGATTACCCAGTGTACGCCATTCCTGGCCCAGCTGGAACTACATTGATCAATGATCTCTCGTGGTATTCAAATAAGACACCCGAAGACAAGAGAGACAACTCTACCGAAAATTTTGCGCTACAGACCAAGACAAACCGATTGTTTGCCAGGATTGAGACTGGTAGGTTACAAAAATGCGTTACTTTCGAATCTATACTCACATATCGCAGGCGAAGAAACACAAGGGGCGTCGACGAGCGTTTGGAGTTTCGTACTTGCAATTGCAGGAACAGTTCTTATACTCAGTATCCTCCTGATCATTATTTATCGATTTGTCCTGCGTAAGAGACGCGCTCAGCTGCAGAGACGTGTTAATGCAGGTCAAGTCGACATCGAGGCCTTGGCATTGAACCAAATGACGGCTCCTCAAGAGGTGGTTAACAAAATGCCACGTTATACATACTTGGAGATCATCCCGCCAACAGAAGCAACGCTGCCACAAGATAATACATCGGCAAATCCAATCGAGCATGGTTCTGGAGACAAGATCAACTCGCTATGGCTCAAGGAAAACAACTATGCCCAGGACGATGCTGGCCTCCAGAAACCCGAAGCAGCGATGATAAAGCCTGGACAGAACGATACTTGCAGAAGCAAGTACCGTCTGAGCCATACTCAAACGACTTGTGCTATTTGTCTCGACGATTTTGTTGTTGGGTCATCTACGGTCCGCGAACTGCCTTGCGGACACATATTTGACTCAGCGTGTATCGATCCATTCCTGACCCAGAACTGCTGCCTTTGTCCCTTATGCAAGAAGAGCGTTTTGCCAGCAGGATCATACTATATCTCTGTGACGAATGAAATGGTCGAACGAGAGCATCTTTCGAGACGCCCTTGAATGCAGCACGGGAGACTGCTATTGCGTGCTTTTAGATTATGCCAGCATGGAGAGAGCGAGGATTATTAGTTGCATTTACTAAGCGAGGCGATTTGACGATCTTGATGTTTTTGTATGATGTTTTGGTAGTGATTGTATCAAATCAAACAATTTAAACAAAATTATCCAATTATGGAATTACAAGATCAGTCGCCACTTATCCGGTCTCTGTCCTTGAAGATGGTGCTTCTAGTATGCCTGTTTTTAATCCTGGTCATAGAAAGGCCTCTTCTTATTTTATCCCTTTACTTTTATTCAATATTGCCTAGACCATTCATAACTAGGACACAGTGAAGTTACCAAATTAGCATAATTTTCAGCCTGAGGCAGGCAGATGATGCTGACACCTGATTTACAAGGCAAATAGTAAGCTCACACTATGATTGGCCCTAGTGGGTCAACTCGCTAATCGCTAGCGTCCCACACACAACCTCTGCCTCCAGACCTTTTCTTCCTCGAACTTTTGCGACAACGACAACCGACGACATCGTACAGCCGACAAGGTACGTTTATCATATTTTTTTTTTCATACAATCTCCGCCGCAAGTGCACTTCTCTGACTTATAACCGTCTAGATGGGTGCCCTCAAGTACGTGGAAGAAATCCAGAAGAAGAAGCAGTCCGATGTGATTCGCTTCCTGCTGCGCGTCCGATGCTGGGAGGTGAGATAAATCCCTTCGCCCCCGATTGCCTAACATCTCCGCCGAGCACTGGTGTGCGTTGCCTTAGGATATGCCGTTTTTATGTGGTATTGCTAGGCGGCTCGAACAAAAGTCATTCGGCGGAAATGATTGTGGCACGCAAGAAAACCCTTTCGGGCTTCATGTGTCTTGCTATACACTCGTTGAACATTGCTGAGAGTGCATAATATAGCTCCGCCAGCTGAACGCCATCCACCGTGCCTCGCGCCCTTCGCGCCCCGACAAGGCCCGTCGTCTCGGTTACAAGGCCAAGCAGGGTTACGTTATCTACCGTGCCCGTGTCCGCCGCGGTGGCCGCAAACGCCCTGTCTCCAAGGGTGCCACTTACGGTACGAATTTTTCCTGTCGAGAGCATGATATCTGAGGGAATTGAAGGAATATTTTTTAGCTAATGTGCGATTATGTGAACAGGCAAGCCCACCAACCACGGTGTCAACCAGCTCAAGTACCAGCGTGCTCTCAAGTCTACCGCTGAGGAGCGTGTTGGCCGCCGCGCTGCTAACTTGCGCGTCCTGAACTCCTACTGGATCAACCAGGACTCCACCTACAAGTACTACGAGGTTATCCTTGTCGATCCCCAGCACAAGGCCATCCGCCGTGATGCCCGCATCAACTGGATCTGTAACCCCGTTCACAAGGTGAGTTTGGCTCGAAATTTGACTGTGATGCGCGCGAGCTTTGCTGATCAGGCCCCCCTTTCTAGCACCGTGAGTCCCGTGGCCTTACCGCCACCGGCAAGAAGTCCCGTGGTATCAACAAGGGTCACCGCTACAACAACACCAAGGCTGGTCGCCGCCACACCTGGAAGCGCCAGAACACCCAGAGCTACTGGCGTTACCGTTAAGTGCGGTAGTGCACTTTCCCAGTGGTTTCGGTTGGAAAATATTGGTTACGGCATGTGGTCATTTATTCAAACACTTTTTCCCCAGACAGTGTTTTCCACGCTGGGCTCAACTTTAATGCAGACCAGTCGGTTCTGTTGTTAGCCAAAAAGCCATCTTGTTCTATGTTTCAATTCCCCTATTAACGAAGTATGACTGGTTCAGCTCCATGGTACTGGCATTGTAGAAGTGTAGTCTTGAATTAGTGCTACTTTTTACTAGTTCTATGGATGCATTGTATGCATATCGCTGATTTTCAACTCTCAGTGTCGCATTTGCGGGTGGTCTACTCCGTACTCCGTAGTACTTGCGGGGGCCAATCGCCGTTAGAGATGCGGATCGCGAGCAAGTGGTCTAGTGCACATGATATTCAGATTTTATACGCTAAGGCTGTCTTTAATTGTTATTGTGTAACGATCATCGATGTGCGTAGTTCTAACTACGAAAATAGACCTGTGGCCCGAACTTTCAGGTCTCTAATCTAAAAATAGACTTTAAATGCCTTAGGCATGAACAACTTCCCTCCCCCGGCCTCTTTCCCAATCCGTCTACAGACTATGAACTGCTGCTGTAACAATCCATCACTCTTCATTAGAGTCCGAGGTAAGATAATTATTTGCTCGGTGAGACTTGATTAGCTTACTGAATGTCCGGTTCTGCAATAGACCAACCTGTCATTTATCAAACAAAGAAGCAAAGCTCGCTTTACTCGACTGCCTTACCCCCACTCCGTCCTCCACGATTTATTCGTATGTGTTTGGTACGAAGGACAAGCTCCACGAGCTGGATTACATACTGGAGAGGTTGAATTTGATCAAATCAAATCACATCAAATTGATGCGCCTCTATGCCGTCCCGGCCTGAACGTCAACTGCCTATCCCTCCGATCTCAACTGCTGGCAACGCCGCCATCCCTGGAATACACCCTTCCCAACTTTCTGGACTGGAAATCAACCCACGCCGTATGGTTCGACCTCGCGATGCTTCGATCATGCCCCCATTAAACGGCGGTACCCCCAAGAGTTCGTACCATCGAGGACATTCACGCTCGATCAGCAATCCGTTCGCTGGTTTTGGGCGAAAACGGGACAAGACAGTCGCCAAATATGCGACTTGGGACTCTGACGATGATGACGACGATGAGGTAACATATCCCTTGGAGCCAGAGTCGTCAAGTCCCCGGAAAGGTGTAGCACCTGGAAATGATCTCGCCGAGGGCAAGTGTCAGACTTGTGATGCTACTGTCCGGTGGCCACGGCACTTGAAGGTGTTTAGATGCACCGACTGCTTGATGATCACAGACCTCGAGCCGGTTTCTCATGATTCAAAAGACGAACCCCCACAAGGGTCTCAGGGTGGAGCGTCCAATTTGGCAAGCAAAGGTAACACCTTCAGATGCTAGTTTTGCGTCATATATTTGTAAAAAATACTGATTTGCTCCTAGTGTTTCCTTTGACGGCCAATCAAATTCGTGGTATGGTCGGGGGGTGTCTCAACATGTATTTCGATAGCCTTTTGGACAATAGCCCTCGGTCATGGTTGTCGCCGGACGACGACAGAAAGAACAAACCGCTACCTAATCTTCCGCCAATGCAGGATCATGCCTCTGGTCCAAACAATCTCTCGCCCCCACGCACTGGCGATTCTCGGAGTCGTAGTGCTTCCCATTCTAGTGAACGGGAAAGGTTGGCGGCGTCAAAAGAAAACTCAGGTTACTTGACACCACAATCTGTTCGCTGGGAGGGCAATGAAACGCCTGTCAGAGTCCGAGCAAATTCAGATCTCCGATCAACTCCAAAGCTAGACAGCCGCATGCAAGACGTTTCGCAAGCCGGGAACTCGGAGTTTCAAAGCTGCGACAATCGGACACACATTTTCAAACGGCTGGAAAATACCATCGCCACTGCCTTCAAAGGCTGTGACTGCCTCAACGAATCTTTCACTACATATCCACCACCTCGGTCAGCCCGAGCAGCTAGTAATGGTAATCCACCGAAAACGAAGATGGAACCGACCACAATACCCCAACCAGCGCAAGACGCTCCAGTTTTTGAACCAGATGCCAAAACTCTTCTTTTAGGAGATTTGACCGAGAACTCCTCTTGGTGGATGAATGAATGGGCTGAGACCGAAGGCCAAAATCCCGCATATTCCAAAGAGAAGAACACCCCAAAGTCTCGGATGATATCATCGCGAAGCCCTCGGATCAACTGGTCCGAGTTAGCCCAGTGGTACCATTCGATCCTGTCCGCGGGAAATTCTTGGACTGAGCTCTGGGCCGCCAAAAAGCCTGACCCCACACGATCAGAAGCGGATCTGATCCGAGCCAAGAGATGGGCGTCTATTGATCCGTCCTTGATCGGAAGACAAGTCAGCGAGTCTCGTTTGCACTTACAACGGGCACTCTTGAAAGCTACCGAGGGCCTCCTCAAGCGCCCGCGCCGTGTTCTGAAGAAACCAGAAGATACCAGGTTCTTGTTCATATTGTTAGCGAATCCTATGTTGTCTTCACCTGCGTCTTATTGTCAGCATACATCCATCTCGCCGTCTCATCGAGACGAGAGGCGCCCATCGCATCCAAAAGACTACCTGAAATCGGCAACTCGAGACGGAAAACCCTTGCAGAAAGAGCCGCACAAAATCCCTGCTCGTCTAGATGGCTCCAGTCACCATTATGGAATTATCAAACGAATCCTGGGGCTCGCGTCTAATTTGCCCAATGACTGCCATCACTACATCGTGTCTTGGGCTTCACGTTTCTCTGTTAGACATTTCGAGCGACTGGTAGAACTTATCGGTGGATTTCTCACTTACCGTTTGAGTCGTCAGCATGGGCGAAAACGCCCTCAAAACCCTCAAAACGGAGATGATCTAATACCGAGCTTTGCCAGTGCTTCGGGAAATACTGCTGCGGAACTTCACGCTGCGATTAATCGAAGTAGCCCGAACAAGAAGCCTGGCAAAAAGACCGAAGACCCCATAATATACGCCGAGGACTGGCAGATCAGAGCGGCAGCAAGAGTAATGTCGCTGTTCTTCACGGCTAACATCTCCTCCGCAACGAGGAAGTCTGATGGAACCCCGCGCAGTCTTGAAGTTCCCAAGAACCCAGGCCCTCGTCAAGGACATATGATTCCGATCAGTGCATTTTACAATACACTGCTGGATTATTCGGATCTAGTGGCGGACTTCGAGACTTGGGAGGCTAAAGTCTCGAAGTTTTCGTTCTGTCAGTATCCGTTCCTCCTTAGCATCTGGGCCAAAATTCATATCATGGAGCATGATGCGCGTCGTCAAATGGAAGTGAAAGCACGCGATGCATTTTTCGACAGCGTCCTCAACCACACGGCGGTAAGTCAGTACCTCGTGTTGAAGGTACGGCGTGAGTGTTTGATTGAAGACAGCCTTAAGGGAGTGAGTGAAATTGTTGGTACTGGCCAAGAAGAAATCAAAAAGGGTCTCCGGATCGAATTTTCGGGCGAAGAAGGCATTGACGCTGGTGGCCTGCGGAAGGAATGGTTTCTTCTGCTTGTTCGAGAGGTCTTTGACCCGCTTCATGGTCAGCGTTTTCCGATTTTAGAGTGAAATGACTGGCTAATTCAAAATAGGCCTCTTCATCTACGATGACGACTCGCAGTATTGCTACTTCAATCCTTATTGCTTTGAGTCATCCGAACAATTCTTCTTGGTTGGGGTTCTTCTAGGTCTCGCCATTTACAACTCCACCATCCTTGATGTTAGTCTCCCGCCGTTTGCGTTTAAGAAATTGCTGTCGTCGGCGGCGCATGCCAACGGGCCACAATTGGCTACTTCCTTGCGTTCGACCTTCAAATGCACCCTAGAAGATCTTGCCGAGTACCGGCCAGCTCTCGCCAAAGGACTCCGGGGTCTACTAGAATTCGAAGGCAGTGTCGCGGAGACCTTCTGCTACGATTTCGTTGCCCAGGTCGATCGCTACGGCGAAATTATCAGTGTGCCACTCTGTGCAAATGGCGAGAACCGACCGGTGACCAACTCTAACAAGCGTGAGTTTGTGGATTTGTATGTCCAATATCTGCTAGACACAGCCGTGGCTCGACAGTTCGAACCTTTCAAACGCGGTTTCTTCACGGTCTGCGGCGGCAATGCACTATCACTTTTCCGACCAGAAGAGATCGAAATGCTAGTCCGCGGCTCAGATGAACCACTCGATGTCAATTCTCTCCGGGCGGTGGCCACCTACGACAACTGGTCACACCCACGACCAGAGTCAGTCCCTGTGGTGCGCTGGTTCTGGGAATTCTTGGAGAAATCAGACCCTCAAGCACAGCGCACGATCTTGTCATTCATTACTGGTAGCGATCGGATCCCTGCAATGGGGGCTACAAGCCTTATTATCCGGCTTGCTTGTCTTGGGGATGACTGTCCTCGTTACCCGATTGCGCGTACATGTTTCAACACGTTGGGCCTTTACCGCTACCCCACACGGGAGAAGTTCCAGCGGCTGCTCTGGGATGCAGTTGTAAATAGCGAAGGATTTGGCTTGAAATGATTTGTTTATCACTTGCTCGGGACTTGTGTTACTATTGGTGTTTGAGAATTTGTATAGACGCTGGACGTTGACTTCGAAGTGAGCGTTGCATGTTCATACTTTGCGTCGTGTTTGCTTTCTTTCTTTTGCTCTTCATTCTGTCATGGCGTACCGGTGCTGTTATTTCTTGCCTTGCAAACTGCACACGAGGTTTTGTGTCTTGTTTATTGATTCAGTCTTGGTGACTGAGAGAGTCTCGTTCAAATTTGCATTCCTGGACGTAGTTTTCATTCTAGTACACTTGACATAGATTGATAGATCCCTCACCTCACCCTCAAGCGAACTCCCCAGCCTTCCATGTCAGGAAAAAACAACTCAAATTTCCCCATCACCACACCAACCTCATACCTCTGATTTTATTGGTCCGTAAGAATCGATGACCACTTGTATCTAAACTTAGAAAGTTCAAGGCCATGCTCTTTCTTAGAGTTTGCGTAGAACAAATGAAGGAATGGTTTAGTCAATGGCCTATATCGAGCGTTCTCTATGAATTTTTCCTATATACCGTCCAAATCATATACTAATTACCAAAATGCGAGATAACAGAGGCAGCTAACGGTACAAGATACCATCAACCATCTCACCAATCGCCAAACAACTCGTCAAGCCAGGGCTCTCAATTCCCAACAAATTGACAAACCCAGGAAGACCCTCTTCTTCCTGGATAATAAAGTCCTGGAACCCATTACCCTCATTGACAGCACCGTTCCTCCCTAACTTAGGGCGAATACCACAGTAATCCAACGCAATAGCACTGACGTCGACACCAGGCATATAAGCTTTGATCTCCGGCAGCGCTTGCTCCAAACGCGCAGCACTCGGCACCAAATCATCAGGACTATCCACCCACTCAACATCCGGCCCAAAGCGAATGCGCCCAGCCATGTCAAGAGTCAGGTGCGTACCCAGCCCACCAGTACCCGGCAAAGTCACCGGATATACCAAAACCGAAGTCCTAGGCCTGGACGCCGCATACGAAAAGTACGTGCCCTTGGCATAATGCGGAACAAAATGGCGCTCCTTTGGGAGGAGCATGTTACTGATATCGCACGCGCCATGTCCAGCACTATTAACCAACGTCTCGACGGTAAAAGAAGTAACCGAGCCATCCTCATCCGAGACAGCGGTAATCTTATACCCGCCGCGGCCGCCGTCGATAGCCTCCACACCTGTCACGCGCGTCTTGAACGCAACATCGCCTCCGCGGTCCTCAAAGTCGCCATGCAGGTAAGTCATCAGAGAGTGACTGTCCACAATGCCAGATGTCTCGCTCTCGACGATGCCTGCATCTGCCTTGACGTCTGGTTCGCGCTGCTGCGCTTCGTCACGTCCCACTAGCCGCGTTGGTGCGTCGCCTAGTCCTTGTGCGTGCGCGTGCAATTTTAGACAGGCTTCCCACTGAGTAGGGTTTTGCGCCACAATCCATTTCTTTGTGTTGCGATGGGGGATGTTGTTCTGTGCGCAGAGGTCGTAGAGGAGGTTGCGGCCGCGGATGCAGAGCTTGGTTTTGAGGGAGGTCGCTGGGTAATAGAGGCCTGCATGAATTACCTGGTTGGCGCGGGGTTGTTGTTAGTTTATTTGGGTTGTGTTGGTTTATTGGAAACTGTTCAGGTGGGCTTATCGTGGAGATTGCCTACCTCGGAGTTGCGACTGCTCGTCTCTGTCCCTGGTGCGTCATGTCGCTCTAGTAGGATGGTTGAGGTGCCTTCGCGAGCTGCAAGTTGCCGTGCGGCCGCGAGGCCGACGACGCCTGCGCCAATTACCTTTCATTCAGATTAGCCTTGTGTCTGTCTTGAATCTACCTAGGTTGCACTATACCGCATGGGTGAAGTCCGCATTGGTGGGTCGGGTGCTGGAAAAGCAGCGAGTGGGGAGCTTATTTTTAAGCTTAAATTGCTGCTTAAGCAGGGCACGTGCAGACATATCGGGAAGACGCAATTGACCAGCAGCCTGCAAGGAAGGAGCCCTGAAGTGTGACTTTGGTAGGAACATCCGACCTCCGACCTCGGGAATGACCTCGGGCGTGACCTCGGGCGTGATCCCGAGGCCCATATATTGAACTCAAAAGTATGCGACCCTGGAACTATAGAAATATAAAACCATAGATTATCATCTTTCATCATTTGACATCTAAGAAGAAGAAAGGCAAGTCAGAATGAAAATGATCGCTAGTTTCTGACTATACATAGACAAAGGGGGCAAAGGGAAACCCTTATGAAAGAAGTGTGAAGGCAATTGTTTCAGTTTCTAACAAAGACTCGACATGAGCTGGAGTTACTATTTAACTGACCATAAATCCCATCAATTAACCTGACCATACCATAGTAAGCACATCTCGAGTTACCTCCAGCTCATCTAAATCCACACTTCTCACCTGAACAAAGATGATCCAACCAGGTATGTTCTCCCGCCCCGATGGCTCCAACATCGCAGAGATCGACACGAAGGAGTTTGTCCACTGGGTGACGGTAGACTTCAGCAAATTTGGCGGACGAACTAGGCCCAATAGCGGCAAGAGCATGATGCGTCTGATGGCTGAGCAGTGCAGATCTGGAGTAGCCACTATTACATCTGTGCCTCAGCATCACATTCGGCCATGCTGTCTCTCATTGCCCGTCGTCGGAGATGCCGAGCTCGTACATGTTCATATTCTGTGGCGTGCAGCTGAGCTTGCTGATTGGCATTGGGAGGAGATTATGGCCGGTAAGGAGACGCTTGATACTAAGCGCGTTCTAGGCGATGCTCCACGGTTGTCTCGTAAAAGGGTGAATGGGGCTTAGTATTATCTCGATAGATGTAGTTTATTTTGACCGATCGATCATAAGACTATATTCTGACAGAAGATGATACTGTCAATTTAGTTGTTTATCATCAACTCAAATTCATAGAAAGATGACGGTATAATACCATATAGAATTTAAAGAAGAATGTTTCATCTTCGATTCGCATAATGCTGTGAGGTAGGCTCATTATCATTCGACGTCCATAAGAACATCACTCATTATGTATAAAATATACGAGAACTTTTTGACACTCCACTTCCCAGAGTCCTTGAGAAGAGATGCATAATCAAGCAGGATTCGACGCGCAAACTGATACCCACCGTGGAACGGCAGTCCTCGCAAGTAGATGGTAGCCCCGTTGCGAATGAAGTTAACAGCGGGATCATCCGTCGGCGCGAGAGTCTGACTTCCCCTAGGCTCCATGAAACTAGTGAATCCCTCCGTTCCCACTGATCTCCAGTCGACATCATCCATCAACTCCACAGACCCGACACTAGACGGCGAACTAGTAGAAGCCGGAACCATGAACGTATACAGACCGAGCACTAATCCAGCCGAAAAGAGCGAAAACATAGATTGGAAGGTGGGATGGTCAGAAGCTTTGCGGTTTGTCATGACTTTGTAAATGTGTGCAGCGTGCAGACACGCGCGTCTGGCGGCAGGTGTCTGCGACCATTCACGGATATCGTCAAGGGCCTTGCGGGCAGGATTTGGGCCTGCACGGCCAGCTGCAAGGTCGAATATTTGGATATCGGCGGTCAGAGTCATGCAAATGTTGTGCCACGTAATGAGAGCATTAGGATTGAGGCGATCGAGGGTTTCGCCGTAGTTTGTGATGAGCTGGGATTGGAGGGAGGGGAGGCACCTGGCTCGGCCGTCCATGGCGTAGGTGTGACATGGAGCAAAGGGGTAGCTGGCTCTATTGGAGAGGAGGCGGTGGTAGGCTTCTGACTGGCGGAGCTGAACTATTGCTAGTATTGCTTGTATACAGAAGTCATCTGCGGGAGCTTCTAGGGTGGGGATGTTGATGTTTTCGGATGGGGCGAGGATTGTTGATGAGAGAATGCGCTTTCCGCCACGGATTAGGTGTTTCCATTGGATGGAGGAGTGGGCGTTGAAGAGAGCTTCGCTGCAGGGGAGGATGAGTTGGATTGAGTCTGGGACTGTGATTGGACCCGTTGAGAGGAACGAGGAGTACCAAGAGTCTAGGAGCAGTAATCCAATGATTATTCTTGGGAAGACTATTAGTGATGTGCGATATAAGTAGGAATTTTGGCATACCTCTTAGTTGATTCGATCTTGCTCCAGGCTTTCCATCTCATTTCATTATCAGGAACCGTTTCGAACAAAGTCATGTCAAGAATCTGTCCTTCGGTGGCTGAAAACAAACCATGTCTTTGGGCGACCTGCATAATTGTCATTAGAGTCACATCGATAGAGGAAAACAAGAAGGTTCTCTTCCAACTCACAGACATGACATTGATATAAAGAGGTTGACACTGTTCCAGATGTACTTTTTCCTGCAGAATGACAATGATTAGTACCTCGAGTTCAGCGAGCTTGGGCTAAGGAATTCATACCCCGGTCAAGCCAGCCAGGTTTAATAAGAGCAAAACTGTCGCAAACAATGTCACGGTGCCAGAAGCGCTCTCAAGTCCCATTGAGCATCGGGAAAATTCAGCTGTTACCTTGTCCAAAGTGCCCTAATGACTGTCAGTAAGCTACCTGCATATATGACGCGATTAACAATAGTTGACCTACTGAGAAATTTCTGGACACAAACGCAGTTGTTCCTTTCGTGCCAAGTAATGTCATGCCAACCAGCGTCATAACATATAGCAGAGATGGTCGCACCTTATTTGCCGAAAAGGTCGGTAGATGGACAAATGGCAAGAGGGGATTAAAGATGCGGAAAAATAAATCTAGTGCCATATCCAAAATCTCAGCAGGGGGGAAATCAGAGTAATTCAATGTCGAGACAGGCGTGGCTGGAGGAATATTCCTATCTGGGGGTGACTGCATATGCACAGAAAGAGTCATCGGTCCAAAAGCCGCATACAGGCGCCGTCTGCAATTCTCGTCGAATCCATACCGGGATCCTTCAACAGCACTTGCCTCATTGGAAGGGTGTAATGACTGAACAGAGAAGATATTATCAACCGGTGACATGACGATATCCCGCCATAAACTGTTTATAAGACGCCCGGTATTCGGTGGTGCTAGCCAGCACTGCTGAACTCTAGCGAAGCGTTCATTAGGAATGCTATCGCTGCTGTCGCCTGAATGTCGATTCTGCTGGCCTGAAGTAAGATTCAAATTGTCACCGATCAAAGGGAAATGGCTATCGCGCATCAGATCTAGTGAGTCAATTGACGCCGAAGCTGTGCGTGGTTCAAGCCACATTTGTAGCATGTCTTTTGGCCCAGGGTCGAAGGCCGAGCCAGCTCGGTGCGACACATGATCTGCCGATGTGACTGCATTCCATCCAAAGTACTGCTGCTGGTCATCAATCATCATCATATTGAGATCTGGTTCGGTGCGGCCATGGTGAGCTGAAATGTCAGCTAGGTAATCTAGTGATGATGGGAGCCCAGTTGATGCGAGATGCGCATCTCGCGAAGTAGTAGACAGAGGTGGAATCTGTGCTTCTGCACCGATAAAACCATTTCCTGGTCCGGGAATCATTGATGCATCCGCGGTTACTGATGACTGTCGATTTGACGCTTCCGATGGACCGGCTGTCGCATTGGCTTGATTGTGGCCCTTGGCATGTCGGCTCAAGACGTCGCTGTATGCTCATTAAATTTAGGTATTTGAACATGGGATTTTGAATATGTTACAATTCACATGTGCCTTCAATGGAATTTACCTTCGAGAGAAACGCTTGTGGCAGATATTGCATTCGTATGGGCGTTCCTTAGTGTCTGTTTTGTATGTTAGATTGCTCTTGCAGGGGTTCGACGTGACTGACGCGACCGCTCATGCCTCTTATAATGTTCGGTTTTTTTGAACACCCGCGAACAGATGGAACATTTTTTCAACACCATCACGGCGCTCTCGAAAAGATGAATGATTACGGTACATGTAACCCTCAAGACTTGCGGAGGGGAAAATATATTAGTCAGCAAGTCCGGGGTTCTAACCTTGGTTGACTCCACTGGGACTATTCCGCATTGGGGAAGTTGATACCTTAGAAAGCAGGCACAAATAATGTGATTTATCTGAAATAAATATATTCTAACATTGCTGGCCTATCTAGTCTCATTTTCAGATTCTGGGATACCTGCATTTGCAACAAAGGAATAGAGATCTTCATCCCCATCCGACGGAAGCTGACCACTGAGCATGAGCATCCAGCCCAACCCAGACTCGAGTTGGAAATCGCGCGTCTCATGCTGTGTGCTTAAAGACCTTCCATTATTCGGGATTATGGAGTCAGATCCATTAAGTGTTCGTGATCGCTTTCTGGGGGGGTAACCAGCCCCATCGGGTCCACGGTCCGGCTTAGTAGCACGGGTACGAATCTCCCATTTGTGCTGTAGCCTTACCAGAAGGTCTTTAGCACGATTGGCACTTTGCCAGGATAGAGAGAACTCATCAAGGGCCCTGAAGCAGGTACTCAGATGAGCGATGATATTCTCGTTCTCTTCAGTTTGGTACTGGGAAACGGCAGCGAAGAGAAGTAGTAGCACGGCGGAGGATGTAATTGAGACTGCTTTAATGTTTATGCGGCGGAGGGTATATCTGGTCTCGTACAATACAAGGATTTTGGCAATGGAGATGGCGGAATTAATGCACATTTCTCGAGCGTGAGTGAACCCAGGTCCCTTCGGAGGTTGTGGTTGCAGGTAGCCTTTTGACATCCAGGGTCGATGACTGTAGATGAGATTCTGGTAATATTGCATGCTTTGGGGTAAGTTAGCTTACGTTGTTTATTAGAACTTTGAATGGTATAATAGAAACTCACTGAAGTAGCAACACATGTGGAAGATAAGGAGAACTGTGATCGTTAAGGTCGATCTGTAAAACTGAAGGCAACTGAGCTTTCCAACTGAGAAGCTTGGCAACATTATTTGCATTGAGCTGTTGAAGCAAGGCTCTTGGAATACCTGACGTCCCATACCTGTTTCGAGGCCAAAGTTAGCTAAAGCAACTCACTTGAGCCCAACTATATGATGTCGAGCGACAGCGGCAAACAGGGACGGAAACCTACAGAAAATAGCCGCAGGGTGCCATAAGTTCACATAGGGAGACTTCCTGTTCACTGACAGCCCCCACACAGTCAAATAACCCGGAATCATTGTCAAATGGGATGGGAGATGCGTAGGGCGTCCATTTGCAAGGTTCTCGATAGTCGACGTCATTATTGGGTTTTTTGACTGTAACATCCTCCATGTTGGTGTAGAAAGGTCTACCAAGGTAGAATCCGACCAGGCTGGAATTTCGAAAAGTTAGAGATATCCTTAGCGTGTACAAAAACAGAATGGGAACTCACTGGTCTACCATATACGCAGCCCAAAAAACGGTTCGACGCAGCTCGGCGTCTGCAGCGGTAACAGATCCACGAGCAACATAGGAAGAAAGATCTATATGCAAGGCAAGATCAAAAGCAAGCCGAAGGGCCATCCCTAGAATTGTAAGCTAAGAAAGCCAGGAAATTTCAACAGAACTGACCACTGTAGAGCCATCCACGTGTATCTGAGCCTATACCGATTTCATGGCTGCTCAAGATGACTAGTGCTTGGACTGTTGCCACGCATGGAGAGTCTAATTCAATTTCAAGCAGTTCCTTTGCACGGTCCCCAAAGAATTCACCGAGAGACTTCGGGAACGTCACAAAGGATGGATGATAACGGGTCTCAAAAACAGCGCCGAGAGAACACCTATTTTCTAATGTCATTTCACATGTCCATTTGGTCGGATAGAAATCGACTCACATTGCATAGCAGAGTGCCTCAGAATAGAACGGGGTCTCTTCTTTCCCATCCCACGCTGTCTTTCCCTTTTCGAACAATTCTCGGTCGACGACGTGGAACGATGGATCTTGCCAGGCAAAATAGAGATTAAGAAGATGCTCCTCGAGAGATAATGGGACTTGTCTATCATATTCTGCGTCATCGAAATGATCGACGGTACGGTGTGTCCGAGTGTTGATAGTTACTGGAGCATCGGCAAGGTTGAAAGTCGATGTCGGGCCATAGAAGCGAGCTCTTCCTCCAGGACCAAAGCGCAATGTGCCCATCCGATCAGAAATCTCGTCGATAAGGTCTTCAATTTCTTCCGTGCTCCTGGAATCATTGTCGAGGCTGGGTGGGCTTTGAATGACGGCGGACTCAAAGGGCTCAGGTACCCTATCCAATGGTTTCCCTGGCGGCTGTAGTGGTTCTACGCCAATGTCTCCGATGTCTGGAGATGGGGGCGTAATGCATGTCTCAAAGTCCAAGGTCCAGTCCCAATTGGCCAATAAATTATCAGAGTGATCATCAGTTGGTGGATACTGTTCTGCAATGGAGATCCCAGTGTCAAGGGCCATGGGCAGTGTCGAAATGGCGTGAGGGTCCGAAAGCATTGTAAAACTCGACCGAGAATTTTGCGATGCGTTGTCCGGTGATCTCGAGGTCTGAGCCCAAGTATTTAGATCATTTTCTACACCAGGAGCTGAGAACGGCATAGAATTCGGTGCCTCAGAAGGCAGATCATCGCTTGCGGATGGGGAATTGGGATTGGGGGATTTGCTGTTAGTTCGATTGTATCTTGCGGCTGAATGAACTTCAGTTAAGCCAAGAACATCAAGGACTTTAGCCAAAGCAGTGTCCTTTTCTTGTGGCATGGGCGGGGCCTCCAATCCACTTTCGTGGATGAAGAGACAGAGCTGTTCAACTCTGCTTGATAGAAGCTCTATGGCAACGCGGAGTGGGAGTCTTCACATCCATAATCAGCACTATTACCTAGCCAGCAGCCTTCCTTTAATGAAATGATTTTTGATGCGTCACTTACTTTCTCTTGTCTACGGCCTGGTATCGACATTCGCGGTGCTTGTTCATGCAGCTGGAGCATTGGGGCTTACCGCCGTCACACTTTGCCGACATTAGCTTCATTTTGTTTCCCACCGAGGTAATTGATAGTCACCTTGACCTTACTTTCCCGACATGACACGCATGCCATGGAGGCATGGTGCCTCCTCTTTGGGGGGACACTGGGCTTTGGCATGTTTTTTTCTGGATGCCATGAGACTATGCGCTTGCAATATCCTCGTCCCTTAGCAAATAGAGGGCGGCTTAACCTCGGGAGGGATAGTGCGGGGTAATACTAAAGGGGAAATGTTTGATCCGAACTATACGTCGTAGCTTCTCGCTGCTATTTCATTGGCTCTACCAAAAGGGGGACCACTATCGACCCGTGTATTTGTATTTCTGGGGCCTCAAGTGGGGGATACTCGTATAAGTAAAGGATGAATGACATCATGCATGATCGACGGCCTCGTTGGCGAACGAGATGTCGTGCAAATGTCGTTTCTTTTTCCGGGGACCAATCGCTGGTAAAACCGGGGCTGGCTCTAACTTAATCCGGAATAGACCGCCTCTACGGGAATCATAACCCGGTGTGGGGGACCCCACGTTTTCTGTAACACCCCAGGTTTTCAGATAATTAGTAGGATTACCGTGTAGTCCTATCACATAATTTAGATTTCATTGAATATAAATACAGATATGAACCGCACACGAGTGGTCCATGCTAAGATCGTATACTGGCGATATTGCAACCCTGCTCATCATGTTTTTCCAGAATGCACAAGGGAAATGGCTTCAATACAGAATCACTGCAGCCTGCGGTGCCGGTTTCCTCCTCTTTGGCTATGACCAGGGAGTCTTCGGCGGGCTTCTGGACAACGAGCCGTTCCTCGAGACCTTTGGAAATCCGGGCGTGACCATCCAAGGTCAAATTGTTGCGACTTATGACATTGGCTGCATAATAGGCACTCTGGTGACGATGTTCGCTGGAGACAAACTCGGACGAAGACGGACAATTTTGATCGGGTGCTGCATCCTGATCGTCGGCGCTATTCTTCAAACTGCATCCTATTCCCTTGCGCAGATGATTGTCGGTCGTGTCGTTGCGGGAGTTGGAAATGGAATGAACACAATTGCTATTCCTATTTGGCAATCAGAAACTGCACGGGCAGAGCACCGTGGAAAACTCATCGTTGCCCAGTTGGTAACGAATATCTTCGGCATCGTCATCACAAATGTAAGCTACTTCGTTCACAGTACAAGACCTTGGAGCAATGCTGATTTTTTTCCCTATCGCAGTGGATGAACTACGGATTCACTTTCATTCCTCACTCTGCCGTGAGCTGGCGATTCCCTCTGGGCTTCCAATGTTTCTTCGCGCTTGTCACTCTCGCTTTTGTTATTGTCGCCCCGGAGTCACCGCGTTGGCTTGTCATGAAACACCGTGGCAGCGAAGCCCGTGAAATCCTAGCACGGCTCCTTGCAAAGCCAATTGACGACCAGGAAGTGGTGGATGAGATACAAAATTTGGAAATAGCTGTGAACCATGAAACCGAAGTCCAACAATCGAAGCCTTTGCAGGCAATCTTCAAGCGCAATAACAAGCAACAGACATTGCGCAGGATTCTTCTTGGAGCTGGTACTGCCTTTTTTCAACAAGTTGGTGGAACGAACGTCATTGCATACTATCTACCAGTGGTTCTGACCCGATCAGTTGGGTTGGACAACAGAATGGCCCTGATCTTGTCGGCCGTTGACTCTATGTCGCTAATGTTTTGGGGATGTATTGCAGCCCTGCTCATTGACCGCATTGGCCGAAAGAGATTGATGCTCTTCGGTGCCGCTGGTAGCAGCGTCTGCTTTGCGCTTGTTGCCGTTGGACTGCGGTATGGTGGACCCGACAACAAGGGTATGTCTGTTCTAGCCGTGGTGTTCATCTTCGTCTACTACGTCTTCTACGGCATGTCGCTCTTATCGATCCCGTATATCTATCCGGCAGAGATCAACTCCCAGCAAATGCGCAATATTGGCACTTCATTTGCGACCACTACGAACTGGTTATTCGTTTATGTTATCGTTGTTGCCACCCCAACAGCCATCGCAAACATCCAGTGGAAGTATTATATGCTTTTTGCCATATTCAACTTCTGTTTCCTGCCAATCATCTGGCACTTCTATGTTGAGACCGCCAACCTGTCTCTTGAGCAGATTGACAGACTCTTTGAGATTAAACATGAGGCTGGGAAAGCAATTAGCTGGTCGGAGGCAACCATGATAGCCCGTACAGAGGTCATTTCCGATTTGGCACACACCGAAAAGGAAAATCTTGATGCTGAGCACTATGAGATTGCGGCTTGATCTTGAAATAGGTTTCTTTAGATGTTGTACATGTGTATAAATGATGAACGGCTGTCAGGTATCTCGAATATAATTATTTATAAGCTTTGCGGGGTAGTTAACTAACGGCTAATCCATAACTCATTCCCGAGGGCTTTTCTCTGTGAAGCCGCTTGAAAAGTCTACGTAGCAAATTCATCTTCAAAGCAGTTTGCTAATTTGAGCTACTTCTCAATGAGATTCTTTTCTTGCGACCAGGAGGCGTCTTCGTAGAAAGAATTCCACTAGACCAAAAAACCATGATCTCTATTTATGGCCTAAAGGAGGGCTATAACTGTTCTGTTTCTTGTCAATATGCCTATCTTGACATTGGCGTTTCTGAGGTAACCAAAAAAGTTTAGTGACACGATAATGCAATTGCAGTAATAGTCTCGGTTATAGCAAGTCCCAGTTCAACTCGGATTCCCTTTCCCGGCCAAGCCTTGTATCCACTCCAAACTACGATTGTGTATATAACCCCGACTAAGCTGTTGTCGAAGCGACTACTGGAAAGCATTTCTCAGATTCTTCAACTCTTACTACTCCTTCAAATATCCCCTCGTCTCAAGATGTCAGCCCCGAAGTTGCGCGTCGGTATCGCCGGCCTCGGCCGAATGGGTAAGCATTGTTCCCCAATCGGATTTCGAAAACCTCCAATTGACACATAACAGGCCAACGACATGCATTGAACTACCACGTTTTTACCCCTCGTGCCGAGGTGGTAGCAGCCAGCTCTCCTGATCTCAATGAGCACGTATGGGCAAAAGAAAACCTCACAGGAGCAAAAATCTATACAGACTACTATGAAATGCTCGAGAAAGAGAATTTGGATGCTGTAGTGGTTGCTGGAATTACTGCAGTCCACGCAGATCACGCCATTGCCGCTATCAAGAAGGGATTGCATGTCATGTGCGAGAAGCCTTTGTCTCTTGACGTCAAGATTGTAGGTCGTTCTATATAAGCTCCCTATATGAAGACATATGCTAACCGCAACAGGCTCAATCCGTTCTCGATGCCTACAACACATCGCTCAAGACACACCCCAACCAGAAAGTCATGTGCGGTTTCTCGCGCCGCTTTGATGCTTCCTACCGTGAAGCCTATGAGAGAATGACCTCAGGCCAATACGGCCGACCAGTGATCTTCAGATCCCAGACTGCAGATATGCTCGACACAACCGGGATGTTCGTGCAGTACGCCAAGACCAGCGGTGGAATCTTCCTCGACTGCTCCATCCACGATATTGACCTGATGTTATGGTTCCTTGGTGAGACCACCCATCTCAAAAGTCTGCAAGCGGTTGGAGTCATTGCCGTCCACACTGCATTGGATGCGAGCAAGGACCGTGACAATGCGGTAGCTACGGTCGAGTTTGACGGTGGCAAGATTGCCACCCTTTTCTGTTCGCGTATGATGGCTGCTGGACAGGAAGATACCACCGAGGTCATTTGTGAGAAGGGCTCATTGAGAGTGAACATGCAAGGCCGGAAGAACCACCTTGAGATCCACGATGGTCAGGGAGCTAGACGTGATCTTCCCAAGCATTACTATGAGCGTTTCAGAGAGGCCTTCCTCACGGAAGCTAATGAGTTCACTGCTAGCTGCTTGGATAACACGCCTCCTCCAGTGTCCCTCTCAAGCTCGGTGAAGGCAGTTGTTATTGGCGCGGCTTTGCAGAAGAGCTTGGTTACCGGTGAAAAGATCTTTTTTGAATCTGGGAAAGAGGCTAGACTTTAGGTATAGGAAGAAGCTGTCCAAAATTCAAATAGGTATTCATTCAATAGACAAGTGCTTTTCCGATTCTGTACATTCTGGATTTGTTTGTTTGTATATGTCTCACTTCACGTCACACATGCCACCACTACATCATCTACACACGTATATACTGATTCCAGCTCTGTTCTTTGTGTGATAATTGCTCGTCCATGTGCCATGTGCCAAACTTGCTTGATGTTAGTCGATTTTTGACCCCGTGCTCTGATTCTTAATCGTAAATTTGTGTACAATAACATGCAAACAGAACAGTCATAGTCCAGATCTCATTATGCATCCAAAATTTTAGCGTCATAAAGAATATTCCACCTTGTGGAATAACATTTTGATTCCAAAGCTCACTCCTGGTTCCTAGCATGAACCTATAGACCCTTAATTCACGTAGAAGTGCCAAAGTATTAATTATAGTCATGGCTAATAAATAATCCTATATCTTGAACGATAACATCAAAATAATACCCCCCCAGGTGGCTGTGGTCCTGTGGCGTGCACGGGACACCGTTATCTGGGGGGAAAGGATGCAGCGTCAAGCTGCCCCAACGTCTGAGCCATAAAATGCTCGTCGGTCGACCCTCCCTCTCATCAAATTGGAGGTTGACTTTCATTTCCATCTAAGACCTTCCTGACAAGAGGGCAATGAATCTTTCTTTCTTCTTCCACCCATGGAATTCTACTTTTTTTTTCTTTTCAAATTTCAAACTAATGGAAGCTTTGATGACAGACTAATCTGCCAGCGTGGTTGCAATGATATCTTTCTTCAACACTTATTCTTCTTCTGCCTTGTTCTATAGTGTGCTCGTTGCCTCACGGGGATTTTTCTTTGCATCCCCCCTGTGCCGTGAGCAGACAATCTCCAGTACTCATATCAGAACCAGACAAAGGTACGGACTCCAAACCCAATATTCTATCTGATTAGTTGACTACAGCCTACGATTGAATTATGATTATAAATTAATCTTAATTGGCTGATCTCGCGGGCTATAGGGTGAATTAGGGTATTTCAAGCGATATGGAATAGATTTGAAGCAAGAAGCGCTGCTTCTGTCTTCTGTTTTCTCACCACAGAAAATGGCGCTGAAACTCAAATGAAGGGGCTTCCTGCCAAGAGCTCAGTCTCTCCACTGGAGCACTCTCTTTATGTGACGACCCAGGGACCGGATGGTTCGGTGTCTCACTGGAAGTTCCATCGACCTTTCGAGTTGTAGGAGACATTGGAACCGAACCATGGAGCCTGTCATTCTGCGAACGCTTTTTCTTCTCCGAACCCATCCTTTCAGGCTCAGTGCAAGCTTCCTGCCACCTCCGGATACCGTGAGAAGTATCAAGAGGGAATTGTGACCAAGTATCAATTCCCCCCTTCTCAAGTCTGGGGAATGGCACATACGTGCCAGCACCGTGGCCTCGACTGCTCTCTCGGGGAGGAATCGCAGCCGATAGCTGCTCATCAGAGACATGCGGAAGCAAATTCAAAAGAATGCTCTCAGTGAGCTGGAGTCGATTCTCCAGTGCTTCGGTATATCCTTTCTCTGGTCCTCTTCGAAGCTGTTCGGGCCAGTTGCACGGTCGGTTGTTCTCAAGACATTGTTCGCAAACGGGTTTAAGGCCGCTGCACTTTTGCTTTCTCGAGCGACACGAGTTGCAAGCAATTGTGATACGTGCTGGTCTTTTCTCTTTTGATTTCGATGCCATCTTATTTTCTTCTTGTGGCAGGTCAAGAGGCGTTGAGGGGAGTGGGGTACACGCAGTGGTAGACGGTAGACCCCATCGCCTGAAAGTTCTGCCGAATGTCCCGGTTTGTCGCTACATCGGCCATCCGACGAAAAGGCAGGATGAACTATCAGCCACCTTTGATCGCCGTGTTTTATATATAGTCTGGACATCCATCTGCATTCAATTTACTCATTACATCTTCTCCAGTTCCACGCATATTTCCTCCTTCAATATGGCATCAAAGAATTCATACCGCATTGCCTCTATCCCAGGCGATGGCATTGGTCTCGAGGTAGTCAGTGCTACTATCCAGGTCGTCAAGAAACTCGCAAAGACCCTTGGCACATTCAAGATCGACTTTGAGCATATCCCGTGGGGAACCGAGTACTACAAGCAAACCGGACGATATGTGTCTGAAGATTACCTTGACACCATACGCCAGTACGATGCGGTATTATTCGGTGCCGTTGGATCACCCGGTATGTTTTCTATATTGCATAGCATCATCCCGACTACTAAACAACAATATTGACACAAACAGACGTGCCCGATCACATCTCGCTCTGGGGCCTACTCCTGGCCCTCCGCGGCCCACTCCAGCTATACGCGAACGTACGACCAGTTCGAACTTTCCCGGGAACCAAATGCCCTCTCAACACCGCAACTGAAGGCATCGACTGGATGCTCGTACGGGAAAACTCCGAAGGCGAGTATGCCGGGCAAGGCGGACGGTCTCACGTCGGACAGCAATGGGAAGTCGCGACGGAAGTGGCAATATTCACGCGCGTGGGAATCGAGCGAATTATGCGATTCGCATTTGAGACAGCGCAGTCGCGGCCGCGTAAGCTCCTGACCGTCGTCACGAAGAGCAACTCCATGCGCAACGGGATGGTTCTGTGGGATGAAATTGCGGAATTGGTTGCGAAGGACTTCCCCGATGTGACCTGGGATAAGATGCTTGTTGATGCGATGACTGTTCGTATGGTGGCGAAGCCGCAGTCAGTCGATACGATTGTTGGGACGAACTTGCATATGGATATTTTGTCTGATCTTGCTGCTGCATTGGCGGGATCCATTGGTGTTGCGCCTTCTAGTAACTTGGATCCTACACGCAAGAATCCGTCGATTTTTGAGCCTGTCCATGGTAGTGCTTTTGATATTACTGGGAAAGGGGTTGCGAATCCGGTTGCTACCTTTTGGTCGGCGGCGGAGATGCTTGTCTGGATTGGTGAGAAGGATGCTGCTGCTCAGCTGATGGGTTGTGTAGAGCGTGTCTGTGCTGCAGGGATTCTGACTCCTGATCTGGGGGGAACATCTAACACTCAAGGGGTTGTGGATGCTGTTTGCCTGGAGATTGAGAAGTTGTGAAAGAAGATCTGAGACAATTCATTGTCTTTTCTTCCTTCTTTCCTTCTATCTTTGTTTCTTTATGTCTTCCTTTTGCGTCTCAGGTCATCTGAAATATGGCTTTAGATGAACTAATCAGTTGGTCCTGCATTGAATATCGATAGACAAAAAATACCAAATGATGAATACAGAAACTGATTTATAAAGTAGTGAGCAGCACACCTTCCAGAAGTGTCCAGAAATATCTGTTAACTGTTAAATATGTATGAATATCATAAAGAAAATGTCAGAGGCATCTCACACAAGACGGAACAGATCAGGAGGCGATGAACTAAGAAACCCGGAAATGTCATTATAGCAATATGACACTGTTTTCCTCATATAAAAGGAATGGTACAATATCAGTATGCTGTTGTCTTAGAGTCCAACATTTAAACGGGCTTTAGCACCCTTCCTAGTCCTTCAGAAAGCACTCAGACGGGCCTTCAAATAAGCCAAAGCCCCCCGAATCCATCTATCTCACAATCCTCCCCCACATTCATCATTGATCATCAAAAGCAAGGTCAGTCCCTCCAACTACAAACCTATCAAACCAACTAATAAAATCCAAGGGATGTTCTACCAAAACGGAAGATTAATCCAAGAGCTCGAATACAACCCCCGAAGAACGAACTGGGTGAACATATTCTTCAATGCCCGCGACTACAGGTGCGATGACCTTGCTATAATGCACACAGTCGTCACCTGCATCCGCACAAGAGTCGTCAGCATCACTGGCCATGCTATGCACCACGATATCCCATTCTGCATCTCGATCCAAGTTCCCGGGGAACATGGTGACAAGGAGTCGATTCTTGCTACTGCGGAGCTATTGGCGGAATATCTTTGGGGACAGATTGCTAGGGGCTCTGTTAATATTAATCGGTCTTTGCTCTTCCGCAGGAGATAGTGTTTGGCTCTTGGGAAAAGGAATTTTGATGCTTGAAGTGGTTAGAGCTTGTTTGGACTATTTGATAGAATGGAAAGTTGGATCATCCTGAATTGTCCACTATGTTGTCAACTATCTATACTGTAGAAATTCAGCTGGTAACTTGTATAGGTAGTCCCGGGGTCATGCATGCACATGAGCCTTGATATCTATACCTATAGTCAGGTGAAAGCACTAAACGGTTTGAGATTCAGAGACATTATTCATGATGTTAAGTGGCATACTAAAGACATAGAAATACAGACGCACAAAGATATCGGGGAATAGATGAAAGGCTTGAAAATGACATTGTACCATGACTCCTTTGTTCTTGCCTAGATAGGCTCCTGACTATAAACAATAAAGAGAAGAGCTACTAGGCAGAGTAAGTATTTAAACACAGCAGGAAGGGACTCGAAACCTCCTTCTCATCTTTCCTCCTTCCTCCTTACCACTCCACAGCAAATAACCAAAAGGTAAGCAAGCACCCGCCATATCCAAAACACGGCCATCCTCAATTCTAACCTCAGAAAGATGCAGAGCATGTTCTACTTCGACGGGGAGCTAATCCCAGAACCCGAGTACGATCCACGCCAGGTCAGCAACTGGGTGAACGTCTTCATCAAGGCGCGGGATTCCAACTCCGACGACGAGACTCTGATGCGCACCGTCGCAGCCTATATCCGAACCAGCACTGCTTCGATTTCCGTCCATGCCAAGCATCATGACTACCCACTGTGCGTCTCTATCAAGGTGCCCGGAGACTACCATTCCAACAAGGCGTCTATTCTCGCCGCGGCGGAGCTGCAGGCTGACTACTATTGCCAGGAGATTCGGAATGGGAGAGTGCGCATCAACCGGGCTTTGCTTTTCCGGCGTGGGGTACAAGACCGGCGCCGGGGTTGATGGTGCAGATGGCTGGTTTATGGCTCGAATGAGAGGCTATCAATACATGAGCGTTTGAGAGAAATACCCACAGCGTGAACAATATGCATTATTTTGGTTGGTCTTCTTTGGTATTCATTGTAGATTATTTTGTGTTTTTTCCGAGTTGTGAGTGATAGCATGGTCTTAGAAGCTTGGGAATTGCTGTCCGATCATATCAAACAGAGTGTCAAAGTTAGCGCCCTCGATTAAATCCACCATGTTCAAGTCGAAATTAGATGACCCCTTGAGCTGTGCCGGATCTGTGTCCTGTAAATCTATTTGCGTTGAAGAGGATGATGTATCGGTGAGGATGCCCTGCTCGTTCATTTGTGACGGGTACGTCGACGCCGAAGGAACTACCGTAGGATCATGTCCTCTGTGCATGGATTCCACCCATGTGTTATTCCGTGACTCAAGCCCGGACGGCTCTGCAGATAAGCCAGGCTCTTCATGCAAGTGCGACAGACGGCCAAGTCTCCGTCTGTTCTCCTCCCGTGCAGTTGAATATTCCACATGTGTGGGACTTCCCTCGGAGCCTCTCGTCACATATGCTTGGGAGTTTGCTGTTTTATCGGATCCGCTTTCTGACTGTTGGATTTTCGCAGCCAGCACTGAAAGCGACATGTGGCAGTGTTTGGCTGTCTCCCATTGAGTAGACATCAGACGCAAGAATCCCGAAAATTCATCCATTTCCCTATCAAGCAGTTAGTACATAGATGTAGTAATCAGTTCGAAACCAAGCAGAGTAAAAATAAACACCTCACGTACTGAAGACCCTTTGTCAATACATATTGGTTCAGTTGACAAGCTAAAGCCAACACTAACCCAGACATCCACGCAGCCGACAAGAAACCAGGCCAGAATAAAGCCTGATGGCTATCAACTTGCAACCTCAGCCCCGAAAGGATAGCCCGGGCAGCCCCGATGCAGATTTGCAATCCAGAACAGAATTCGGCAGTTGACGGATCTAGGGACAGCGAAGGTCGATGGATGATCAGAATGAGATGCTGATACAGCACAGTGAAAAAAGGAGCAAAATCAAACGCACTGTCTGGCAGTACAGACCTCACCCTTTGTTCAGATACCACTGGCTTGATTTGGAGATTGGTGGGAAGGCAATTCCACCACTTATGCACGTCTGTCACGAGGAACAACACCGAGCTGCGACGAACACATCGAACCAATATTGATTTGTGGAAGAGCTCCAATGCCCGACCCGTCAGAGTCCCCGAGTCAACGTAGCTAGCAAGAACACTTTCCTTGTTGTGGTCTTCTTTATTGCCGTGCTGCGGCGCAGAGCTACCATTCGCAGACTGGCCCCGGGGGGAATGCAATTCTCGGGCGGCAGGCAGACATACATCGATATCGGAATCCTGTATACCAAGCGGCAAGCCCAAAGCCTGGCTCAGGTATCTATCTATCGCATAAGCACACCAAAAGACCCGCTTCCGCAATTGTCGGTCGTGGGTGGAGAGTTGCTTGTATCGAAATGGACACCGGTGGAGACCGGCATGAAGCATCGAGCGTAGGATACAGCCTCCAACAGTCGATGCTGGTCGAAGTGACATGGTCGCGACGAGATATACTTGGATAGCTAGAAGCGCTTGCAGGGATACGATATCATGTCGAGATGAGAGAGTCCCGAGCAAAGAGTTGAAACTGGCCGGTGATTGGATCTTCGATTCTGACTGTAGATCTAAGTCGGGCGCCAGAAAACTGCCTAGATTGAAGACACATTGGAAAATGATTGTCCAGCACGTACTCCGGTGGTCTACACAGGGTTCCTGCGTGTGCTGAGTTTGATTCCCATTGGAGTAGACGTTCTCCATTGCCTGCAGGAAGGTGGGACCATGCAGGAACGGGAACAGTGGGTGCCAGACTTTGAAATACATCATCATCAGGCCCCTAGCCACATCTGGGGGTGGTAGATTCCCCAGAGATGCCGTCAATGATCGGTCGTAGGTCCATTTTGCGGAAGATTCGATCACTCGCAAGGACGAAGCAGTGTCTCTGACAGATGAAGTGCGCTGGCGCTTGTCACGAGGTGAGTTTTCAGCGCCTACGAGCGTTTCCTCTGCCGTGGGGAGGTTGGATTCGGGTGACCCCGGGCCATCTAAGCCGTTGAATGCACGTTTTACTGTCTTGATGAAATAGACGCCGCTTGAGCTACCGACGAACTGGCTGTCCTCATTCGAGTGTGCCGTCAAGGAACCAATTTCAGATGTCTCGGGTACAAATTCCGATGCCATTGTGCATATACCATCTCGTGAGTATCAGATGTTCTCTTTAAAGCTCGATTTGTTTCGACAGAATCATCACGGCCCCGGAGTGATGGAGACATGCTGAGTCATCGTACGAGGCGGATAAAGAAAACATTCGTCTACGGTCGAAAGGAACTTGGTGAAGCAAAATAGATCACTGCCATCCCATTGATTGTCTGGCGCTGCTCTCCGGAATCCGATAATAAAGGAGACCAGGCTTTTCCGTGAGGAATTTAAATCTATCTGACAGAACACAGGCGGTAAGGAGAGGTGCGGAAAGATGATAACCTCACAAATCCCCCGAAAAAGGGAAAAAGAAAAAAAAAACATAAACGAGGACGGCGAAAAGGTTGACTGTCAAAGGAACCACACCCAGCGCCTAGAATAAAAGACTTTTACCAATGCCAACCAGGAGACAACTCGATATAGCCCAGTCCGAGTGGAAGGCAAGGGAAATAGCGCATACTAGGGAAACCGGAGAAGAGAGAAAAAAAATCCGAATGTCATACCGCATTCACTAAACACCAGGAAGGTGACTGCCTAAGAACAAACTTTTCGAACCGAGGGATATCAGGATCAGAGATGGGGAGATGTAGGGGTAGAAAGGGTAAAAGATGGGAACAAATAATGATAAGAGAAATGAAAAGTCGTCAAAAACGTGCGTCCAAGATTTCCGAGAAGACAAAGAGTGAACACATCAATTAAGACTTGTTCTCCTCGACAGGGGCCTCCTTGGCGGCTTCCTGGGGCTTGGATTCGGTGGTCTCGCCATCACCCTTGTTCTTCATGTACTCATCATAGACGTTAAGGGCCTCATCAACCTTGCCGCGGAGAGCCTCCTCATCATCGAGCCTGGAAGAACGTTAGCAAATCATGTCACACATAGACTCAAAAATCGGCAGTGTAACTTACAGGCCAAGCAACTCAGCGTTATCCATCTCAAGAAGCATACCAGTGATCTTGCCAGCAAGCTCGGGCTGCTGAGCCTGGATCTTGGGGTAAAGAGCCTCGCCGAGCATCTGCTTCTGCTGAGCGGGGGGAGCGGTGAGGAGAGCCTGGTTGGCGGAGGCGGGCTCGCCACCAGCGGGCTGACCACCAGGGGCGGGCTGGCCGCGACCACCACCACGACCCATCTGAGGACCACCACGGCCGAAACCGGGGCCACCACGCATGTTCATGGGCATACCGGGAACACCACGGCCACCGCCGCCACGTCCGAAAGCCTGGGGCATAGGGTAGCCCATGCCGTTAGGAATGCCACCAGGGGCCTGCATGCCCATAGGCATACCCTGGAAGTTGGGAGGAAGCTGTTGGTTGGGGGGCATACCACGGCCACCTTGGGGGAAGGGACCGGGGTACTGGGGACGCCCAGCGGGCATGTTAGGCATGGGCATACCGCCCTGGGGGGCGAATGGCATACCACCACGCTGTCCAGGGGGCATGAAGCCCTGCTGGCCAGCACCGTAGAAGACGGCGGGCTGCATGAACTAGTCAAGTTAGTAATTGAGTAGGATGAACAGGAAAGCAAGTTGCAACTTACAGGCTGGGGCATACCGGCAGCGGCGGCGGCCTGCTGCTGACGGATAGTGTTGCGAGCCTGGATGCTAGCCTCGAGCTGGCTGCGGCGGACATCCTTGCGCTGAGCGAGAGCAACGTAGAGGGGCTTGGCGTTGACCATACGCTGGTTCATCTCGGTGACGGCCTTGGAAGCCTCATCGGGGCTGCTGAAGCAGACGAAACCGAAGCCCTTGCTCTTACCGAAGGCCTTCTTCTCTGTCTTCTTCTCCTCGGAGTCCTCGCCCTCCTCTTCGGTCTTCTTCTCCTCGGTAGGCTCCTCAGTCTTCGCCTCGGTGCTCTCCTCGGTCTTCACCTCCTTCTCCTCAGAGTCCTTGGTCTCCTTGTCGGCCTCCTTCTCCTCGGCCTCGGGGGAGGGAGAACGCTCGGCGGCATCACGCATAACCTTGGCGGAAGTGATAGTACCGTAAGGAGTGAAGAGGTCACGGAGCTTCTCATCATCAATGTCGTCGGTCAAGTTCTTGACGTAGAGGTTGACACCCTGGTACTTGGAGGCCTTCTCCATGCGGGCAGCCTCGTACTGCTTGCGCAGCTCCTCCTCACGCTCGTGCTTCTTCTGGGCACGGCCAACGTAAAGCTTCTGAGTCTTGACGTCCTTCTCGTTCATCTCAGCCACGGCGGCCTCGGCGCTCTCGTGGTTGGCGTAGTTAACAAAGCCGAAACCGCGGCTCTTGCCATCCTGGTCGTGGCTGAGGGTAGCGGAGGTGATCTCACCAAAGGCCTCGAACATGACGCGGAACTCGTCGTCGGTAATCTCGAGATCGATGTTCTTGATGTAGATGTTGGTGAAGTTGGCCTTCATCTCCTCGAACTTGCTTTGGCGGTCCTTCTTGGAGATGTGGTGTCCGACGAAGACCTTCTTGTCATTCAGCAGCATACCGTTAACGTGCTTGATGGCGTTGTTGGCAGCTTCGGCGGTCTCGTAGTGGACGAAACCGTAGCCCTTAGAGTTGGCGAACTCATCCTGGGCGACCTTGCAGCTGAGAATGTTGCCGAAGGCAGCGAAGGTGTCGTGGAGAGCCTTGTTGTCAATGGCGTTGTCAAGGTTCTTGATGAACACATTGCCCTGGCCAGTCTTGCGCAGAGCGGGGTCACGCTGGGACCACATGATACGGCAAGGCTTTCCCTTGATGAGAGTGTAGTTCAGATCCTCAAGAGCACGCTCACCGTCGGCGGTGTTGTTGTAGTTGACGTAGGCGTAGCCCAGGGACCGGCGGGTGACGGCATCACGGCAGACACGGATAGAGGCGACCTGGCCGATGGAAGAGAATAGCTCGTAGAGCATAGCCTCAGTCACGGAGGGGTCAAGCTCGCCGACGTAGAGGGAAGCCGAGTGGGGCTGGTTGTTGGCAGCATCACCGGCGGCCTCGGAAGTGGCCTCGACGGGGGCGCCATTGGCCTCAGGGGTAGCGGCGACAACGTTGTCAGTGACAGGAGCGGTGGCGGGGGCTTCAGCAGACATGATGGCGGCTGTTTTCACTGAGAAAAGAAAAAAGTTTTAGCATGTGCATGCCGAGCCTATCGCGGAGAGGGGGAGGGGGAATCAAGGAGGCATATGAGATAAGGTTACACGGCAGTTGAATGCAGTCTATATAGCAAGCAACCAAGGGGCAATGAGAAAAACGAGGGGTGAATCAATGAAAAGGGAGGGGCGCCGTACAGCGAAGTATCCACGAAACAAAGAGTTCAGAGAAATTTCACTTGAGCAGAGAGCACTAGTAGCGGGTTAGCGGGGGAGGAGATTCGAAGTGTATTGCATGCGCGATCGAAAGAGAAGAAGCAGAGATGACACGGTTTTCAACCGAGTAAAAGAGTGGACAAGAACCAAAGTGACTAACCAGGTGAAAATGAAGACGATGGAGGCGTTGAAAGAAAATCTTCCACACAACACACCGCACAATCAGGAATGAGATAAGATAACTGGAAAAAGTCTTTTTCTGGGTTTTTCGTGTTTTTTTGAGATTTTGTATCTTTCGATTTAAGGATTCGAAAAGAAAAGGAAGACTTTTCCCTAAAGAAAGAGAGAGCAACGGAGATGGAGGGGGAGGTTGTAAGAAGGAAAGAAAAAAAGTTGAGCCGTTCAAAAGCAATTGGTTCTGGAAAACTCAGAGGCTGCACGAGATGGGGACACTAGTCCTGTTTGGGAAAAGGTTGCCGCTTTAAGGGCTTATTAAGTATAACCTCGGATGGATATTGCAAGATGAAAGAAAGGATATGGCCATGCTATGCATGCAAAAATTAATCTAGACACGCTGTCTACCCAGGAAATGTACAGGAAATAATGACTGAACACCCCCCTTCAACTCAGATCAAACCCAGCTCCCGAATTCACAGCATATAAAAGCTTGCTCTTCAATGTCTCTGCATCAGAGTACCGTGGCAGTTTGAGAAGATTCACACACGTACTGGTACTCGGCAATCTTTCCTGGTCCTCACTAGAGTCTCTAATGCTAAAGTTGGGACGAAGGTGGCTGAATCCCAACAATGGAGCTCGAGGGGTAGACGTCACGAACCGGATGACCCTTTGCCGCTCCTCGTTGGTCAACTCATGCATAACCTGCCAGAACAGTGCAATGGTCGGGTGTTCTAGATGGTCATCACCAATCACATACACACCTCCGTAGAGGGTATTCCGTCGCAGGTCCTCCACATCAATATCAGCTTTGTCTCCACTCACTAACGTTTGCAACTCGGATTGATTGAACATGGATAGCCAGGCGGGTTGAATGATCTGGCCCAGACCTTGCAAAAAGGCGTTTGTCTGTAGAGCAGGTTGCAACTGTAGACGATAACGAGCCACGTAGGAAATGTAGACCAATCTATTTTTGTTCGTCACAGCGGTCTGTGAGCCATTTGGTTTCAGTTCTGCGGTGACAGTGCGGTTGCCTCCACTGGGCATCCGAATTATACTGTTAATGGTGAAGTCGAGACCGAAGTCTTCCACGTTTCCGGGGTAATTCTTCAGTTGTAACTGGTGAAACAGATTGGTCAGCTGCAGGTTCAAAAAACACACAATCCCGACCTTGCCAGACGGTACCACTTACCAAGCCTTGGTATAACCCCTCATCAAGGTCCTTCAGATCATTCAAGTTGGCACGATAGGAAGATTCCTTCACTGCAGACCTAGAGCCTCCTGTCAAGGCCCACTTCAAGAGAAAGAATGGGGCAAAGTTGACATCGACCAAGATCCCCTCGTAAAGACACTTTCCAATAATCCGGCCGAGGAATTCATATCGTCGAAGAAGACCGCGCACGTCATCCTGCCATTCTGGGCTTGAACTTGTGAGCCCAGCCTCGCCGAGGACTGTTTTGAGTTGGGCAACCGCTGTCGGGCTGGGATACAGCAGATGGTGATCATTTTCCGCAAACATGCTTTCGTGGTCATCAGTTTTGAAAGCTTGGGTAGTGATACTGGTTAGGAACTCCTTCGTCACACCGCCACCATCGATGCCGGCTTCCATTGCTCCAAACTGGTCGATAAAACTGATCTGGATTGGCTCTTTGAGACCGTCACCCAAGCCATAGTATTGAGAGAATGCATCTTCAAATACACTCTCACGCCGGATGTCAGCATGGTGTCGAGCCAAGATATCCGCCGCACCCTCAGGAGGTCCATTTATCATAGCATTTTGGGCCACAGACAAACGCCAGGACTCAGCGTCCACGAAGCCTTTCCGGCGACGCTGTTGATCCCTAAATATGAATTGACGGAAGATCTGCACTCTCGTGGCAAATGGTATGAAGAAAGGCATATTTCGAAGTATTTCTAACCGTGGCGCAATGGCAGCTAGAGCATTATTATGAGCTTGTCTTCTTTGGCTATTTCGCATGGCTTGGAGATGAATTAGTCGTCGCGCATGGCTATTGCCGACAAGGCGAGGAGACTCCGGGTATTCCTCATCAAGAAGATCAGGCTCAGAATCTTCATCTTCGTCCTGGAATTCATGGCGTTTCTCCTCTTCTGCCACAACAGCTGGAATAAAGCCTTCCATGTCGAATCGATCTGTCATCAACCAATGATTTTGTGGAAGGAATTTGCGTCGAGAACTAGAAGCGTGTCAGCTAGTGTGCCTACATCATGGCAAATGGAACGTTTCAACTCACTCTCGCTCATGTAGCATTCTGAGCAAACCTGTAACCAAGCCCTTGAAGTAGTCAAGTGGGATACCTGTCACACCAGGAAGATCATTGATTTCCTTCTTGGCCTCCACCTCAGAACGCTCCATCGTTCCAGAAACCTGGGCCGTGTTGTTGAAATAACTTCTAAGATCCACAGCGGATGATGGAACGGGCCCTTTCTTGGTCAAGTCGGCAACATTCCAGTAGAGGGTGAAGGCGAGGTTTTTGAGAAAGACGGTCATATCCTTAATGTCTTTAAGTGGGAGTGCGCTCTCTTTCGTCCACGAAGACAGGACATTTGGTGAAGCTGTAAATGGTGACGCGCTTGAGAAGAACTCTTCGTCATCCATGACCTTCAAGAGGAACGTGTAAAGCTCAAAAAAGAGCAGAATAATCGTCCACTCCTGTTCTTGATCCTCTCTATCCCCATCTTGGGGCAGTTGCAGTAATGGAAGAACTTGGGTCGAGTCCTTGCTGATTATGTCAAAGATCCGACTGGATTTTGATGCCTGCCAGAAATATTTGATCGCCGGTATTTTCGCACCTGGCTGGCCAGAAGTGGGACCTGCCGAAGGCGCCGAGCCCAGGTACAACCACATTCGAATGTCGTCTCCACGGCGAGGGAACACCCTCAGCAAATTCAGGGCATAGGTAGCAAGAATCTTGGCTTCTCTCGAAGCGTTGGATTCGTTGTTTGGTAAGTCTGTGTAAGAAAGTTGGGATCTTTCGATGCGAGAAAGTAACCCCGTGATGCTACTTTGGTTGACCAAGCTACTGACTTGATCTCCGATGAACTGATCCAAATAAGGACCCCTGATTGGATCCGAGCCGTTCTCGTCCGCCTCCAAGCACCGTGTCAGATAGATAGATGTTGAGTTGAGCAACCCAGAGACCACATTCAGGAATTCGAGATCAGGTGTTTGCAAGTTGGCCTGCCCTGGAAGAGCATATCGGTGAAAGAAAATCAAGTACGCAAGCAGCCAAAGCCGACTCTCGATACCCTCGACATCGTCGGCAGAGAGGCGTTCTTTGGTCAGAGAAATACATGATTCGATTGCAGGTGCCAGTAATTTGTAGTTGATTTGATGCGCCAGTCCATTAAGCTCACCGAGATAAGTGGGCAGGTTCGGAATAGTGAGATACGACATAGCAAGAGCTTCATAGGCTGTCATCGTTTCTGGGGTTATTGGTCTCAGAAGAGCTAGGACAGCATTCGTGACATGCTCGGGTGACAGGGTACCTTCCCAAATCTTAATGTTCTTTGTCAAGAAGGCCATCGTTTGATAGTATTGTTTGGCAATTGTTGCCATCCTCCTCGGTATCAAGTCAATGAGGAAGACTATCGTCCGAAGGAGGGGCAGAACTGCTGCTTCATGAGTCTGACTGTCTTTTGCTGAGCCGAGGGCATGGAGAATAGCGACTGCCAGCCGTTTCAATAGCTCGGTCCAGTCATTTTCCGTAGCGATCGTGGGGAGAGCATGGAAGGTCTGCTCAAAGACATTGCAGAAGTATACTAGACGTAGAACATCTTCCTTCTTCCTTACCAATCCCACAAACTGAACTAGAAGCCTGAGCTGGTCTAAACATTGCTTCGCTGTGGGATATGGCGGTGCAGAAAGACGTTCTAGACACTCCAGACGCTCAAGCTCCGTCGTTGGGCCCCGGTCATCGTCGAATCCCAGGGCACTAATAACTCTCTCCCACTCAAAGTTATCCCATTCGGACTTCCAGCCCTTATATGTTGCTTTCCTGCTCTGATGACCCCGCCAAACTCGCTGAACGGTGCGAGATGCGGTCTGTCGATCTCTCTCATGTTGTCTCAGGGCTCGCTCTCGCTGGGCAATGGCGACTGCGCTCTCGGGGTTCGCAGCATGAGGGGTATGTCTAGTCGGCGAATTTCCGGGGAATGCAGCGAAGGGATTAGTGGCTCGGCCACTGAGGTTCACTTGCCGTGGGCGACGAGAGTTGCCCGTGAAGGATTGAAACATGGTTGCAGCAGGAGCTGCCTGATGGGAGGATGGCCAGCAGGCTAGATAAAACGAACCCTCTAAATGCAGAGAAGCAAACCAACTCAAGCCCGCATCACCGTGGGGGAAAGACGAAAGGTGAAGAACTATGACATCGCCGTCGCTGCCGGGTGCCGATACGGGAGAGCATGGCGGGCTTATCGGACTTGTCGAGCACAGACCACATCTCCACGAGACCTGAGCACTCTACAGTAGGTATTGCCACTGGAACATTCTGGTTTTAAGCTGACATAGGTCAGAGTGAACCATATAAGATATACGAAAAATACTTTGTAGAGAAAAACAAACAATGTCAAAAGAGGCGAAAGACTACTTGAAGTTTAACCTGATATTCATAGAATTTGTCAAAATACTACACAATTGCTCCTGTCTCGATGCCAAATGGGTACACGTCCACTGATGCATCGGGATCCTCCGTGGTCAAAATCAAGTTGATGTTGTAGAGACTATAATACATGGGATATATTCAATCAACCAGCGGAGAGAAGGTTGATCAATGAAAATTGTTGAATGATGCCCGGAGGTGGTTGTGGATGGTATGCCGGGCCGCTGGCATAAAGATTAGAGCACTCTCAAGCGTCTGGGTTGCTGCGCACTCACATCAGTTGAAAACACGTAGAAATTCCCCGCTATGCGGTTTCGGTCTTTTGGTATTTCTAGAAAAGGGTCTTCGAGGGCTTGGGCTCGGCCGTCTCGGGCGTTTGGGCCAGGTTTTGGTCTTCAATCTGCTTAGTCTGCCTAGGCTGCGGCGTCGGCTTGGTTTCAAGCTTCACAGTCTTCTCGATGTGGGGTTGTGCTAGTCGGGCCTCTTCGGCTTCAACGGTCTCAGCCCACTTCTCCAGGTAGTCCTTGCCCTCAAATCCTCTGATCACAGTAATCTTTCGGCCATTTCTCTCGATATCTTGGACGTAGTTCGACGGTGTCTTGCGCATGTGTTTTGTGATGAAGGGGGCGAGCTATCGCCATGTTAGCAGATCCGACATTTCAGTCAACTAGTACCAAATGGTTTTCAATGCTCACCATGAATGGCTCTTTCGCAGTCTCAGCGGAATGTGCCCTTCCAGGAATTTCAAGCTTTTCCGCAGGCATATAAACTCGGTGCTTTGTCATATCGGGCCTGTATGTGCCTCTCTTGTCAAAATGACCCATGGAGCCGGTCCGGTTTCCCTTGTAGTAGCCGCCATTGACCTGCTTCGTAGTCAAGCGCAAACGCACCATCATTGGCTGCGTGGGCTTGAACATTATGGCAACAGTTCTACAGCCTTGAAGTTGGAACAGAAGGGGGATAGAGCGAGTCGAGTTGTCCCGGAGGGAGATGGGAGACAAAACTCGACGAATGAACGGGTCGCGCTAATCTCCGCGCCGAGAACTTTTTTTCCCGGCAGAAAAAAAGTTCAACACCATCTACACCCCTCTTGAAAGCTGAAAGCAGCCATCAGATCATTTAGTACTTTTTTAGTGCTGATCTGAAGCTTCTTTCTTAGTCGTGAATTTGATTTCTTATCTCATACGCCAGTATGCCTCGCAGCCAGACTCAGAAGCAGGGTCCGAAAGACCGCTCGACGCAGAAATCAGCGCCGAAGCGGAAAAGCACTCGGTCGCTAAATGCACTGTCTATTGCAGAGAAAACAATTCACACTAGATTGGGTGTTAAACGCAGTCGTCTTGGTGCCTACGATGATGGTACCTTCAACCGCAGGAGAAACACCGGCGGCGATGCCGACGACAACGACGAGGAGGATACCGCCGCCCAATACAAACGCCGCAGAACCGAGGACACCGGAAGCCTTGATGGTGGCAGTGACAGTGAAGGACACGAATGGACTCTCGGACAAGTGAATAGCGATAACGACAGCGAATTGGACAGCGACGAAGCTCTCGGTGAGAGCGACGAAGAGCGATTCGAGGGCTTCACTTTCCGCGCATCCAAGTCTAAATCTCACCCGAAGAAAGCGGCACCCAAGCCAAAGAAGCCTACGGAGATCAGCTTGTCTGAAGATGTCGACGAGGAGGATGAGGAATCTGACGGTGACGACTACGACGAGGAGGATGATCTGGGAGAAGACGCCGTTGACCTCGCGACAGCCTGGGATATGAATGCAGCGGCCGAGGAGGAAGAGGCCCAGGAAGCAGCTGCGAAATCCAAGCGGGCTGCGAAATATGATAGCGACGAGGATTCCGGGTCAGAGGGGGACAGTGAAAGCGATGACAGTGACGATGGGCTTTCTATCTCGGACGACGATGCTGATGTGGATCCGCACGGACTTTCAAAGTTACAAGACTTTGTCCAGTCTATGGAGACCGAGAAACCTACGAAACGTACCCAAAAATCACAGGAACAGGGCAAGCCCTCGGAATACGGCTTGACGACCGCCAACAAATTGACTGTCGCCGATCTCCTACCCTCAATCACGGACTCTCGCCTCAAGAACTCGCTCAAACATATCGACTCTGTTGTCCAGGCATCAAAATCGGGCATTCCGGGCAAGCTAGATGCTCCTCTAGCGAAACGCCAACAGGACCGACTTGACCGGGCTGCTGCCTATGAGAAGAGCAAGGAGACTTTGAACCGATGGCTCGAAACCGTCAAAGCCAACCGCAGAGCCGAACATCTTTCTTTCCCGCTACGTGATCCTGATGCTGAGCAGACTCACCGCTTAGAAGCTGCCAAGCCCCAGACAGACCTCGAAAACGTCATCCAGAACATCCTTGTGGAGAGTGGGCTGGCTGAGGCTGAAGGAAAATCAGCCGAGGACCAGATTCAGAGTTTCGAAGAATTACAGGCCCGCAATCTTCCTATTGAGGAGATCCAGGCTCGGCGCGCAGAACTCCGCAAGCGACGTGACCTGCTTTTCCGAGAGGAAGTGCGCGCCAAGCGCATCAAGAAGATCAAGAGCAAGTCTTATCGCCGTGTTCACCGGAAAGAGCGCGAAAAGATAGAGCAACAAGAGCACAATGCACTCTTGGAAGCCGGTGTAGATATGGACGACATGGACCAGGAGAAGAACGAGCGTATGAGAGCCGAGGCTCGTATGGGCTCCAAGCATCGTGAAAGCAAATGGGCCAAGGGCTTGAAACAGACCGGTCGCACTGCCTGGGACGAAGAGGCCCGCAACAGTGCAGCCGACTTGGCCCAAAGAGAAGAGGAGCTACGGAAGAGAATCGAAGGTAAGCGTGTTTCTAATGGAGACGATGACTACTTGGGCTCTTCAAGCTCCGAGTCAGAAGATGAGGACCCTTGGAACGAGGAGGCTTCCGATGTGGAAAGACAGAAGATCCAAAAGAAGCTCAAGGCCCTCGAGGGCAGTGATGATGCTGGTGATGGCATGAAGGGGCGCCATGCCGACCTTTTCGAAATGAAATTTATGAAAAATGCCGATGCCGCCCGCAAAGAACAGAATGATGCGGAGCTTCGCCAACTCAATCGTGAACTCCGCGGAGAGGAGTCTGCGTCTGAGGCAGAGTCTGAGATCGGTCGACGAAAGTTCGGTCAATCAAAGAAGACCGACCCCAAATCTCGCGCAAAGCAGTTGCCCAAGAATGAATTTGAGGAGAAGCTAGATTCAGATGATGAAGCTGCACAGGCTGCAGGAGCAGACGACGATGTTGACATTGTTATGGACGGCACCACCAAGCACAAGTCAGGAGCTTCTGGCAACAAGAAGGTTTCACAATCCTCACGACACTCTCCCGATCGGCAAAAGGATACGCCAGGAGAGGAGGAGAACCCTTGGCTGATTCAGACCGAACGGACCAACCGTCGCCGAACCGGCCCAGATGCCCAAGAGAGCATTGACATTTCACTTGATGCTACCCAGCCCGAGGTTATTCCAGTGGAGCAACAGAGCAAGAAGCAAAAGAAAACCAAGGCAACCCTCGCGAAACAGCAATTCGATGAGAATGACAGCGATGATGAGGAGAAGGTGCCCGTCTTGCTTAAGAACCACGACCTCGTGAAGAGAGCTTTTGCCGGCGATGAAGTTGTCCAGGAATTCGAACAAGACAAGATGGACACCATTAAAGATGAAGGTGACCAGGTGGTGGACAATACACTTCTGGGCTGGGGCAGCTGGGCCGGCGAAGGCGTCAGCAAGAGACAACAAAGGAAGCAGAAGCGAGACCTCACTACTGTGGCCGGTCTGAAGCCTCAGCAGCGCAAGGACGCCAAGCTTGATCGAGTCATTATCAACCAGAAGCGAGTCCAGAAGGTAAGCCAAGTTTTCTTCCTATACGAAGACGGACAACTCACTAACTTTTTACTCTAGAACAAGAAGTACATGGCAAGCCAATTGCCGCATGAGTTCGAGACCAAGCAGCAATACGAACGGTCCCTGCGGCTGCCTTTAGGTCCCGAATGGTCTACGAAAGAAACCTTCCAGAGTGGCACCAAGCCTCGTGTCATGATCAAGCAGGGCGTCATCAAGCCCATGTCAAAGCCGATGCAATGAATGTAAATATCTCACTTCACATATGCCATGTCCAATGTCAGCACCTAATGCGACCCATCTTGCGGCGCCTTTTGAATCAAAAGCATTTCTATTCTTGCTGTACTCCATTCCACGTGCCCAAGTGCACAGTATAGTTATATGGCTCAAATGGTTCATACTTCATATCATTTCACAACAATATTTCCACTGGGCCTAGTGTCCTGACGCAGGATAGTAATTATTTCTATATCTGGACAATGTAGGTGGCATACGTGCCTCTCTCGACCTTGGAATTGTCAACTTAAGACCGTGGATAAACCATTTAAACATGTCCCATGATTCTATAAAAAGTAACTAAAAAGCTATCCATGGACTGTCTGGTGATTCATATTGAGTCATCCCTGAGTTCTTAACAATTTGAATCTGAATATATTCATGCTTTTCTTCCTTTTCAATCCTGTCGTTCTACTCCACATGGGCGATCCCTTGGCAAATGCTGCCTGGAGTTGACATCTTCAAATATTTGAGTATTCACGTCTATCTCCCAAGTATCCCCAATTATCTGGTAACAGTACTATATACAAAATCTAGTAAGTGGATGGTCGTTGCAGTGAATCCCGCACACATTCTTGGGGGTGGGGAACGCACGCGGACTCGACGTGTTGCCTGTTGCTCCCTACATTGCTGAGCCAGACAAGATACTCAACTCATGTCATTCCCCTTGGCTGAAATACTGTACAGTACTGACATCTATGAAGATCGACAGTCTGTGGAATCTGTCTGCAGACCATTCACAACAAACCGGCCCGTGTGTTGTCCCAATTTGGGTGTTTGAGCTCCGAGGGGGTTTAATTCTGCTGGAATTTATAGCACATACTTGTAAGATTGCCTCTCTTTGAATTTATTTGTCTCCTTTTCAAGCTTCACCTTGCCTTTTGGACCCCTCCGAAGGCGTCTACCCTCAAGTGATTCATATCCGATTTGGATCGAATTGAGGAATAGCACAAAGGCTTCATACTTCCTACAGGCTCCGCGTGTTTAACGCCGGTGACGAGATCTGGCTTTGCATCATGGACTCACGCTTGAAATGGAAGGCTACAGCTGTGCTGACTTGGCTTTTAGCTACAGAAAAAGCCTACTGTCTCCCACACGTGGGAAATGAGGTAGAAAGTACTCTGCAAAACACAGCTACCGAACCTACACGTGCCTTTGAGACTCAGTATCCGCCTTCAAACAGTGAAGACAGGCTGCTTATTCCCGAGTCCCACCCAGTACGTCTCAGAGAAATGTGCTGCATAGTATATGGTATGGTATTGACATTTTGGACTAGGTGTATCGAGTAGCTTTGGAACAGGACGGTCATTCATCGCAGCAGCCTTTTCCACAGTTTGACATTATCCGATTTGTTGACGGCTTGGAAGATTTGTTGGGCTCAGGTGGAAATACTCCTGCACCAACACTGACTGCGACAGGACAGTCTACTGATACAGGAAAATCGCATCCTATTCAAGCTACGACTTCAGCAAAACAGCCTGAAAACCCAGCTCCAATTCATACAGCTGGATCTGTGACCTACTCACCGCAGGCTGGGCCAAATACTACTGTGGCACACGGTATGATTGACCATGAATTATGGCAACTTCAAATTCTAATGCTTAGTAGAGCCCGTTCACATACTTTCTTCATCCTCGGTTACATCAAAAACCATGCCTGGCCAAGATATCTTCCAGCCGGTTGCGACTGGTCCTGTCCCTGCTAATATCAAGTCCCGAGATGATCACCCTGTGCAGAACCAGCACGTAAGATTATTATCCCAAATGCGAGCACGAATCAAACATTCTAATGTTGTGGTATAGGCCAATACTACCAACCCTATTGCGACGAATAAGTTCTACGCAGGTCTTTTCTTGGGCTCTCAGACCAATGCTACCTTCACTCAACCCTACTCTCTGGCATGGTCCAAGGGAGGTGGCTCCCTGAAGAGTTGGGGTATGGCTGTCTCCCATGTCCAGCCTCATATGCTTGCATACGGACCACCGAACAGCAAGATCCCCGGAAACCCAGTACAATACTATATCAACCCAATCGGCCTTCAATCTCTGATTTTCTCTGCAACCGAGCTTAACCAGTCTTCCATCATGAATGTCAATCAGCCAAAGGCTTTCTCGGCCCACGCTGTGATCAAGCCCTCTGGAGGCTCGGCTCAGCAAATTGTCTTCCCCGTTGTGCAAGGCATGGGCTACGCAACAGCTGTGTACAGTGATCTGCAGCCGCTGATTGAAAGTGGCGTTTTCTTCCGTAAGGTCGTCAGCGCTGGTTCGCCTAGGTCCGGCATCTTCAAGTACCAGGTTTACCTCGAGGATGACATGACCTGGCTTCTCTATGCCACTCCAGCTGATGGCAAGGATCCGGAGTTCAAGCTAGTCTCAAATTCCCGTCTTCGCGGTCCCCAGGGCTTTTCTGGTACTATTCAAGTTGCCAAGAACCCCGCGGGCAAGTCTGGCGAGAAGTTCTATGATAACTCGTCTGGTGTATACCCAGTGGCAGGAAAAATCTCTGGTTCTGTCACAGATGATGTAGGCACCTACACGCTCTCTTGGAAGAAGGCCGGAAAGGATGTCACCGGTACTCCTCTGATCATGTTCGCCCTACCCCATCACGTCCAATCCTTCGATGGTGCCACCAAGAGCCGTATCACTGATATCAACCTTCGCACCACAACAAAGGGCAACTCCACTGCAGTCATTGGAGAAAGCTGGACTATGGTCGAACAAAGCCTCCCCATTGATATTGGATTCGCTCCGTGGTCAACCACCCATGGCAGTTCTAACGAGCTCTCAGCCTCAGCTCAGCATGCCATTCTCCAGGCTGCTCCCCAGGAGCTCAAGCAGAACATTTCAGGCCAGACGGACCTTAACAGCATGTACTACAGCGGCAAGGCGTTGAGCAAGTTCGCAACGCTAGTGTATACTGTCAACCAGCTTGGCAACAGTTCCGATCTAGCAACAGATGCCTTCCAAAAGCTAAAGAGGTCTTTCGATCTATTCGTGCAAAACAAGCAGCAATACCCGCTCGCCTACGATTCCGTCTGGAAGGGCGTTGTCTCGACCGCCGGCTACAATGGCGACCTCAACCAGGATTTCGGAAACACCGCATACAACGATCACCATTTCCACTACGGCTACTTCATCCAAGCTGCCGCCATCATTGGCTCTCTTGATCCCAGCTGGCTAGCCGCGAACAAGGAGTGGGTCAACATGCTTGTTCGTGATGCTGGTAACTCTGTTCCAAATGATCCTTACTTCCCATTCTCGCGCTCGTTTGATTGGTATAACGGTCACTCATGGGCGAAGGGTTTGTTCGAGTCTTTCGATGGCAAGGATCAAGAATCTACCTCGGAAGATACCATGTTCGCGTATGCCATCAAGATGTGGGGACAGACGACCGGCGATGCTAGCATGGAAGCTCGTGGCAATATTATGCTGAGCATTCTGGGTCGGTCTCTCAATAATTACTTCCTGATGGAGGATGACAATGTCAACCAGCCTGCGAACTTCACTGCGAACAGGGTAACTGGAATTGTAAGTACCACCATTCTCATTCCATGTCTAACCCAAACTCGACACTAACAGACCAAAACAAACAGCTATTCGAGAACAAGGTTGATCACACCACTTATTTCGGCGCCAACCTCGAATACGTCCAAGGGTATGTATACCACCGTCCCGCTGTTTTTTTTTTTTTTTCCCTCTGAACTATTGCTCACAAGTATTAGTATTCACATGCTACCGCTCATGCCGCACAGTCCCTTCACACGCCGAAAGGAGTTTGTGCGCCAGGAATGGCAGGCAATGTTCGCTGAAAACGCCTCTACTCCGGCCTCCAAGGTCGAGGGCGGATGGAAGGGTGTGCTCTACGCCAACCTGGCCCTCATCGATCCCAAATCGTCGTGGGAATTCTTTGCCCAGTCGAATTTCGACTACAGCTGGATTGATGGTGGTGCTACGCGTACTTGGTACCTGGCATTTATTGCTGGTGAGTCTCTTGGATGGAGTATGATGTCTTTTCATACTAACGAAACATATTAGGTCTGGGGGGTGCTCCTTAGGGTGGTTTAAGTCTTATTTCTTGGTGATATGGAGTTGGGTAATGACTTCTTCTCTTTATGCTTATTTCTTCTGGCCTTATGATTTGCTTTTCTCTACTTGCATCTGGTTTTCGGACGGTCCTTACTGGTGGCTCGGAGTTTTCTTCGATTCTTGTGCTGTACTGCGTATGTAGAACGAAATAAGAATTATAGAATATCATTTCTAGCTCGATATCAGCTTGTTCGGTTCGTAGACATCTATGCGCCTTTATCTTATTTCTTGGTAAAATATATATATCCGTGAATACAACCCAGTCTCTTATTTCTCCCGTTATTGATCCATTCCTATACAACCATAAACTTGTACTTCGCATAGAACACTTTGGCCCTTCGTGGTATACATGACCTATTATCAGTTCAGTAGTCCATCCATAGTTGCCATCGCCATACCATGTCCAGGAACCGTCAGAATATATCGCAAATATACTAACACTATAAACTACCTAAACCTATTCCCCAGCAACAGGAAGCTCTAAATCCACCACCCAAGGCGCATTCCTCGCCTCATACGAGACCGTCATAATACTCCCATTAACAAAAAGCGTCTCCTCCCCAACCCGCAGCGGCCGATCCGCCCCAGCGCTAACATCATAGAACGCCCCCCGATTCTCTAGCATCTCCTCCATGTCCGTCGCCACATCTTCAAGTCTAACACCACCAGCTCCATCTCCACCCGCCTTATCATCCCACACTCCGCGCTGCGCACCCCACCCTTCATGGATATGACCGAAGAGATGCAGTCGCGGTCTTGCGCGCCGCGCCGCGCGGAGGAGATGCTCACATCCAACGCTCAAATCAGGAGGGACCTGATCCAGGACCCCGGCGGGCGGGCCGTGGGTTAGTAGGATGTCGATGGCCGGGTAATCCGGGATTG